GTATTAGTAGCAGAGCCGGTTGCAGATATCTACCATCATCTGATAACGAAATAATACACTCACCGGCAAAATAAACCGGCCACCAAAAAATTTGCCCAAATTGGTCACACTATAAAGTTTTCAATCCTTGTCGGATTTTTGTGAAATTTAGATCAAATCGTAGATTCATGTTCCGGGATGTTAGCCTGAATATTAGTTTTCCTGAAAAGCTGATGACTTGATCACTCGCTTGATCATTATACAGGGAAAAGCCAAAGTGACTCTTTCACCCTATACTTCTGAACGCCCTGTGGCAGAATTGCGTGATTGAACATGGCTTCATTATGCTTCGGACTGAAGTGACAAAAGTTTTTGATTCACGTCAATATCTTACTTTTAAAAGAAGATAGGAGTGTTTTAAGGAAATATGGTGTTTTTCAACTTTTACCAATAATCAGAACTTACATGAACATATTGATTAACAACTTCCGGAAAATCAATTACAAAAAAAAACAAGGAGCCGACCTGTAGTCAATAAGCCCTCCTCGATCTTGAATTACAGCATAACAACTTCCGGAAAATCAATTACAAAAAAAAAACAAGAAGCAGACCTGTTGTAGTCAATAACTAGTATGCTCTCCTCGATCTTGAATTACAGCATTCAACCGCAGTGGTATCGCATTCATCAAATTACTCAAGTAGCCTTGAAGAATTGCCTAAAATCCTCCTTGAGGAGGAGGAGCTCTTGAAGAGTATCTGACATTTCTGACAAGGATGGGCGAAGGCGAATGAGCCTCTAGAGGCTCGTCTAGAGGTCACCCCTAAGATAGGTAGATAGGTTCTGAATTATTGTTACTGAAAATTTATAAAATCCATACTTTCTTGAAACACTTGTATCTTCTCTCAAAAAGGAGATATTGACGTTATTTAAGAACCGTTGTATGAAGAAGGAACAAAAGAGGATCACACTTCAATTTAAAACATGATGAAGCAGAAGGTTGGAGAATGGTTCTGAATTATTGTAAATACAAATTTTAAAAATCCATACTATCTTGGAACACTTGTATCTTCCTTTGAAAAGTGGTTATCGACGTGAATAAAAAACCATCATGTAGAGAAGAGATCACTCTTCAATCCAAAACATAATGGAGCTAAGTTAAAGCACACACCTTTCTCACAGGGCGTTAAGAAGTTAGGGGTGAAAAAGTAACTTTCGCTTTTCCCTGTATAATGATCGAGTCATCAGATTTTCTTAGGAACTAATATTCCGGCTAACATTTGGAAACATGAATCTACGATTTGGTCGGAATTTCACCAATATCGGACCAGAATTGAAAATGTTACAGAGCAAACAATTTGGCTCAATTATTTGGTGGCTGTTTTTTCTTGCCGGTGAGTGTATATTCCCAAAGGAAAGTAAAAACATCGAACGGCACCTGTTCCAATCACTATCCTGAGGAAAATTGAAGGGGCAAGAGGAAGAAGGGGTCAAGTAACATTTTCTGAAAATATTCGGCTGTCATGAAAAAAGGTGTTACCTCGGGTGTTACATGCATATGGAACTTGCCCTGTCAGGATTAGTTTATAAATATTCTTCATATCTGAGTGGCAGAAGGGGCTATGTTACAAGGACGCAATGGAAGAAGGAGATATGTGCCCATTATCTACATGTCAGGAAATGGAAGAAGGGGTTATGTACGCATGAATCCAGATGGCTATCAAAAAATGATATGATAGCAAAATGCCATACTAAAAAAAAAAACAACCAAAAACCATTCCTCATAATTGCATAATAGTTATTTATGTAATAAGGATCATAAAGACGATCATTATGGTACAAGTCGTGAATGTTATCGAGCGAGGCGTAGCCGAGTCCGATAACACGGTGTGTGCCATAATGATTGTTTATGATTCGTATTACATACAAAATTTTATCTGATGGCATTTATATCAATACATTTTCGAAAAATTAAAAACTGCATTTTCGACATGTCACAATGACAACTTTTTTTAAAGGAGTAAGTATTGTGTAGTTTCAAATATTAGTAGGTGAGTGAGCTGTGCTTTGCCATTATATTAATATTACAAATTGTAGTAATTGTTCTTTTACCATTTATAATAAATAGTTTTGTACATAGTTATGCATTTTGAATAAACTTTTTTGATCAAACCATTACATGTTTTCCTTATAGAATTTCATTATGGTACTTAGTACCATAATGAATTCATTATGGTACTTAGTCCCATAATGAATTCATTATGGTACTTAGTCCCATAATGAGCTTCCTTATGTCATCAAAATTGAGTGACATAACGTTGTCATTATGACATGCCATCAGATAAACAAAATTATTAAACTAGCTTTCATTAAAAAATGCCAGCTAACCTATTTTTCTCACAAACTCATATTTGTAACATAACTCCTTCTTCCACTTGCCCCTTCAATTATGAAATAATTGCACTTTCCTGTGCGGAAATTTTCCCTCGATTTCGCGATTTGATAACGAGATAAGAATTATAGTCCAAGAGACGGCATCTGATAACGAAATGATATATTATGTCTCAAAGGCATGTAAAAACATTTATCGAACGGCACCTGTGCCAATGACTAGCCTGAGCAAAATAATTGAAAAATTGCATTTTCCTGTGCGGAAATTTGCACTTGATTTTGCAATTGCGAATTATGCCATCCGATACCAATTGAATGGTAGATTTCAAAAACCTATACCTGTGCCCCCCTCAGTCTGAGCCAAATCCACGGCACAGCTTGATTTGCTGCTATTATTTCGGACATACTTCCGGAATTCGCCCTCGTCAAAAGATAATATCTGATGGACCAGTGTGAAACGCATGTGATGCTTACTACAAGTATTCTAATCCACATGTTTAGTTTTACACTGGTCCATAGGTAATTATCTTCAGAGGGGGGTGAAACATTCTAGAAAGTATGGACGCTCTGCCACTAACTTAGATCAGTTTAAATCGCGGCACGTTTGGATATTCGCAAAGACGACATTATCCCCTTTTATTCGCTTCTTGTTTCAACTTATTATCACATGACGGAAGTATGTCCGGAATAATAGCAGCAAATAAATCGCTGTGCTGTGGATTTGGCCCTAATAGGGTGTAATAACGGATAACGGGTGTACACTCTGGTTTTTTTAATTGTTTTGTTGCGTCTTGTCTCTCTCAATGCTCTAAAGACACTGCACAAATCCGTTTAGCCCAAACATTATGTGTATTGTTTTTCTTTTGCGGTGTACATGAATTTGTAATATTGAGACCAATAAATATCTATCTATCTATCTATCATATACATATGGGATTCCTATTATAGACCAATCAGAGAGATTTGGGCAATAGTGGTAAATTCATATCACCGATATTGGCGGCAAATTTGAATAACGTACGTCATAGCAGAGAATGAATTCGTATGACATGGTTATAGTTAGGTGGTAAGATCTCTGTTCTCTTGATAAATATCATTTTTACTTCTTAGTAAGTGGGTTATCAGCTTATGTTTATATAGGTGACATTGAGACTATTTTTGGGAATACAATTTCATTTGGAAGTTTTAGGGAATACACTATTAACTCCACTTCAATCAGGCTGGTCTTTCGTCTAGAAATCGCCATTTGTTGTACAGGAAATATGGATCTCCTATTAATATTCCGCCGATTTGTTCCTGAATATAAAAATTGAATGAAATTAGTGATTCAAGTATATCAAAAAAATATAACTATCTATAATCTGTAACAAATCTAGAAGTGGTTTTAATTCTTTCAACTTAATCAAAGAAAACTTCTAAGTCTTTGGAAATTTTCAGTGAAGAACCGATCAAATGCAGAGAAATTATTTCACTCAATCAATTCATTGTTTATTTGCTCTTTGAAATAAACTGTTTACTAGGAAAAAGCTACAATGCTCAAAGTGGAATGAAATGTTAAATAAATACAATAAGCTCAAAGTCATTTCCACACAATGTTCATAAAATGAACAACAATGGTAGATTTCGGGAGAAAAACAACTACTTTCCTGGCTAATGCATAGCCATGCCACGCAGAACATTGAATTTCCATTCTCCCAAAATCTATGCATGGAAATCTTTGCATTGACTCAGTATTCGTTTATAGGAGTTTATATTGTCTGCTCATCTGCTTCTGACTTCTGATGATGATGGTTCATTTTAATTATTTAAATATTTCATTGTTGTTCTCTCATCATTGATCTTTTTCATGAACTTTTCTTTCTTGGATTGTTTTGATTGGTCTATATGAATCGCCTATGCATATGTTTGGGCAAAACGGATTCGTGCTTAGACACTACTGATCACTCACTGATCAGTGAATCCTGTGAACAATCGTTGACCATAACGTAACCATAACCAGAAATCACAACCCAGATTATTGTTATTCTGTGATACCAACTTCTACAGTTCTACCAACCTACTACCAACATACCTCAAATATTATAAATAGGTGCATAAAGATCCGCATGTTGGGAACGTTTATTTTGGAATCCTTATTTTATTCATATTGTCAACAATGCAAATATTCATTATACTATTTACCAAATACTAATGATGATTAGTTCTCCCAGATTGGTTATTAGTTGCCGACTCTGTTGCCGATATCGCAATACAGATAACTATATTCGTTGACTGCAACTTGTGTACAGTGTGCGGACCCTTAAACACTACCAAAAATAAAACTGATTTGTATATTTTGTAATCCAGCATTCTGCAGAGGTATGTCGATTTCTTTAAAGATAAATCAATTTTTATAATATTCTATTCGCACGCAAAAAATCATTCGGTGAAATTCTTAAATTAGAAGACTCCTGGTTTATCAAGTTTATATCTATGATGATAACAAAGAAACAATAAGGTTAGTGTAAAGTTTCTTGACGTAACTGTACACAAATTTTAACCGCCATAACTGGGCAGAAGACGATTTTTCATGTTTTTCCATAATGAGAAAAAATGAATACTGTAGTATATTCATTTTAGAAAATGCACTCACCCCTGTTAGCCATTCAACGAATATTATACATCACTTATTTTTCTTTTTAGATCGCACAAACACAACACTAACGAGTACACAGTGACGCGACGCTGGACGCAGATGCTCGACTCTCCCTCTCCGTTATTTTTGACAGAAACAAATTTGAAACTGATGAAACTGCGCATGCCTTTTAACAGTATGTGATCGATAGAAGTTCAAGTTGACTGAATAAAGCTGTTTTTTTTTAATTTTCAGGTAATTTTTCAAGCAACCATGAAATGAAGCTACTTCTTTCAGAGGATACTGAAGTGGCTGTACTGATTTAATCCTACTCATTCAGCCCTTGCTTAATTTTTTAACCTCCTCATGAACACCATCTTTCATTTGATTACCTATGCTGCCTGCCATTGGTCGGTTTGAAAGGTAACGATTCATCCATTGGATGGTCATAACCAGGAAAATGTATAATTTTCTGGATTCAAATTTCTCCCCAAAGGTTGTTTGTACAACTCCAGCAATGGACAATTATGAAGTGGACAACTTGTTAAGTGATAATTTTGCTGATAGATTGCGAGGATTTATAGCGTATCCAGCTATAAAACCGCCGGTAGAAATAGAATTTCAATTTATTTGTCCAATTAATATTCATCACATTTCTTTGAATACAAGTGTAGGATCCCAGAAATGCAATGGCATAGAGATTTTTGCCAAGAGCAAAGAACTTTGTTACACATCAATTTGTAGAGCTATTTTCGATACTCCTGGCATAATATTTTGCAACAGTAGAAAATACTCAAAGAAAAACTTACCAGAAAACTTCAACCCAAGTTTTGAAATGAGGGCTTTCAAGAGCAACACTTTCAAGGTGTTTCTGAATGCAAGCAGTATAAAAGTTGTTATTTTTCGCACTGAAAAATCCGTTCCTTGTCTTGGTTCAGTGGAAGTATGGGGAATTCCTTCGAAATCTTGTTCTGAGGTTACAATAAATACAATATTGAGACTGTCTCTGAAATCAAGAATGAGTGAAACTTCTTCTGAACTGCCTGTGAATGAAACTGAAGAATTATCTATCCCAAATGACTTCAAAGATGATTTGACATGTGAAATTATGTCATTACCAATGACATTACCTAGTGGCAAATCAATTGATCAAAGTACACTTGAAAAACATGTACAGAGTGAACAATCATTGGGAAGAAAGCCATGTGATCCATTTACTGGTATCAAATTCACTGATAAGCTCAAACCAATATTGAATGTAGCTCTGAAAAGTCGAATTGATATGTTCATTCTCCAACATTCACATAGAGAAGAATTCTTCAGCTTGAAAAGGTCTCTTGGTGGGTGTAGAAGTGCATTTAGTAAGACAGCTAAACGAAAAAGAGGCTCCTCAGAAAATATTTCAAATGAAGACCCTTTGGAAGCAAGCATGGCTAGAGCAAAAAAGGACTCAAATTACATTAATTTTACTAGTGAAACTGATTCAAAAACTGTATGTGTTGCATGTAAAATTGAACAAAATTTCTTGTATGACATCTCCTGTGATCATTTTTATTGCAGAAATTGTTTATTGGAATTACGTGAGATATCTAAATGTAAAGTTTGTGAAACACCTTTCACCACTAATGAAGTGAAGAAAGTTAATTTCTAATAAATAATTTGTCTATTATTGATGGATGCCTAATCTGCTCAATGTGAAACCCCTGGCTTCTCTGCCACCTACATTGCACCTACCCTGTAGGAAGGAAGCTATAGATAATTTTTGTTCAGTGTTTAGCTACTCTACACGAGGTGGCACCACAGGATACGCAACAAAAATGAACTTTCTGAATTCTGGTTTCCGATGGAGCCTATCGAGAGCTGAAAAGTGAATGAAAGGAACTTGAGTCAAGGCTCAGCTTACCAAAAAAATATCCTGATCGTCCCGATCGATCAGTTTGTCTATATAATATGCGATTGATGTATCTGACTCTTCTATCTGCTGGTTCTGACATTGTCCTGAACTGAGGAGATGACTGATGAGTCACTATGACGTCATTCGGAAGGTTTTGCTGACGTAAGTGGATTCGATTGGAATTACGAATTACGTCATCGTTATTAAGGGCTATCGGGATTCGAAAACTTTGTTCACGAAGACCTTTTATTTTTACATCTTCTTCAATCATCTCTTCATTGCTATAACCTCTCAGACGTTATTTTACAAGGCACAATATTATCTAAAGCTATATTATTTATTCAGGTAGGTAGGTACTCATTAATTTGTCATCTCATTGAATGAGAACTTGACGACCTACCTAGGTATTTTATTTTATCTGCAAATAAATGTATAAGGTTACCGTTTTGGTGAACAAAATTCGCATCTCTAGTTTTAGTGGATTGGTTTGAGAAAAAAATCTGAAATATTAAATTTGAATAATTTATAATTTGAATTGTACAGAGAGCGCAACCTTTCGAATCACCGTTGACATTCCGGGTGGAGAGGGGCGAATATCGCGCTCTTGGCGGCCATTGCTGTGACGCACACTCGAATTCCGATCTCGTCCAGTGACGACCGCCCTAAAATTTGACGTGGCTACTACGTATCGCTCGTTTACCCACTCCGATTGCAGCAAACTTGGTGACGAGGAATACGTAACTGGTAAGTACCCAGCTGAAGAATAATAACATTCCAACATGGATCAGACACCCTTTGGGAGGTAGTGAATTGATTTGAGTTGGTGGAAAAGTGCACACGAAAATGTACCCCAGGAATTTTGCCTGTTCACGCGAAAAGGTATTTGAATATGGCGTCATAATGGTGAATCGGATTTTAAATTTAGATTTTGAACAGTCATTCCTTTAGTACGCGATACCTGCCTAATACAGATTGTCTTTCGTTTTTTGACCTTGCTCCTTGCCTCGTAATAAAAAGCATCATTGAGTTTTTCATAAAGTAATAGGTACCTCCTACCCTCGTACCTAGCATGTTGTACTACCTTCAATCAACTGAATACATTCTCATAAATTTTCATTTGCGCACTTCAATAAAATGTGTAAATAATTACATCACCACGGATTCTATATCTATTGATTTATCAGTGACAAATAATGTAATGAATACTCCAATGAATATACCTACTGAACTATTTTGTATGGCCTGGATAATAAGTTGTTTTTCCGAGGTTTTTTCATTCCCATATTGGTCAATATTTCAATCAGATCCTAAATACAAAGTTTGTATATATAGCTACTGTAGGTATTAATTATATGCTATTATTATGACCTTGTGCTGTAATAAATTATTATAATGAATGGATTAGATATACATACTTGATGAAAAACCTTTTGTACTTTTGCAAAATTCAACCATCATTAACTAAAATAATTATTCTAATGGTTCAAAATCATCCATGAACCTATTCAGCTCAGGAAAATGTACATTCTGCTGTCCCAGATCCAATATTTTCAATTACCTACTTTTTCATTCTCAGACCTGGACATTATTTTTTGTATTTACAAATTTACTTTTCAGTATTAACATACTGAACAGTTACAAATTTCAGAACAAAATGACTTTTTAAGAAAGTTGGAAAATGATTTCAGAGATATAGGGAGAAACCTGAATTTGTTGAAATAAATGATGCCATCTTGCTTTCCTACAAGATTTTAAATATCGAAATCCCACGTTTCTTCTTCCAGAATCCATCATCAACTCATTTTATATTGAGTACCCACTTTTGTACACCCTAAAAGTTATGGCATTTCACAAATTTTGATTCTCAAACGTTTTCATGCCAAAAATAAACAGTTTGTGACAATATTTCAAACAATATATTTTTCTCAGGAGGATGATCATTCACACACAACTAAATTGTGTTTATGCTGAATATGCTGAAAAAATCGCACCTTTCAAATGTGTGTTTATTCCGAGGTTTATTCAAACATTTAGTACCATGAATATGAGTAAGCTGAATGGCACATCAGTTCCAAGAAATTAACTCACCACCAAAAAGTAGCGAAAGTTCAGGAAACACTTTTGTCAAAACTACTTGTCCGATTTGGACGTTTTTTGTTTTGAATGACAGGTTACTTTTTTTGGAGCATTGGTGTGCCTACTGTATTCCCATAAGTACCTCTTTATGAATACCGGGTGTAGCTATTATAGCATCTTTTCTCCATGAAATTTATAATACCCAGGGCCTGATTAACCATTAGGCTGATTAGGCTGCAGCCTAGGGCGCGAAGATCGGGGGGGGGCGCGCAAGACGCGCTAAAATGGTGTCTTCGGATGCACTAATCTAGCATCATTGCATCTACCCTACATATTTCAACTAGACCGAGACAAAACAATAAAACTAAATGCGCTTGATAGTCCCTGATTTTAACAATGAATTTTGAAATTTTAAAAAGCGCGCGTAAGAAGAAGAAGAAACCAAAATTTCATTTTGATGAAGTTAAAATGGGGCACATTGAGTTAGAAAGGAGACGATCTTTCATCGTTGATAATTATTATGCAGCTACTGATTGTCTTAAAGTGCATTTAAAAAACCGGCAAATTATTCATAATACAGTAAACATCACAAAGTTTGGTTTCTTATGGAAACTGCATGAACTAGACGACAGTGAATTTATTAGAAGCAGAGCAAAGGAGTTGAAACAACTATATGCTACTGATTTAGAAGAAACCTCTGCAGAAGAATGCGTCCATTTGGCGCAATTTTCAAAATCTGACACCGAGGTCGAGCGTTCTCTTTCTGCCAGAACCCCAAAGGGTTTGTTGCAGTTTATAAAAAGTTTCAATATTTTAAGCATGTTCCCGAATGTGGGGATAATATTAAGAATTTCTTTGACAATGAGTGTTACCAACTGCAGCGGCGAAAGGTCTTTTTCAGCACTGAAGAGAGTAAAAAATTACTTACGCTCCACACTCCGCCAGCAAAAGCTTGCAGCGCTCTCGCTAATGTCCATACATAGAAAGTGATATTCTTCAAACTATCGAAATTGAAAAAATTGTGGGAAGATTTGCAAACGCTAAAGCAAGGAAAAAGACCTTATTATAAGCAAATAATAATTACTCAATTATTATAATTTTCCAATAAAACATTAATCAGTTGCAAAAATGTTTCACTTGTATGATGCCTCTCGTCTTTGAGATTACAGAAATGTAAATATAAATGATACTTCAAGTCGAAAACTTTTATAGGTAGTATGAACCATGTCAAAATTTTTATACTAGTAAACAAAGTCAAGACTAATATACTACTTTTCAGGCCGACCATAATACTCATGGCGGGGGCGCGTCCTCATAATTAGCCTAGGGCGGTCAGAACTCTTAATCAGGGCCTGATAATACCCTGTGGAGATATCAAGTTGAAATTGACAGGACACTGTAGCCTGTAGCCTTATGTTTTTTCAACATTCCTTCTTTGGATTCACTCCATTATCTTTCCTCTTGCTGGAGAAACACCATTTTGTAGCATAACGAAACAGAATGCAGGGTTAGTAGCGACCTTGTAGCGAGTATTTCCGCCACGGGAACGAAAAACTTCTTGGCAAAGACAGCCTATACCCTGAATGACCTAATTTCATGTTGGTCCAGGTCTTCCCAAATTTGAACCATCAGTCTCTACCGTGCGTTTTCCAAAGTATGCAAGTTATGTTCCTCTTGTAATCTTGTCACAAGAATTTCCCAGAGATTCTCAATGGGATTTAAATCCGGGCTCCGAGCTGGCCATGTCATGGTAATGATTCAGACAGACAGAGATAATTTCTCACAATGTGAGGCCTGGCATTATCTTTATCTTGCATCAACAAACTTCCATGTGTGTTTATTGAGAAATGGGAAAGATAATTGGATGAATTCAAAAAAGGAATGTTGAAAAAAGATGAGGCTAAAGTGTACTTTCCATTTCCACTGGATGAATTAAGTGTTACACTCCACAGGGTATTACAAATTTCATGAAAAAAACACGCTTTAATTATTGCTACACCCGGTATTCATAAAAAAGAAGTTCTTATGTGAATACAGTTTGCACACCAATTCTCAGAAGGAAATAACCTGTTCATTCAAAACAAAAAACGTCCAAATCTAGTACTTTTGACAAATATGTTTCTAAACTCTTTGCTACCTTTTGGTGGTGTGTTAATTTCTTGGAGAAGTGTATTTATTCTTGATGATTCATCAAGCTCATTGATTCTTTTGTTTGGCAGGTGGTTCAGTGGAAAAGCAATGGAGGCAATTGTGGAGGAGAAATGTCAAGTTGACCCGTTGGCCACCTCTCCCGATCCCCAGACGGTACGCGTCACTAACTCGCAGCCCCACCTGGTGACGGCCGCTAACATTGTACATTTCACTCTACCTTCTCATACGCATGCACAGGTAGGGGTCCATTTGCCCCACTGTGCCCATTGTTTCTTCCAATGCAATATCTACATGATGGTCCATGGTACATCCAAAAACAAAGTTACTATTTTTTTTGTGACGGGAAAAAAGTTTGACCATTCATCTGTCGACAGATCGCAGAATAAATCATGAAAATCATCCATATCTCAAAGTGGTCCAAAGTAATTTTGAAAGAAAAACACCAAATGTCTCAAAGCCATGAGAGCAACTCAAGTCGTCAACGGATAGCCCGTTTATTTTTCCATATTGCTACTTAATAGCTCCATGCTTTGGTACTTTTTTGTCTGATGATGGCCGTTGCGCCGAAACCGGTTACATGTGATTTTTAATATTTTTTATGAAGTGTGGTCGACCGACTTTGAGACATTTGGTGTTTTTCTTTTGAGGTTACAGAATGTCACTTTTCATAAAATTACTTTTTTCCCACCTGTTGATGGCTTTAGTTGTGCCAGTTCCTGAAAATAAGCAAATAACACCTTCTCCAAGAAAGATCTGAAAGTCCTTTTTATCTTCCATTCCACTCCACGGTTACTAAACAACCACTCATTTTTTAAAATCAAATCACAGAATTAAATTGACAGATATTTGTTTATTTCCAAATGTTTCCATAGCAACAAAGATGTTTGCAATTCAGGCGTAATTACCAGTTTAAAGCTTCAAAATTCACATTGATAATTTTCTGATTTTATAATGTAATATCTTCTCAATATCGAACCGTCGTTTTTCCTGTCACAGAAGAAAGAAGTGCATGGGAAAAATATTAGATTTTAGCTCCAGGTTGTTTTGTCGCCCAATGTGTAGGAGACAAAAAACTCTGAGACAACACAACCTGGAGCTGAAATCTAATACTTTTTTCCCTTGTATAATAAATAACTATTTCTAGGAACTCATTTCCAAAAATTGACAAGGGAGATGTATATCAATTTTTCAGCAACATCTTTGACAACTGTTTGCATATTGCAAATCAAATACTCTTTTTTACTCAAAGGGTATTTCATCGTTTTCTATCCCTGCCTTTTTTATGTTAATACATTTACTTCATTGAAAATCAACGTAGAATTCATCTTCAATTTATTGTAAAATTGATATAAGTCATCTATCTCCTTCAAATTACTAACCTAATTTTTGAATGTACCAATAGCTGCAGAAAATTTTGGACTACCATGTATAGAATGCAATAGACCTTTGTTTCTTTAATGAGTATAGAAAATTGGACTTACAGTATTCTTGAGACAGTTTTAATTTTTGTAATTCAATCTTATTTCAATCGGTAATATACCATGCCCTTCCAAAGTCCGTTCCAGCCTACTAATTTTTGAACCACCTGGTATATATCAACGGAATTTTGACGGCTCAAATCGGAGATGAAAAACTACTTTCCCATGAAAAAACTATGAGATTTGGAATTTCATGAAACTATCTCCTATTTGAGCACTCCAAATTTCTTTGTGATATACCAAGTTGTTCAAAAATTAGTAGGGGGGGGGGAGCAGACTTTAGACGGGCACAGTATATGTGATTCCCAAATTTTCTCCCCACCATTTTAATGAATATTCTGTGATCTTTTGACAGGTGCAAAGTGTTATTCAACCAAATCAACAGTCAGTTATCCAGACAGCTGCCAATCTACAGCCGATGCTGGGAAAGAATGTCATACTGGTCAGTAGCAAACCAAATTCTGTTATACAGACGACGCAGGGCAGTTTGCAAACTTTACGAGTAAGACCAGTTCTTAAAAGTTCAATTATAAAGATGATATCATTTTTACATCCTATACTAAACACATCCTTTTCCACATTGTTTTCCATATTTGTTCATTCCATCCTATTTTTCCTGATTCATACTTTCCTTTTTTTAACATACTTGTTTCTTGGAATAAAAACAATGAAAATTTGTGCGCTGGAAATTCTATTTGAGGGGTAGGTAATTCATGCGTTTTTATTTAGCCTTGTTTCATTTTCGTCCAATAAATAAAGGGGGAAAAAAATTTTTTGTTCTAAAATGACCCCAAAAGACCAGAAAGATAGGTTTTCAGCCAATATCTCCTAAAATATGGCAGTTAGAGATTTTCGGTTCAGATAAAAATTGAAGTTCAGTTAATTTTCTACAAAAATGGTCCTTATCATTTTTGTCGAAAATTTGCCCGGTTTCGAGGAAAACGGCACGAAGCGCACCTCGAATAATGAGCTTCTGTTGTATGCCGGAGAGCACAGTCCGTGTATTTACACATCGGCGGGGGGACAAATTATTCAATAACTTTGTTGAAAATGCATATTTTCTCATGATTCAAAGTTCATGTGAAAGAGGAATTCTGCTGCTATCATACCCTGTGAATTGATTCACGCTTGACTCTTTTGGCCATATCGGAACATGGGTCAAACTTTCTGCTCCCGGTCAATTTTGACCTCGCCAGGAATTTGTTCCTATTTTTTTTTGTATTGCACTAATTTACTCAAAATTCTCTTGATTATGGGTCCTCATAAAGTCCTTCGTCATCCCTGAAATTTATATACCCTAATTTTTTTTAATTTTCATTTAATCTTTGTTTATTGAATCCCAATTTTTTGCTGTTTTTGGAGCGCGGGGAAATTTTGTGAACAACCATCAATTAAAAATGTATACATGATCCGATTGGTTTTTATGATACATCATTTGAAAGCTAAGAAGGTCTACTTTTCGATTGTGCAATCACTTTGTTAGACGAAGTCGTCCATTTTTCAATAAAATTAGAAAAAGCGGGGTCAAGGAAAAAACGCACTTTTTTTCGGTGTTTTTTTTCTCCGTGCTATTTATTTCTAACATTTTAACACCTTAACTAGTGTAACGGGGGAATTCCCACCTTTCCATCGATGTATATAAGTCATACCTTGATATCCCGGGAAAAAAACAGTATATCTAAATGTACACGTTATAATTTATTACTTTCGTTCCTCCGTCGTTCGCCGCGTGTGTGCTCTACGTGGCGCTCGGGTCGTCTGCTACAAACCATGCGGCCACGCAGGGTATGATAGCAGCAGAATTCCTCTTTCACATGAACTTTGAATCATGAGAAAATATGCATTTTTAACAAAGTTATTGAATAATTTGTCCCCCCGCCGATGTGTAAATACACGGACTGTGCTCTCCGGCATACAACACAGAAGCTCATTATTCGAGGTGCGCTTCGTGTCGTTTTTCTCGAAACCGGGCAAATTTTCGAGAAAAATGATAAGGACCATTTTTGTAGAAAATTAGCTGAACTTCAATTTTTATCTGAACCGAAAATCTCTGCCATATTTTAGGAGATATTGGCTGAAAACCTATTTTCCTGGTCTTTTGGGGCCATTTTCTCCGCCATCGCACGCGTTTTCCAGTCAAACTTTGTCTCATCTTCAATGAGGTACCAAAAGCTACTTCCAACCGGAAGATGAAAATAGTGCGTAATTAACGTTAACTTTGCCTTTTTTTTCCTCCTTCATTTATTGGACTATTTTGAGATTCCTGTTCCCTTATAATGTTCATTTATTTTTTATCATGGAAATGAGAAAGTTGAGATGAAAGATAGATCACGAGGACAATGAGAAAATAAAGTATTTCACTGGTTGTTATTTGTAGAATTGTATGCCAATTATCTCTTATTTATTTTTTAAACATATGATCTACCCGAGGATCTACTTCTATTTTGGATTGTTTCTGTAGGTTGTTGAGAATGGCAGTGATGACAGTTTCTCGGAAGAAGAATCTCCAAAAAAACGACGGGACCTGTTGACGAGAAGGCCGTCCTACAGGAAGATTCTCAACGATCTTGGAGGGGGTGAGATAACTGGTATGTTTTTTTGCATGGCTAGGTATGAAAACAAAGTTTCAAATTTCAATCATCCAGATTCATGTCATATTTTTAGGTATTCTTCCTTTTTTTTTTTTTTAGAAAAAAAAAATGCATTTCAAGGTATTGTTTTCATTCTGATTTATAATTTTAGCTATGCATGTGTTCAGTAACAGAATGGCACTAGAGGCAAGTGATGAAACACTTACTTTTTCTAGTGCCTATTTTTAGGTAGTAAATGAATTTTGATATGCATGGTATTGAAAGTAGTCCTTTCTTGGCATCGGAGATCTACAGGATGTTTATTTCCAAATTATTAGAAGTTTAGTCATGCCTTTGAAAGTAAATTCATTTTTATACAGAAAATATGGAATTGATAGCACAGACACACAGAGTGTTTTCTCCAATGCCAGGACAATTCGTTGAGAACCCATTGTTTAAGACATTTTTGACTTTGCAGTTTGCTTGCATGGGCTATTACATTTTTGTAGAATATTTATCTTCTTCTTCTTCTGAGCATAAGTACTTCATTGTGGTATGGGATCCTAAGTAAACAAACAATGGGCTTACCAGAATTACAGCTTTTTCCTGAATTCCTATTTACTAAAAATTAAATCAAACATTTCAGGTCCAATACAATCACAGAATTAGGTTTTTAATATCATGATATGACTTTTGTATTTGAATCTTATGAAATCAAAATGGTTTTTCAATAATTTAGGTACTCTTCAGAATAGATATTCATAAAAACATCTGTAAAATTGATCATATTAATAATTATATAATAGATCGTTTTTGAGAGAATTGTGATTTGACTTTTTGTGGTTGAGTTGTCTCTAGGGTTTAAAAGTATCCAATATCCTTGATGAATGATGGTTGATTTTTTTTTTAGCAAATAGGTGAATTTTATGGAATGTGAACATTGTGATAATATTTCGTCACATTTTTATGGTGTTCACAGAAGGGAAAGTCGAGCATACTTCTTCAGAGGCAGATAGTGAGTTGTCTTCTCACTCTATCCCATACCACACAGGTTAGTTATTGTAAGAAAAAGAGAAAATGTGCATATTTTCTCAGCCAATGCATATTATGTTGGATTTCACCTTATTACATATTTTGTAATATCTGAGGATCTGATGCACCAACTGAGTCTTCAAACTGACCTAGTTCAGATGAGAAACGACATAAACACAATTTGATTGATTTGCATTGCAGATTTTTTTAATTCAACTCTATATTGAGTACACATATTATGCTGAAAAAAATATTATATTGGAATTAATCTCACTCTAATCTTTTTTACTGTCATTTAAATGATTTTCTACCTTGATTTTTGAAGACACAATTACACCATGGTATGTAAATCCTTATGGGAAGTTTTTGTTGTCTGTAAAACTACAATGGGCAATGTGTTCACATTAATATTGTAAAACAATTCAAAGAAGATTCCTTGCAAGAAAATGAAAAAAAAAAGGTTATATAATTGAAAAAAAAAAATCATCATTCTTTGTTTTCTTGACATTTTGTAGGTTTATTTGAAGTGACAACACTCCCTGTGATGTAATTAGAATTTGTTTGATTATCCTATAGACATCCTAGGGCGCATCTTGATTGATATTATTATGAAAGAATGTGTCCTGTCATCATTTTGTTACTTATTTATTCATATGTTTGTGTCATAGCTGAGAAGAAAGTTGAAGGGACCTCATCTCAAAAAAAAAAAATTAGATGTGTGGAAAAAAAGCGTGGGATTAAAAGAACAATCATCTCAATAGGAATCTACTCTTCATTTTTTTACAATATTGATGTCCTGTGTGTTTATCTCCGTATTTCGATTTTTCACAGCCATCCTTATAAACAATGAAAAATATGTGTCAAGGCAAGGTTTATGAATAAAAATCATTTAGCTTAGTTAAATTGCATTCAATTCACAAATTCACAGGAGCAAAGTTCAATACAGGGTTGAGCAGCAGTCCTAGAATGATCAAATATCTCGGGAACTGTTCAATAGATTTCTTCTTTTTTTTTTTTTTTTGAAAAAATCACAGTGTGTAGTTAGAGTGACTTTATAAATAGAGTGACGACAATAGTGGTTCACTTTTTGATTGGTCAGACCTGTAATATGGAGGTGCATCCACCTGTCGTGTTCTCTCCATTCAGTTCTTCGCATTCTATCTCACTTTGTCAATGCTTTGTCTCCGTTTTATGCTCTTTGGACATGAAATATCCAACAATCAGAAATGAAACTCTATATTTCGGTACCTTGGACATTAACTATTAGAATCCGTCTTTTGGGACTTGTAAGTCTCAGATTATTTAGATGATGAAATGAAAATATCAAATATCTAAACCTAACATTAGGTGCGCACTTCGAAGGCGCAAATTCATTACTGCATGGGAGATACCCTTCAGATTTTTAGCTATTCACTGACTTGTCCACGAATAACATTCCGGAAACGGCAGCCATTTGGAGGAGGTCTATTGTCGTCACTCTATTTAATCTATTCACTCTAGGATTTAGTCATATTCGACCGTTCTAGGACCTCGACCCGGCCGACCCTCTATGACGTAGACGCGGATATTATCATTTGTTCACAGTGTTGCCGGCTGGGGCGTTACAGATAACCAGCGGCGACGGCACTCAGACGGGTATACAAACGCTTACGATGACGAACGCGACGGCAGGAGGTGCCATAGTGCAGTATGCGCAGGGTCAAGAGTTTTTCGTACCCGGTAAGGAATTTGCATCGATTTTGGCTTGTCCTCAGCTCAAAGTCGAGGAGAGTAACCAAACTATGGAATTGTCTGTCTCTTCGATGAGCCCTAGATGTCCCAGTCCTGAGACCCCCGAAAATCCTACCAAATGTTCTCCCGAAAGTAGCGAGTATTTTACCAATTCTCCAGTCGAATTCTATCAAGGTACATGCAATCACTTTAAAAGCAAATTCACACTCCAGCCAATCAAATAATAATAGCCATTATTTCTCGAAGTTAACCAGTCAATTTTCCTCGAAGTGTAATCCAAACTATGACGTGATATAACCCTTTTGGTATCACTCCATTATCACGACATTTGCAAAGAAAAGTTAAATTATTTTCCGCGTGAGACAGTTTTATATAGAAATATTCAAGCTTTCGGAACTGATGATTGATGTGAGGCCCATACCTATTTGTTAAATACTGTCTGTAGGTTAATCGATTAACCTACAGACAGTATTTATGACGTGATAGTTAATCAACCACACTAACCTGCACACTGAGGTAGTTCACGAAGTAGTTGAAGCATAATTAATTAGTGTTACTAATGAAACCAAACAATAAACAAGAACAGCTGATAAACTGACATCTGTCAAGCCTCAAAAGTAAACCGTGATGTCATAATAAAGTTACCATGACGTCATCATAATGTTAACCTGGTTTGCCTGGTTAGGTCCCATGAAAATAATCATAGTCTTTAAATTTACACTAACAAGGTGAACCATCTTTATGGTCAGCAGGCTGAAAATCACAGTTGCCTTAGAAATATATTCACAGATTATATGAGTCAAGAAATATATTGACCATTATAGAACACTGTGACCTATTCTGATATAGCATCATCAAGTAGTTTCAGACGATTGGTCTCAAATGCATGAAGAATTCAGTTATTAAAAAAAAATGGTGGCTAAGAACTTTTCCTATGAAGTCACATTGAAACAATGATATAGGTCCACAGGTTTACTCTCGCCTTGAAAAAAAAAATATTTTGGTACATTTGTTAGACTGCATCATATTGATGAGTTCAATATTAAGGATGGATCTTTCACTAATTCTGAGATGAAAAGTTCACAAAAGCTTGATTCTGGAGATACAGGACATCCAAAATAATTGTTCCATCTGGTTTTTTGATGATCTTATTTGGAGGGCAAGAAATGGGATTCTTATTATGTTCAAAGGATAGGGAGAAAAACTAGGTATTGGAATATTCCTTGTGGAGGTTCTTGGGCATTCTTCTTTAAGCAAAGAGTGGGCCTGTTTCAGTGAAAAATTTAATTTCATTATTTCGAAGTACTAATTCTAACTAGTACACTGTCGCAAACTGTTTGTTCCTCAGAGCTCTGTGAATTTTGAAAAATTATTGAAATGCGTGACGTAATCATCCGTGAACAATTCAATGCAATTATATAAGATTCCACTTACCTATCCATTCTCTATATCTGTAACACAAGAACAAGAATATTTCTGATTGTCATTTCAATCAAAATATGAAATCAATTTTCTGGACTGAATACTTACTGCAGATAACAGAGAACACAACACACAACTGAAGAAACCGATAAAATGAGGATTATCTTTGAATATTCGCATTATTTGTGAGATTTCACCATGGATTTGACTGGATGATAGGTTTTGAAGATGATGGTGACAGACGAGACTGAAGGTTAGAATAATTCTTCTTTATCCCAAAAAAATTGGGACCAGCTTTACAACAACAGAATGTTTCACGACTGCAAAAAATCCAAAATAGTTGTATTAGATTCTCATATGGGATACGAAAGTATGATCATATTAGTACCTCGTTTGAGGATTCTGGTTGGCTAAAAATGAAACAGATAAGAGAAATGCACCTCCTCACCTTCACGCATAAAATTTTGCATTCAAGAACTCCACCATATTTACGTAGGAAATTGGTTCCACTATCACAAAATGCAACTTCCCGAAATAAACATTACTTGCTGATTCCTAGACATTCTACCGCAATGTATACACGAAGTTTCTCTTATAACGCTGCTAAACTGTACAACAGTATGCCAATTGATTTCAAAGATTGTAGTTTACAAAATTTCAAAAAACGATTGAAAAGCTATGTTCAGAACAAGGCAATGATAATTCAATGACGTTTGCAGTGGTTTCCGGAATTCAAAATTTGATAAATATTTAAAGAATTAAATAAATTCTTTAATGTTGGAATATTTAGTTTTATAGTATATGTACATGAATTATATTATTTTTCTTTGTTTGTCAATACTATATATATAATATATGTATTTGAAGGTTAGGTTTAAAAACAGCTTCATCAGCTGAACCTCGCCCATTCGTCATTCATGTATTATTTATTCTATGTTTCATAACATGTTTTTTTTTTTACAGAATGATGAATAAAGCCTATTATCATTATCATAAAGCCTATTATCATTATCAAATAAAATCATAATAAGGAATATAGGGATATTATGACCGACACTAGTGACGCTGAAGCACCTTGCAAGGTATATAAGTAATCAATAACTGATTATCAGGAACCAGGTTTCAAAATTGTCCCCTGCATGCAAATCATGTCATCGAAACATGTTTTTTTTTCGTAGGTGCCGATTTTCAATAAATGAAAAAAAGAGCTAGAACAAATATTTTTCCACAAATATTTTTCCGTGTATAATATACTATTTTTTTTTTGTGACAGAAAAATACCGATTCACTATTACGAAGATGTAACATTATAATAAAATCTGAAGAATATCTATGTGAAATTTGAAGTTTTTAACTGGCTATATGCCATGAGAAACATTGAATTATGTATATTGAAAACACACGATAAGAATTTGAAAACGAAATCTTCTGAAGTTGAGAATTTGTATTCTCCTTCTAAATCTGTTTTGATTCTAAAAAATTGCGAACAGTCATTGTTTAGTAATTAACGTAACGTTTACGTTCACGAAGTGGAATGGAAGATAAAAGGACTTTCTCCGGGAAAAAAGTTCTAACTTTTTTCCCGTGGACGATGTGATTTCCAAAATATTCTTAGTCACATCAAGTGACGGCCGAGTCAATTAAAAAAAAAACATATAAAATGGCCAACTTTTTTCCCGTCACAAAAAATACTATTTATACACGTACCGATCAATATAAAATAGATATGTGACATGAATTCAATTAGTATGTACAACCATACTTTTGCCCTGTATCTCAAGAATTTGACCTCAGTCAAGGATTCACCATTCAAAATTAATACAGACATGCTTAATGAACACCCTGTACAGTGTACTCATTACAAAATATTTGTTTGGCTGGAGTGAATGATCAACCGAGAAGTCACTAATTAATCCGGTCAAGTTACACCGAAAAATACGAGTGTGGTTACAAAAATTAGCAGCAAGCTGAAAATTGGTAAGATTGTTCAGAACACCATGATAAATGAAATCTAAAAAGTCCTCAACGATCCGACAACTGGAAAGAATTTTACTCGGGGTCAAAGGTCACAAAAACGGGTTTTTAGGAATTTTCAGCAAAATGGTGAGTTTAATCATAAAATTAAAAGAAACAAAAATTGTAGATCCGATAATTATCTACAGAATATGTTCAATTACTTTTTTCCTTAGAGCCATCGTTTTTGAGATATAACGATAAAGTTCATAGAGTTGCGAGAAGAGTTGTAATCGTCATATGCACACGTTTCCACGCCACCTTCAAGGTAGTATGTACTCAGCGCGTTTTTTTTAAGTGGTTTCTCCGGTACGCCTATTCCACAGATATGTTGTCATCTTGTTCATTATTGCATATATTACCAAGGGAAAATGATAAAACTGATGAAAGCGTTGTAAATTAAAAAGAAAGGGAAATTTGTTGATCTGATTCATCATTATCTATTACTTCTGCTTCCTCTTCCTGTTCTTCTCCATCTCCTTGTTCTTTTCCATCTCGTTGTTATTCTTCTTCATCCTGGGTGCAAGTAAATTGCCCCAATAATGACACATCGCATGTCTCCTCGTTTGTAAAATCAACATTGGAGCACGACTGTTCTTGAAAATTTGAACAAGCTACAGAACAAAATGATCCAACTTTTTTGCAACCACATTTAGCACTACATCCCTTTTTACAGTTACAAAAAATTGTGTTTAGCAATTTTTCCGGCGCAGGTGGCAGTGAAGATAGAACTGGTTCTAATGTATTGTCGACCAATATCCAACCCCAGTCTTTTGGGTCTAACTGATAACCAAGTCACACTTGAACTTGGTAATATACCCGAAAAACATGTTGATGAGCAGCCGCTGGGGTTGGAGGTAGACAAGCCAACTGCACTTGTTTTTCATTTCGAGTATTTTTAATGAAACATGCATATCTGAACTTATCTAAGCACGTAGTTTTTTTAGGAGCTCCATACATAGAGAAGAGAATGCGAATTCCGTTGGTGATAACTTCTTTTGGAGTTGAGTTACTCATTTTAAAAATGTCAGCACATTCAACGAAATCTTATTTTTTAAACATTTGAAAAACAGTTGTTTTACCCCTCCTAAAGAATGCAAATGTAGTGTCACAGCCAGTTATTGCATGTAAAAATAGAACATGATTTTGACATTTTGCAAAAGTAGATAAACTTTATGATGAATATATTACCGAATGGTGTTGTCCTTGTCCAGGTTTAAAAAAAGAATTGTTTTTTCGATGGGAGTTCAAGCAGTGAGAAATACGAGTAAGTCTACAACAATAGTTGTATTTATTGAATTGAATTGCTCTATTGCTGTTTCAATTATCATCACATCAGCATCATTATTAGCTTGTTTTACCAATATATTTTCAGCAGTCAACTTTTCTTTCAACATTGAAATGAACCGACTTTTGTTGTGAGTATTTGCAAGGAATTTCTGTTGAGTGGTAAGAGCTGTCACAGATTGATCAAATAAAATATCAGAAGATGAATATGTTGCTAAAATTCTACGACTGGGAATAGAAGCGTCGGGAAATATTTCCGCGGCGGCTAGTGAAGAGCGTGAAAACATGTGCATGCTATGACAATTACAACTCTTTGAACTTTTCCAATCATTATATCTCAAAAACGGTGGCTCTTAGAAAAAAAAGTAATGGGGAAGTTTCCTTTATATGAATTTTCATAAAATATGTTTTATGTCCACGCTGTACAGAATGGCGGCCGATAAAGTCCAAGTCGTTTTCATTTTCAAATTAAAGCAATTTTCAATTTTCGGGGCGACGTACATTCTAAATGTAGTCTGAAAATAGTTGATGGTGAAGAATATAGCTAGCAAATAGCTAACGAATAGCTAATGAATGAGAAGCGAATGAAAAAAATAGAAGACGAAGTAAAACTAGTTAACAAAAACATACATAACCAGAAATGCACTCGGAGCAGAAATGCAGACGGTAGTTGGCTTCATTTTGACAGGTTATGGTTTTGTTATTTATGCATTGAAATATCTCGAAAAGAGCTCTATCCTGAACGAAAATATCATTGAATCAATGAATCGCTATCGGCTACATTCAATGATACTATCCTTCCTAATTTACTGTCATCGGTCAGAACTAAATGAAGCCGATACCCATGGTTCCTTCCTTTTGTTGTGCCTGCCAGTATTTTGAGTGGTGTTGACGGGCTCGAAGTATTAGGCGCTGTTGAAAGATATAATCTGCAACTTTCCTAGAAAATAGATCCTTTTTATTAAGGAACGAATTCATTAGCAAAAAAAATGACTGTCAAGTTATGAATAACATATTGTAATATAACGATAGTGAAAAATAATAGATACTATCGCAAAATTTCATAATTCATCTTTAACAGTAATCAACTTTATTCAGCCAATGAAAGATTTATGGGAATTATTCATAATACTTGACAAAGTAGGATTGAAGAACCTATTATATCCCATTGCTGTTATGATATAGTTATGATGCATTCAAAGAACAATTTCCGGAAATGTAGACATATTGATGATGTCAGCAACGTCGTAGTGGCACAGGGAATCGTACTTCAACTCTGTGTGAATGTGGATTTTCAGAAAGTAAGTCATAGAAATGGTGGAGGAGCCAAGTTCCTCTTTTGTTTATTTTTTTCTAAAGTGAAATTTTATCTTACGAAAAAAAAAGGAAAAATATGTATATATCAATTTTTTACAAACTTCACAGTGAGATAAAAACCTCAATATAGGAAACTTCCCCATTGAACATATTTTATAGATAATGGGCTTATATCTCAAACAATTTTCATTTCATAATTCGATTCACCACCGTAAACCGTTTCTTGCTGTGAGCTCCCTACGTTTTATAAAAAATTATTGAAATCCCCGATTTTTCGGACCTCTGAAAACGAGGCGATTATGTGACGTCAAAACCATAATACTGAAACAAGACTATTCCAAACAGAGATGAATGATACATGATTTCTGACAGAGTGAATTATCGCGAGATCACAGTTGAAACATAGTTGAAAGAATTAATATATCAGTTGCCTCAGTCTTCGTCGGGCGTATGGTATTTTCTTTTAACTATGGCGAGATGAGGTTTCTTCGTCATAAGAGGGTCCGTTTTCAGAAGGTACTATTATTTATGTCCAAAAATCAAACATTCAGGTTAATTTTCCGATCGAATTATGTTGTCAATCATTATTTATGTATAAAAGGATCATCATAAACATGATTTGAGTTAAAAGTTCTACTAAGGTGTACACGCCCATTATCTCATCTACAATTTTTGTGACCTTTGACCCCGAGTAAAATTTTTTTGGCTCGATGAGGACTTTTTAGATTTCATTTATGATGGTGTTTTGAACAATTCTACCAACATTCAGCTTGCTGCAAATCTTTGTAACCTCGGATGTTCAACTTGACCGGATTAACAAAGCCGAAAAAAATAAACGACCTATCGGTTTCCTTTCAGTTGTGACTCAAAGCAACAGCACGGGCGAGGACCAAGCAAGGAAGCGGGAAATGCGGCTGATGAAAAACCGCGAGGCAGCACGCGAATGTCGTAGGAAGAAAAAGGAGTACATAAAGTGTCTGGAGAACCGCGTGGCGGTATTGGAAAACCAGAACAAGGCGCTCATCGACGAGCTGAAGTCGCTCAAGGAACTTTATTGCCAGCAAAAGGCGGAATGAGTGGACTCTGCAGGTTGTTGTTGTCGTCGTGGTGAGGTGGAGTGTGTGGGTTTAGAGGCAAAGTGGAGTATACCAAAAATGTTGTGGGGTAAAGTTTGGAGGGCCCGGATGTTTTGGTTGAAGGAGTGGTATGGGGACCTAGGAATCATCGAAATGAATTTAATTCACAATATTTAGCCATCAAAACAAGAAACTGGAACAAAAATATTCAGAATCAGTTCTTTCATTTTTGAATGAACCATCTGTTTTGTTTGGTTTCAACAATGTTCAGTAATTATTGATTAGATTCTCCAGTATTTAACAGCTTAACCAATTTTCTAATATGTTATGTGTTCTCTATAGACAGACGCTTATAAAAGTTGGTACTAGGGAGAAAATGGGAAGGTTGCTCATTTTTTGTTAGGGTGTTGTTTGGGAAATTTCTAGTTGATTTATTTTCAATTTGATAATATAGTATGTTTCTCTCAACAAAATAATCGTTTGTTCACCAAATTTAAAATGTATGCTGATGTAAGGTTAATTTATAACATAACTATTGATATGAACCATACCACATTCACTGAATTCAAATTAGTTGAAAACTACATACAGAGTTTTCCTGAAATCAAGTGACAAAAGTCTACCATAGATTTCTTTCATGGTTTGTATGTTTATCAGGTATATCTTTTGAACCTGTCATAATTTACTAAATAATTCCAGTTGCCTGCAATTTGTGTTTCAAAAAGTAACACCCATAAAAGTTGAGAGAAAACTAAAAAAAAACATGTATCCTCAAAAAAACAAACCAGGAGGGAAACAGTCTAGAGATCATAAAGTAATGCTTTTATTGGTTTATCTAAATAAAACAATGGAGTTTGAAAAAGTCTACTGGGTGTTGTTTTTCGGGCACAAAACTGCAATACTCTTTATCTTAAACTGTTTTCGGTTAAAGGAAACTTTTTACTCTATTCTATTGAAGCAAACTCCACTTGAATTCAGGAGCACCCTGTATAAACAGTTGGTTACAAACTAGCAAAATGTAATTTGAAATATTATGCTGATGTCTTGGAGATATTTTTACAAAACTTGACATCATTGAGATATTTAAATATTGTATTTCAGTCAATGAGTATTTTGTTTATACAAAACTCATGAAGGAGATCTGAGAGAACAACATTTTTTCCTATGACTTATTCATTTATTGTTTAGTCAATTCTCATGTTGATTGTATTTTAACATTTATATTAAATTATGGAGGAAAGAAGGCTTGTGAAAAGTGATGTTAATTTTAAAGTTGCCCAATGTATATATTGTACCAGATTACAGAGATGTTGATAAAAATTTTTGAATGGAATACCTTGGAGAACAATTAGATTTATTTAGCGATCTAGAATTGTCCAGGGTATTTCATGTCCAAAACATAAGGAGTGCCTTTTAAGCTTAGAAAACCGTTTGATTCCTAACACTGCAAAAGTTATGCTATACCATGTCATTTCAAGATTAATTCTTGGAAATGGTCATCATACAAGTGTTACGTTTCTACCCAAGTGATTGCAGAACAGAATGGTCTAACTATTGCAACAAAAAGTGTACATATGTGTAAGTAATGTATATGTATTTTTACATATCAGAGTATCTAACTACTTTTGCACAGCCAAAGGTATCTCAAAATTGGGAAAATGTTTATTTTGATAAATATAGAGATTGTTATTGTTGCCTTATCATTTTCTAACAGAAAAACTGAATTTCCTTGATGAAATTGAATGTGTTCCAGTCATTTGGTGCCACTGCTTAGAAGGATTTACAAGAAACTCAAATTGAGCAAGATTTCATCTTTGCTTTTCAGTTTTTTCTGTTACAAGGTGCCCAAAAAATGTCATGGACATGGTCTCACCACAGTAAGAGTGTATACTGTGGTCTCAACCAATGTATTGCTATTATTTTGGTAGTCACTAGAGTTAGGAAAATTTGTAAATAATATTAGATGTTATGAAAATATCAGTTAAAACATGATTTATTACCAAATAAAATGGATATTTTATTAAATCTGTTCATTATTTAACATTACATTTTTATTTATTTCTTACATGTAAAAAACTATTTGCCATAGGAACATGTACAGGGTAATTCGCCATAAATGTCCCCCCTCTAGCTCACTTATTTTTTAACCGATTTAAAGATTTGAAAGATCATATAAAAATAATTTTAGATGTTATGAAAATATCAGTTAAAACATGATTTATTACCAAATAAAATGGATATTTTATGAAATCTGTTCATTATTTAACATTAAATTTTTATTTATTTCTTACATGTAAAAAACTATTTGCCATAGGAACATGTACAGGGTAATTCGCCATGAATGTCCCCCCTCTAGCTCACTTATTTTTTAACCGATTTAAAGATTTGAAAGATTATCTAAAAATAATTTTAGATGTTATGAAAATATCAGTTGAAACATGATTTATTACCAAATAAAATGGATATTTTATGAAATCTGTTCATTATTTAACATAAAATTTTTATTTATTTCTTACATGTAAAAAACTATTTGCCATAGGAACATGTACAGGGTAATTCGCCATAAATGTCCCCCCCTCTAGCTCACTTATTTTTTAACCGATTTAAAGATTTGAAAGATCATATAAAAATAATTTTAGATGTTATGAAAATATCAGTTAAAACATGATTTATTACCAAATAAAATGGAAATTTTATGAAATCTGTTCATTACTTAACATATTTTTTTTAATTATTTCTTACATGTAAAAAACTATTTGCCATAGGAAAATGTACATGATAATTCGCCATAAATGTCCCCCCCTCTAGCTCACTTATTTTTCAACAGATTTAAAGATTTGAAAGATCATCTAAAGTTATTTTTCAGAATTTTTTTCCCGTTGCATCAGAAAATACAGGGTGCTCGGAACAAACGATCTACAGAGTACTTCTCGATTTTTTCAAATGGAACACCCTGTATTTCATTATATTTTGAGATTCTCCCTGACGAGCTGATTTCATCAATGCATCACACTTGGGGTCTAGCGGGAATGATTACAGAGATATAGGGTGTTCAAAACCGAGATTTTTCAACTTTAGTATTTTTTTGTGTCAAAACTATTTATTATTGGTCAAAACGGCTCCAATGTCCCTATCTCAACTTTTGATTTACTATCTACTGACATTTAATTGGGACATATACAGTGTGGTTCAAGATTCAGAATTCTGATTACCCTGTATCTATTCCAATTATTAAATGTCAGTAGATAGTAGATAAAAAGTTAAGATACGGACATGAAAGCCGTTTTGACCAATAATGAATAGTTTCGACGCTAAAGAATCCTAAAGTTGAAAAATCCCGATTTCGAACACTCTATATATCTATACATTAATGAAATGAGCTCTTCAGGGAGAATCTGAAAATACAATGAAAAATAGGGTGTTTCATTAAAAAAAATCAAATAGTACCCTGTAGATCGTTTGTTTCGAGCACCTTGTTTTTAGTGAGATTTGCAATGGCCCACAGAATATTTATAAAATTCAATGAGGATTATAAAATCGCCAAAGATTGTGAAATATTTCAGTTTTTGTTTGTGGTGAATGTTTCACTGACTGAATTTGAACACATGTATTTTTTATTTCACCAAGTTGAATATACATACTTGAATAATGTTATTCTTACAGAGAAAAACCAGGAAACTTAGCTTCCATGGGGTTTTGAATATCCAGCATCAAATACAGGGGTCCAGCAACACCTTCAAATAGGGACATAGGTCTATCAGGGGGATTTTCTTCATGTTCTCTGGCATAATCCATACACCATTCAGTGAATTTAATTGCCCTGTACAAGTGTTTTTCATCCTTGAAAAATAAAAGGTGCAAAAGTTGGAAAAATAAGAAAAAAACAACTTACTTTAGTAGTTTGATACAATTCCAGAAAACAGTAAGCATTTCCTGATACTCCATGGCAAAGGCTGTAACCTTTTCTCAATAGTCCTCTTTCCCAAACAATTTCACCACATTGCAAAGCCACTTCAAGATACTTTGGATCTTGAAATACCTAAAAATAATAAGAATACTTTTTACACTGGGATTGGCATATCATATGATTTACTTTGGATCACCTTGTATGCTGTTGTTAATAAATACAAAAATCCTGGTGCACCATGACACCACTGCACATATTTGTCACTGTCTCTTCCAAGAGATGATGGAAAATTACCACTAGCAAATCTGCAATAAATTAAATCATTTTTATGATGAATTCATAATAGCCGCTATTTATATATCAAGGGAGGAAAGGTATCCATTTCCTTCCGCATGTGAAGTTTGATGCACGACGCGTAGGGGAGGGCATTAAACCGTTACCACCGATACAACAAGGCCAGCAGACTCTGACGTAAACAGCTCGTGACGTCACCAAGAGAGGCCAGTGTTTTATTTTATCGCTTGTAGACTAACGCGTCAGTTCGTCAAAATATTCTTTTTTCAGAAATTGTTTGTCAAAAAATGGTCGCCATTTGAAAAATAATAGTTAGACACGAAAATGTAATTTTGTCAACTTGTCTTATTCATATCTATCATACTTGTCACTAAAACTTCGCGATTGTAATTTTCTGATAACACCTGAGGTGCTTTGATCAGTTTACTTCCAATCATGGCCACCTAAATGTAATTTCAAAAGTGACTCCGAAAAAATTAGGTAGACATAAATACTTTAGGAAATGTCATATTCTGATCTAGAGTTGTCTCAGAAATCCAAAAATGTTAAAATATACAGGGTGTTCCATTTAAAAATTTAGAACCGGAGCCATTTTCGGTGAAACCGGAAGTGACCGGAAAGTGGAAAATATGTGAGAACTCTCCTCTTCACATACCATTTACCAACACCAAATCTCATTTTGATACACCTCATGGTCTAGAAGTTATGCTTTGTCTAATAGATTCGTTGACACCCGGTATATACAGGGTGGCCCATCGAAAACTTGACATCGGGCTGTGGTCGCTTACAGTGCCTTAATGCGGCTAACTAGCACAAATATGGCTCAAAGGATAACAAAGTTGTATATTTTCCCGCCAAAATTCAAAAATTGCAAATTTCTTATGGAAAACCATCTAGAGGCATGTGGAATCTCTCAGGGATTCTGAATCTATACACATTTTTGTCTCTAAACCAAAGGATAACAAAGTTGTATATTTTTCCTGCCAAAATATGTCAAATATCTCGGGGATTCCGAATCTATATGTTGTGTCCCTGACAAAATTAAAAAAATATGAATTTCTTATTGAAAATCATCTAGACATCTAGAGGCACCTAAAATCTCTCAGGGATTCTGAATCTTTACACATTTGTGTCTCAAAAACAAATGGTAACAAAAAGTTGTATATTTTTCTTCATCAAAATTCAAAAATTGTGAATTTCCTATTGAAAACCATCTAAATCAACATAGGATTCCCAATCCATACAGGTTCATTATGTCTCCAATAGAATGGACAAAAAAGTTACTGACTTTCCTCTCAATCCTATACCAATACCCCAACTAGCTCTACTCTTTTGTGATCTGAAATCTTAGAAATTTCATCATACTTATACCTTTGATCCAAAAGATACTCAATAGTGGGCTTGATTAGGGTGTTCAAATCCTTCTCAGTTAAAAACTCCTTAGCTTGCAGTAACAGATAGAGAATACCAGATATACCATGGGCAGCTCCCAGATAGTAACTATTGTGCCACTGGTACATCAATGGAACCTTGAATTTTAAAGCTTTTGATGTGGTTCTCCCACTGACCAAAATGGCTTCTATTATCTATAAGAAATATATATATTCTTCCTAAGCATAAAATGAATCTGGAGATTTTGAAAATGAATAATGAATTACCATTCTTATGAAGTTATCATCAAAAGGTTGAGGATGAACATTTTTATTAACATAAAGAATTGAGTAGAGGTATCCAGCTCTCCCATATAAATATTCATCAGGAATATCAGAGTTCATATCAAGTACACATTTACCCAATTCCTTCAACCTAGAACCACATAATGCTCTTGCAAAAATGGTATGTTGCTCAGTTTGTACCAATATTGGTTACATCATAATATATCTCAAACTTCCCATCATTGGACCATGACTGCTAGCTGAGCTGGTAGCTTATAAAAATCATAGAAGGACTGAGAATTCAAAGTGAAGAGTGAATGAAAATAAACCTGAGGAATATTTCATTCACATTTCCTGTTAAACCTGGTTAGAGTATTTAGGTGGAGGTTGTGGAAGGCAACTACATCATAGTGACATCAATATCAACTATTGTTGAATTCCTATTTCTGTCACTTTACCCACTTCCACAATTTACCCTTGTATCTCAATTCATTTTCAATTTGAATGTTCCCATCATATCCTCCATTTATCATATTCATCATTTGTAAACAAATATGCAAGTTTACCTTTAAACACCTGGAGTTGATAAACCCAAGGACTACCTGTCCTTGGATAAACCCAAGGGCAGGTAGGGGAGGTGTACCCACATGGATGTAATTTCAGGGTTAAACACAATGAAATGGGATTATCAGCTTTAACCATGACAGGTGATGTGAATGAAATATCCCTGTTGATTAGTGTTGATAGTTTGATACCTAAGTACAAAGTAATTTCAACTCTACTCTCATACCTTTCAATGAGTATTTGAGTCTCTGCTTGATTTCCAAGTCGGTGACTCACTATCACACCAATAGAAAGTGGTCCTGCATCACCACACAGAAATGTATATCTGTGATTTTTCAACTGATGCAGTGAGAGAAGACATTTTACCTCCTACAACATGATTGGTGATGAATGCATTCAATTTGAATGTCTAAAAGAGTGGTTTACTTCCAGGTTTCCTCTTTCAAAGGGCAACTTTTTTAGCTTGAGTAAAGCTATACCAGAAGTACCTGTGTACACACTGTAGTTATCTGACTCAAGGTTTAAAAAAGTATGAACAGTGGATTTCCATTTCTCATCTACCAATGAAGAGATTAGACTTCTTAGTTTGAGCTGAAAGAAAAAATAGGATTCCTAATGTGATGTGTGGAATGATATGATTATATACCTCACCAGTAAAGAATCTTCAGATGGAGAATAATCTTTATAAGTGTTCTTGAAGTACTTCATTTCATTGCTGTGTTGGTCTACCTGCCACTTCGGAAGTTTGAAAAGGAAACGGTACACTCGAGTTTGATTCAGTTCATCTGTTTGGTTTCGACTTTGAGTTTGAGAACTTGGATTTGTAAAATTTGAGATTTGTGTTTTGAAATTTTTCAAAATGTTGACATTGACAAAGTTCATCTTCTGTTATTCTTTTACTTTTTCAATTTTCTGCAATTTTCTGTTCTTCGTCTATTTTTATACGACTTAGCTTGCTAACAGTCTAGAAATTTAGCCGTCATTGGATAATCCCATTTCATTGTGTTTAACCGTGACGTCATTTCTGTTTGGTTTGAGAGATATCATATTCTTACACTCTGAAAATTACATTCGATTCATCTGGTGGCTACCATTGCTCAGAATTGACCAAATTAAAAAGAAAAAATAGGAAACAGGCAATAATTACGGTATAATTTCTACTTCCAAACAACAATTCTGCAGAATTACTGTTTCTGAGCAAAAAGTAATTATTATTATTGTGAAATTTCAAAACTACTTTAGATTGAATGATAATTGTTGGAAATTACTGAACATATTTCTGAAATTACTGAATTAATAGGAATTACTGAAGAATTATATGGATAATTACAGAGTTTTAATGAAATCCACTCAGAATAATCACAGTAATTTCATGGTGTACGTTTTAACACCCAAGTGGCACACCGCTCGCGAAAAACTTACAGATAATGAAATTCATTTTGAACTTATTTTGAAAGAAAAATACTTGTTAATCGAATTTTTAGAGCAGGAATATTCAAAAATCCAAGATTTACGAGTGGAACAGAGTGAGGAATTCAGGAAACAAAAAATAGAATGAAAAAATAGAGAGTTAGAAAATAAGTTAAAGCAAAAAGATTTAAATACAAAAGTCTGAGTAAGCAAAATTCAAAACTATAACCTAAAAATTATTTCAGATTTGAATCAAAATCAGCAAACATCAGAGAAATACAAGAAAATTGGACAATCAAATATCTAGACAATTTTGAGCAAAATTCATAGTTTCGATGAACAATATATACTATGAAAAACTTACTCAATAGCCAAAAAACGTCAAAACGGCAGTGTCAAGTACATTGAGGAACTCTAACCAACTCGAACCCCAACGTTGGTAAAGTTGTTCAATGTTGAAATTGAAGATTGTTTTACGAAGTGAAAGATGGAGGATATTACGGAAACACTCGAATCTCAAATCAATAGAATAGATGTCGAAGATACACGGACAAATATACAAAGGTTGCGAAATGGTACGGTAGGGATTAGGAGAATAAAAATATATTTAGGTAATTTCATGTTTCCAGATGACAAGCTCGAGCAATATATGTTTTGGATCATTATGCAAAGAGTTGAACCTGTACTATTCTTTGATCTTGATGTTCTTTCCTCATTTTTTGCTATATAGCTCTACCTAAAGCTCTCTTCATCGGAAACATGCTATAGAAATCTGAATACTTCAGGTAATAAATCTATCCAGGTTTCAAAGAAATGACGATTCCTGAAATGATGATACGAGCAGTGACTGTGGCGATACTCCGATGATTCGATCTCTTTTATCAGCGGAACAGAATGAAAGAACCTGAGCAATGACGCCTAGATATCTAGACATGTCTGACGGGTTTTACCGGTATATCAGAATTCTGATCACCCTGTATCTGTTCCGATCAGTGAATAGTAAATGAAAAATTGAGATAGGGACATGTGAAAAATTGAGATAGGGACATGTGAGCCGTTTTGGCCGATAATGAATAGTTTCAGCACAAACAAATCCTGAAGTTGAAAAATCTCGATTTTGAACACCCTATATCTCTGTAATCATTCCCGATAGACCCCAAGTTTGATGTATTGATGAAATCAGCTCTCCAGGGAGAATCTAAAAATGTAATGAAATGCAGGGTATTCTATTTGATATAACAAAGTTGTTTCTACTTTTTCATAGAAACGGCAATACTGCATTGCTGAAATTATTTTAAATGAAGAGAGCGCGTATTCTGAAATATAAGCATGCATATTTTCATGTATTTCTCCTGACTGATCCTCGATATAGAGATAGTGTAAGCTTGTCGCGTGACATACCCTATAATAAACTTCAATATTATTTGAGAATGAGATACTCTTCTTCGGATTCAAACTGTAGCTGGTTGCATTGAGTTAGGAGAATTCCATCAAAAACATATTTTATTAAAGTCCGCACATACATGCATTAGGTACTATATCTAAACCCTAAACAAAGAAATATACCTAAAAAGTCCCCCGTAAACTCACTAACCGAATCGCGTATGAATGTTCATGAACTACTCACAGCCTTTCAGAATAACCATTAGTCATAAGAGTCAGGTACCAAATCAAAGATCCTCTGTCTGTGCCTCTGTAGTAACAACCTTCCGTGACTGCTCAACTCAAGTGGTTTGACTCCAGCGCTGCCAACAAACTGCTTTGCCCTGTATATCAGGATACTCGAAGATTCTTATGTTAGGTTCTCTCCGTTGAAAAAGATACATGCACTTTTTGAATGCAATCCTTCCCTTTTCTCTTCTGACAACCTCCTGTCATCTCCCTTTCTTCACCTTCTTGATTCCCCATATTTCAATATATAACGAGTGCTCCTATTGCAAGGCGTGTACATTGTAGTTCATAAGGCCTGTATATCGTAGTTCACTTCAACCCTGTATGTTTCGTACCGTTTTTTGTATTTTTTCCGATCGAGGAATACTCTATTCTGATTTTCGTGCTTTCTGTTCGAAACTGTATTTTTTCCGATCAAGAAATACTTTCTTCTGATTTTCGTGCTTCCTGTTCGAAACTGCATTTTTTTAAATCTACCATCTTCAATAACTGTGATACAGAACGTAATCTCGATTTTGTCAAAATCTTCATCTATGTATGGTCAGGTCATAACTTTTGAAACACTGTGTATAATCGATTCATATACTTTATTTGTAGGTATATTCAACTCATATCACTCATCAGAACTAAATAGGAATAGAATTTAGAATCTAGATCCGTCTTCAGGCAAAACAGAAAACTTCTTCTTTCTCAATATCTTTGTTCATACGTCCATGCAACACTCTCTATATTAGAATCTTAATTAGAATCTTGTAGATATATATGTTTTGATATTTGCAAGGAGCAGGAAAAATCAAGGAATTGGTCTTCTTTTTAACAGTGCGCATCCAATTTGAAGAATGGAATTTTCATTGAACTCGTAATTCAAAATCCAATTTTATTAAGAAACTAACCAGTCCTCAAATTTCAACTTAATTAGAGCTGAATTAGTTGAGCTATCGATGGATCTTGTTCCGTAGAATAATTTGTCAATTATTTTGGTTATTTTCGTGTGCTCATTACATTTTCCCACACAAATGTCAAATTTGATGCGCGCTTATATAAAGTAGGCCACATTGTTCATTATTTTCCTACTCTTTCCAGTTATCAAAGGATATCTAGAGATTTTGGGAAAGATTATATTTTCAGGCGGTGTTCAATCACTATAGACTTTCGAAAATAATACTCAGAGTATATCCGTGTTCAATACTTCATCTTATATTTTGTATATTATATTTCTTTTCTCCCCGTATAATTTCATCATCATAAGTCATAGATTTCCCCCCGTATAACTCCATTATCATCATTAGTCATAGATAAATCATTTGTTCGGAAATTAATCGGTTAACAGCATGATTCAACTTATTAGTCATTCATTCGGGACCAGGTGGTAAATCAAGACAGTCTTATATTAGATGTGTTCACGTATGGTCGAATTTTGTGATCGACATCGAAAAATACGCGAAAGGAATTATTTATCGTTCTAAACTGCGTGTTCCCTAAAAACTGATTGATCGTATTAATTCGTATATAGTGTTTTTGTATTCCTCATTCGATTCAATAATAATAATATCGGGATCGTGTGTTGTACTACATAGTGGTATTCAAATAACCACTGCTCAAAACTGCACTTTCAACATTAGTATATAATCATTACTCTGCTACCACAAATTGAAAATAACATGTCCATAAGTTATACTGTATCAAGAACTCCGTGGTGGGAGAACGTTATAGTGGGCAGTAGATGCGACTGGCGTTATGCGGCGCCGACTGAATGACTTCATCATACTTCGTCTCGTAAGCAACTGGTTGGCTCAGTGAGCAGAGCATCGGCATGCCAAGCCGGCGGACCGGGGTTCGAATCCGTGCGAGGCTCATCTTTTTTTTATTTGTTTCTTGTTCTCAAGTGATTTCTAAAAAATATTCTCTATGGGAAATAGGTTAATTTAGGGGTTTTCTATGTTTAGGCCAGAGGTGAGGTTCGGTTAGGTTAGGTTAGAATAGAATAGAATATTTTATTTGGTGTTATTGGTGTTAATACAAGTACAGATATACTCATAAATAGTATAATGTACCGCCGAAGCGAGTACATATACTAAAAATGTGGAACGCTTTACGATTTTGCGTGTCATCCTTGCGCAGGGGCCATGCTAATCTTCTCTGTATCATTCCAATTTTTAGTATATGTACCGCCTTCTCATTTTTTATGCAGAAACAATATTTTCCTTCCTCAAGAAAAATTCTCCTTCTTCAAGAAAAAAGGTTCATCTAGGTCGATTGATTGTTAAAAAAAAATGCCTTCCTTATATTAGACTCGACACAAGTTAACTAACGTTCCCCTACCACGGAGTTATTACTTGCACCTGTCCGCAGACGCTAGTGTATACCTACTTCTTTGTTACTTTCATCAATAAATTATTTCGAATTGACTTTTTATTTAAGGGAGACGGAAAAATCATATGTAAAACATGGGGAAAAAGTATATTCTATTCTTCATTTTCCTGCCCCACCAAACATGAAAACATAACTCAAACATAAATGTTATATTACATTGTTACTTTGTGATGTTATTCAGAGAGATGCATAATGTCACAGATACGTTGCGGTAATAGGCTTATGTGCCTCTTTTAAATATTACAATGTAATGTTGATAGTGAATATTGTATAAATATATCAGGAATCACATAAAATCGATGTTACTTTATAATGTATATTCAATGTTACTAGATACATCTAAACAATATTGTATTTTAACATTCTTATTATTTTCTAGGAGTTTTTAGGTTATGTCTATTTTGTCTGGAATCATCAAGACAATCATCTAAATGATCTTCACAAAAGACAGAGAAGATGATCTATCCCTGAATAAGAATTGATCTTACCGTACTCCTGAAAGACTATATAAGTATGATCCAGTTACATAGTGATAATTTGAGACAGATTAACTACTATCTATCTGTATCATTTTAGTTATTATGCTTCATGAATCCAGTCATACCAAGCTTAGCTTTATGATTTCTGCATAGTCCAGTGAACTCTTATTGACTTTCTGAAAAGTAACAGGTAAATATATATCCGGGTTTCTGGAAGTTTTCTGACTTATTTTGAAATTCTCTTCTATGTTCTTCTTCTAGCTATGACATATAACTCACCCATTATTTTTGTAATTCGTGGAATATGAACACAATGCGTATTCACGAATCCCTCCTACTTTTTCACATATTATGGAATGCAGATACAGATTGGTTGCATTTCTATATTCCAGCAGAACAAACCTGGAATCTAAATAGGTATCATGAGCAGTTCATATTTTCATTCGAGTCTATTTAAGTCCTAGACTTCTTTAGTTCTTGACTTACTTTAACAACTACGAATAATATCTGAAAATCAATATTATCACTGATCACACTGTTCGACCTGTTCACCATAATAGACAACAAACGAAATGGCTGGAATGGAATTGAATTGACTTTTGACAGTTGACAAGGTTACTTTGCCGTAGAAGGAAAAATATTATCCGCTTCTATCCTCTATACATGTTAGCTACGTTATGAGGTGGTGAAACGAAAACGTTGCACAAATAACATAACAACTCTGTCTGAGATATATCTGATGAACCTAAAATCAACATATCGCAATATTATCTAATGGTATTGATATCAATATTGATGTAACGTCTCATAAACGTTTTACTTCATAATATTATGTTGGATACTCCAGAAGGACATTATGGCAATGTTATTTCAACAATATCACAAAACTTATAACTGAAAAATATTTTTGTTATGTATCATGTTTAGTGGGGCAATTTCACGTATTACTTTTTATAAGCCTACTTTTCGTCCTAGAATTAGTCAGTCCATAAATTTTTCTCCGAGTTGGATTTCAGAAAATTTATTTAGCACACATGACATCAATACGGTAGTTCACATACCCAAATCGAGGTTTTCACCATTTCTCATAAGGCTCAGCTCATTCAGCTCATAGCTAAAGTACTGCTCAGCTTGAAATCAGAATTCATTCAGTCAATTCAGTCAACCCTAGTATACAGTCTAAGAACAGTCTCTTCTGGTGAAATATATTAGGCTTTTAGTACAAATTATATGTTCCCTAATAGGAATGCCATTTGGAAAATACGTATGATACGCCAATGACCTCAATATAACCTAAAAAATAATAATAAGTTCTGGCTGTCCGTGGTTCTGTCCTTGGTTCTGTCTGATTCTTGTCCTGTGTGCGTTCTGTGATCCTTGTTCTGTGCTTTGTTTTTGTTGTTGTTGTAATGCATTGTTTTGTTGTTGGTTAATGAATTTCAAGATTTCCTGAAGTAAAAGTACAGAAATATTATTATTGAAGACTATTTCAATATTTTGAAACATAAGACGTTCGTGAAATATATTTCCACTAATATTTCAAACATATAGAGCATTTGGCCTCAAAGCTGGAAAATCTTGGTAAAGTATTTACTATTTCTCTAGCATTTCTTATTATTTTTTCTTCATATTAGTAGATGTGATCCTTATAATTTAATTTGGCCTGCAGGTCATACAATGTTATCCCTTTCAGCAATGGCCCATTCCGGAGTGGTCCCGGCAGGCAAACGAAAAGAAATTTACAAATATATCGCCCCATGGCCCCTTTACAGCATGAACTGGTCAGTCAGACCAGACAAAAGGTTCCGTTTAGCCTTGGGAAGCTTTGTGGAAGAATACAACAACAAGGTACAGGTGGTTTCCCTAGATGAAGAAAGCAGTGAGTTCACAGCCAAAAGTACATTTGATCATCCATATCCAACTACCAAAATCATGTGGATTCCTGATAGCAAGGGTATCTTTCCTGATTTGCTGGCTACCAGGTAAGTGTTTGTTCTAATGATAAATTTTTTGTCACCTGATGGGTTTCTTCATTTGTAGTGGAGATTATTTGAGAGTTTGGAGGGCAGGAGAACCAGACACTAGGTTGGAATGTGTTCTGAATAACAATAAAAATTCAGATTTTTGTGCCCCTCTCACCAGTTTTGATTGGAATGAAGTTGATCCCAATTTGGTTGGAACCTCATCTATTGACACAACTTGTACCATATGGGGATTAGAAACTGGACAGGTGAGTTTTCAGAGTTGTCTTTCAGAATAAAGATGAATTCATATAACAACCAACATCCCCATTTATGTTCAATAGGTTATGGGCCGTGTGAATTTGGTATCTGGCCATGTAAAGACTCAACTGATAGCTCATGACAAGGAGGTGTATGACATAGCCTTTTCACGAGCAGGAGGTGGAAGAGACATGTTTGCTTCTGTAGGAGCAGATGGTTCTGTTAGAATGTTTGATTTGAGGCACCTGGAGCACTCCACCATCATTTATGAAGATCCCTCTCATACACCCCTCTTGAGGCTAGCTTGGAACAAACAAGATCCCAATTATTTGGCCACAATTGCCATGGATGCTTGTGAGGTTAGTCATCTGAAAATTTTGAGTTTTGAAAATAAACAGTGTGCTACAAGAAGACTATGGTGGTTTAAATACTAATTGTTGAAAAAAAAAATTACAAAGAAATAATTAATAATCAGACCCCTGTTTAAAAAAAACTCTTAAATTTTTTTAAAAAACTACCTACTTCTGAGATTTGACAGTGGATAGAATCTAAGCTTTCAGAAATAAAAACACTAATAGGTTCCATCTATCCCTCTATCAATCCATTGCTACAAATGTATTATCTTTGCTGCAAAGTACTCTTCACTTGCATTCATTACATGTACTATGGGTTTCACAATTATGATGGCATTCATTTCATTCCAACTTTTTGTATATTTGCTATTATTTGGGCTAAAAACTCCATTATCTACCTTGAAATTACAAAATTGGTTCCATAACCAGCCAAGCCAATTTCAATGTTTTTTGTTTTGAATGACAGGTTATTTCCTTCTGAACATTGGTATGCAAACTGTGTTAGCATTAAAACCTTGTTTTTATACATATGCTGTAGCAATTACAGTGTGTTTTTTTTTCATTAAATGTAAATCCAATATTTTTTTGGATTCACTCCATTATCTTTCCTATTAGTGGAGGAAAATCATTATATAGCATAACATGATATTATGGAAGATTTATATCCAAATAAAATAAGGAAAAACAAAATAGTATGCCAAGTCACAAGTTAACCAAAAGGGTCAGTAGAAAGTATTTCAGCTGTGGGCACGAAAAACTTCTTGGCAAAGACGGCCTATACCCAAAATAAGTGACCTAATGTCATGTTGGTCCAGGTTTTCCCAAGTTTCAATCAACAGTCTCTGCCGTGTGTGTTCCAAAGTATTCAAGTTATGCTGTTGTAATCTTGTCCCAAAATTGTCCCACAGATTCTTAATGGGATTTCAATCTGGGATCCAAGCTGGCCATGTCATGGTAAAGGGATACAGACTTTCTCTAGATAATTTGCCACAGCTCTGGCAACGTGAGGCCTGGCATACTATTGCACCAATCCTTACACTATACGTGGTTCCAAAATCACCGATATGTACCTTTCAGCTGTGAGGCTTCCATTTATGATCATAAGTTCCATGGGAGCAGTCAAAGAAATGCCTTCCCAGATCATCTGTTACTTTCATGTTTATAATGCCAATTGAATTTTCAATAAAATCTTGCTATAAAATCATTTTCCTGGAGGAATAGGAAAGATAATTGAGTCAATCCGAAAAAGGAATGTTCGAATAAGATAAGGCTAAAGTCTACTTTCAATTTCAACTTGATAACATAACTGTTACACTCCTCAGGGTCTCACAAGTTTTGTGAGAAAAACACGCTATAGTAGCTACACCGGTTGCAAATTCCAATTCGCGATTTTCAAGGTCATCATCTGACTCTGTGATGATGTTAAAACTGGGGGAAAACATGTCTAACTTTCCCTCATTTTTAACGTCATCACTGCGAACGCGGCTCCTGGCTTTGATCGAAAGTTATGTATGTAGTTTTTATGTCATCCCAACATCAGATGATGACATATAGCTAATAGCAAAAAAGTTGAATTCTAATTCTAATCATCGATTTTTGGCGATATGATCTGTCAATTTCAATGACATCTTATCTTGTTAGCTTGTTACTATCTCGGCAACATCAATTTTGTGCTTGCCATCTTATAACAAGGTGGATTCTCCCTTATTAGAAACGATAGAATAGGATAGAATAGAATAGAATAGAAATTCATTTACCTTGATAAACAAAGTACAAAAGGTAAGTCACAAAATAGTAACATTGTTTAATACACAAATACTACATTAAAATAAAATATATATATAAGAAGTGTGGAGAACTATTTTTGGTTTAGATTATCATTGATTGAAATTATACACCTGCTGTTTGGCTATTACTAAAAAATTCTCCCACAGAATTGGAAAACTGTTTTCACGCCATTGTTAAATGAACTGTGGGTAGGTTTTTATTTGATCTCATCTGGTAGAGCATTATAGAAAATGATGCAATTGTAAACGGGAGCTTTTCTAAATGTACTTGCTTATTTCCTCGTAAAGTTGACACACTTCATGATGTGAATAGGAGGTTCTGTTAATATTGCATATTTTTTGAATATTTCAGGACAACTTGCACGATAGTTCAAATCGAAAATCAGTCTCTGCCATACTAAAACTCTATTGAAATCATTAGCACTTCCTCAAGATATTATATTGTATGTAAGATGGCAGTAAGCAAATGCATAGTAAAGGTTAATTAGAGTTCCTCTGTTGCCCTTCAATTTCTTCCAAGTGTTTGAAAATTCAGAAAATATGTGATTAAAAACATGATTATGAGAGTTCTACCAATGTTATACCTTCAAACTATTCTTATTCCATCAATATATGTAGAATTCTGTTATAAATCATATTGGATAAAAAAAGTAAATAAAAAAATAATTCTCTTGAAAAACTTACACAAAAATGAATCCCTTCAAAAAACAAAACAAATGAAACAGACAAAACCAGAAATATATAAAATAAAGAATCAAATTTCAAAAACTAAATAACAAATTCCTGTCTTCCATTCGTCTGACTAGCGTATCTTTGGATGATATAATCAACATTCAGACTGCTGCAGATGCCCCTGTGAATATGCATTAATGCCAATCCATTTAACCTCTCTTGGACCATTCTGGATCTTATCCAATCTTTCAGCCTTCTGAGTGTTGAAAAACTTCTTTCAGAAGATGCAACACAGGCAGACAACATGATAGTTCCTGAAGAATGTTCATGTTAGGAAACAAATGTTTGTTACATTCCTTTAGAGAAGTTATACCATAGTTTGGTATATTTTGCTTATAGTATCCCTCATTTTCTTCCATATACATTTCAGAAACGATCTTCTGAAAGGACATTTCATCATTCTCATACCTCATATATTTCCTCATCTGTTTTGTTTTTAGTTATTGATGGCACACATAGGTAAATAATAATAATAATATTATATAATAATTATATGTTTATTATGGTTAAATGAACAATGCTATAATCATTATAATGCAATATAATTGAATAAACATGTATACTCACAGAAGCAAGTAATTGCTTGTGCGTGAGAGTTTACAACTACATACATAAGCATTATCAAAACAAAATATATAAATAATGACAAAATAGGGATTTTATGTCCATTTCATGATATATTCGACATAATTGGGATATATTTGACATAATCGGGATATTCGACACAATCAGGATATATTTGACATAATCAGGATATGTTTGACACAATCGGGGTCTGTTTTTTTTTTATTAATTAATTATTTTATTTTTTCTGAAATCATTATATTGTTAACAAAGTAACTGAAGAATGCTCTTTCCGTGTTTAAAATCCACATTTTAACCATATATTTGAAAGAGTTTTTATTAATTACAGATTTCAGTTGTGGAGGAAGGAGATTATATAATTTAGGGCCAAAATACTGTGACCTTCTTTGTCCAATATTCTTATCGCACTTGGGTATTTTAACAGTAGTGTTTTTATTCCGAGTGGCATAGTTGTGGTCTGTGGGTTCCAATACAATTTTAGATGTGTGGATGTTAATTATTAATTTCTGACAGTATAATTGTCTTAAATCTAGGATTTGACTACTGAGAAAAAGTTCATTACTGGAAAAAGTGAGTTTGTTTTTGTAAATAATTCTCAAAACCCATTTTTGTACAATATTCAGTCTTTCTAGATGACGGTCAAGAACTCCTTCCCAACCCATAATACCATAAGACAAGTGAGACTGGATGAGTGCATAGTATACTGTTTTTAGGTGATGAATATCTAAAAATTGCGACAGATATCTAAATCTACCAATGAGGCCTCTAATTTTTTTCGTTATGAATTTAACGTGTAAATCCCAACGTAAATGTTTGTCTATTATGACACCCAGATACTTAACAGACTCATCTTCAGGTGTTGTCGTAACTTCATCGATATTCAAATTTCCTAATTGTGGCAGATAATTAAGATAGGACGTAAATGGGAGGAAATGAGTTTTATTCAAATTCAGAGTAAGTTTGTTGCATTGGAACCACTTCTTGATGACTTGGAAATCAGTTTCTGCTTTGATTTTCAAATTTTTTCATGTATCAGCAGTATAGAATAACACCGTATCATCAGCAAAGCTGAGAATTGTCCCTCGGGAATCGATATGTAAGAGGCTATTTATATATAATGTGAATAATAGTGGGCCCAACACAGTGCCTTGGGGAACGCCAAATGTGACAGTCCTCGGATTGCTGATATTTTCATGGAGGCATACTCGTTGTTGTCGATCTGCCAAATAACTTTTCAGAAGATCATAAGTTTTACCTCTAATACCGTATGAAGGTTGTATAGATTCAACTTATTCTCTGATAGTCTATCTTTCAGATCAAGGATAATCCTATCAAGCAGTGGAATGAAAACAGTTATTCGGTAATGGTCATCCACTGAGGAAACCATAGGATTTGGTCTATGAACCATTCTGCCTGTTATTCTCGGCATCGAAAATTCAACATTCAGTTCTTTTAATTTCTATTTCGCTTCATTCAAAATACTCAGATAGTATTTAGAATATCATCCCTTTGATTTGGAAGAGTCAGAAGAGTGATACTAACAACATCGTTAGCTCGTTTTTTGTCTAAGTTTTTTGTTTGGAGCACATTACTGAGTGGCAGTGTTATCGAAAATATATTTGCCAAACAGCAGAGTGTAATTTAAAATTCGCAATTCCTCAGAGCTGTTGCGAAGTTTCTTGCTATAAAGACATACAGTAATTTTTTCATCTATTCGAAATACCTACATTTTTACATGTCCATGAGGTTACCGAGGGGTGGACCAACACAACTATTTCTACCTGAATGGCAGGTTTTACGCCTTGATAGTGAAGTTGGTTGGATAGGAAATCTAGACCTCAATATTTTATTTCTTCGATTTATGATTCCTAATAAATATAGTGATTATAAATTCAAGTGAATAATAAATAAAAAAGGGGGAGTACAATATCTCACAAAAAAACTACCTGAATAGAAGCCGATGTGACATGCACTTGCAAATCCAGATACAGTTTTGATGTCTCTCAACTTTACAACAAAAACAGTCAAAGCTTTTGAAATTTCTATTGGTTAACGTTTCAGATATTGAGAAAATATTTCATTCACCACATTAATACATTCAAAACCATCTGAAATATAGTGTTCCTCATTTAATATTTCTTCCACTCTCACATCAGGAGATGGTTCATCAAAAAATGGCTCATTATTTTCGGAATATATTTTTGTGGATAATATTATTTCTTCATTGCAACCACAAGATGATGATGGCCCACTAGTGCTACTATCATGGCACATTGCCTGTGGCAGTACAGAAATACATGTTTCTTGTTCTCTCATTATTAATCTTCCTGATGAAGTTATCAGAGTTCACAAAACAACAAACCCAACTAATATGTTTACACATACAACCTGTTCTTCCTTGGTTACATGTGCAAGTTGAAACTTCGAAATCAATGCTCGTGTCGTAATAAAAATCTGCCAGCACTTGTGGTCCAGAACTCCGAGAGTAGTTTATGATGGCTCCAATGTCCAGAATAATCTGAATAATTCAAAATTCAAATCATTTTAAACTGATGACCGAGATATTTATTCTGAATTGAAAAACTTGAGCCGAAACACGCACGCGTGAAACTCAACGTTGTAATTGGTCTAAAAGCTTGCCTATGCCTGTTATCGGGGCGTTTTGAATACGTGCACTCTAGCTTCTATCCCCTCCCGTGAACCAGCTAAATTCGTGTAAAACGAGATAGGCGATAATCGGCGGTATGTCTCTGACCACGCAGGTGATCATCCTGGACGTCCGCGTGCCGTGCACTCCCGTCGCCCGCCTCAACAACCACCGCGCATGCGTGAACGGCATCGCGTGGGCGCCCCACTCCAGCTGCCACATCTGCACCGCAGGCGACGACCATCAGGCGCTCATCTGGGACATCCAGCAGATGCCCAGAGCCATAGAAGATCCCATCCTGGCGTATACGGCTGCAGAAGGGGAGGTCAATCAGATCCAGTGGGGCGCCACGCAGCCCGACTGGATCGCCATCTGCTACAACAAGGCGTTGGAGATTTTGCGCGTGTAGGATACGATGTAGTAGATAGAATATTTGTAAAGTGCGTGGATTATTTGAGTGTTTATACACTATACATACGCATGAAATCGTGAATGGTGGGGATAACCAGAAAGGTCATGTTCCGATATTGCTGACATTACTGGCCACAGTAAGTGATTTAGGAACACTAAACAGTAGCAATGCTATTTCATTTCATTTCGGAACGATTTCGGCAGTATTGGTACACTGGTCAGCAATTGTGATTCTGATTCATCAGAAACACCAAGCTCTAGTACCTTTACTTCCAGTGATGAAGAAATGAAACATAGCTGTGAAACATTTCAAGATATCAAAATTGGGAATAACAAACCATCTTGTAGATTAGTGGCACCTTCAGCGTCTAATGCCTCTGTGAGATCATTCAGTTTGAATTCATACATTTTCCCAGAGTATTTGACAATAATAATAATAATAATATACATTATTCCAGATTTTTTGTTGCCTACAATAAACTTTCAGCCTCTAACAGGGTTCCTTGCAATTATTACCTGCGAAAACGTTGCCAGTAAATTTCAGGAAAATCGGAACAATGAAATATACTAGGCGTACTGTTCGAGAATATCGGAACATGATCTAACTAACATAGATGGACACCGCAGTGATGTTCTTTCGTTCTGAAAGAACTGACATTCCACTTGAACTGAACTGAATCAGTTGACATGCATTATACCTGATCAACGTCATTTGAAACAACGCATATTAACTGATTCAGTTCAGTTCTAGTGAATTATTGCAATTAGTTCATTAATCATAAAAAGAGACACGCCAACAATCCTAAACGCAAAACATGGATGAATGAATGAAATCGCGAATGGTGGGGATGAATCAATGGAATTTATGTCAGAGCCGACTGAATCGCTTTGTGTTACAACAAGGCGTTGGAGATTATGTGCGTGTAGGATATGATGTAGTATTATTTATAATGTTTGCTTTTAGAAATGTTGAAACGGTCCTTGGATGCGCAGAATTCAAATTCAATCCGAGACAAATTATTCGAGTTTCTGTTGCCGACCTGTCGTCAGTATCACGTGAGGTGAATTAGATCCAGTGGGGCGCCACGCAGCCCGACTGCATCGCCATCTGCTACAACAAGGCGTTGGAGATTTTGCGTGTGTAGGATACGATGTAGTTGATAGAATATTTGTAAAGTGCATGGATTATTAGAGTGTCTATAACTCAGACTAAATAACATTAGATAGCCACCTCGAATCTTCCATAAATCATTGAAAAGAATACGCCGTGAATCCTAAGAAATGCCAATAACGGATGAATTTGTTTTGTTGTTTGTTCTATCCGTCATTCGGTTGCCCCCTTACGAGCAACCCTCAAAAGTCTTCGAAAGTCTTGTGCGAGCAAGGAATGACGGGGGCCTTACCTTTTAACGTGTGATCCCAAACACTTTCTTGGGCCATCAGAAAAATTTCTGCAGTCGACGGGGATCGAACCCACGACCGGCAAGCGAATGCGAATTAGAATATAGACACTCTGTCCGCACGGCTACCTGGCCACCAATGGAATGAATGAATGGAATCACGAATGGTGGGGATAATTTCAGACACTCGTACATTTGCGGGTCAGTGCTCACAGTTAATAACAATAGATAGACACCGCGATTAAATCTTAATTCATTAAAAAATAATATGCCAACAATCTTCCAATGCCAAACACGGATACATGGTGGGGATAACTCTGTGGAACCATTGCCAAAGATATTCTGTAATGTCTTTTTTGCAGAAGAAATAAGCAAAATAGATCTTTTGAACTAGTTACTCTGGGGTCTATGCTAAATTCCTAATAAGAAGATAGTTAGTGGCACCGCCTCTGAAGGCATATTCACATTGGTGAAACGAAAATATGGTGCTCGAGATCCACTTTGTGGTCGAGTTTGTCCTCAAGGACTTATGTTACATGAAATAATACGGCAAATAAATGAAAGGTGACAGTGTGATCATCTTCCAACAAAGAAAACTCGAATCCTATTGTCACGTCATCAGTCTAAAAATTAGGCAGGTGTAACATTGCCTTCAATATTGTTTCCAATGCTGTCTTCTCAGTCGGTCTTAATGGAGAATCTGACTCTTTATGCTTTTATCATTCCCATGATCAGTCAAACTTTGCATTTTTGGTTATTTCTACAGATAGCAATGCATTATACTGGGCCAATCTTTTGGTATTATACTGGCTATTCGATTTTTGTTTTCGAGAACCAATCTTCGTGAAAAAATATTTTCGATGACATTTTGACATTTGGAGGACCTGATGTTGATAATGTCCCCGAGAGTGTTGTAAATCTCGGGAAAGAGAGACACTTGAGATTGAATGGGTCCATCAGGCGCTCATCTGGGACATCTAGCAGATGCCCAGAGCCATAGAAGGTCCCATTCTGGCGCGTACACTACGGCGTTTTTTCGAAAAAGTATTGGGACAAAAAATGTACAAAAAATAATGTAGGTTCTGGCACCCTTTTCGACTGGCTCAGTCGAAAATAATTTTGAAAAGAGTAAAGTGAATAAGAAAATATTTTTATTATTATTATTATTATTATTTTGTGATTGCATTTTTATAATATAATAGATTCTCGGCATGTTAAGAATAAAAATCATAAGAAAATGATGACTAATTCTTAGTTATAGCAAGATATAACAAAAAATATCCAATCACAAAATATAAACCCCATACTTTCATAGAAGTTAGAATGATTCATTTTACCCATTATAGTGACCACTTCAAAGAAAAGATGAAATTCAACTAACAACATTCGGACACAAATTTTATCAAAAAATGTACGTTGAGTAATTAACTATTAATCACATTTAGCATGTAAGTAAATAAAATTATAGAGTTAGTGCCTCCCCAATCAATTGTTTAAACAATTTTGTAAAAATAGCAAAATCTGTTTGAGCCTGATTTGTGTTCCTGATACTCTTGTGTTTCTTTAAGCGCGGCCAAACATCCTCCTTCACTCACTTAGACGTACTGGGGAGGCGACTGGGTCGCGAAAACGTTTCAATCCTACAGTTTGAGCAAACAGCGCCCTCTTTTTTGTACTGAATCACCTGACTGATTCATTTTACCCACTATGGTACACTTAACCCCGTTTTACGGTATTTATAATAAGTTTGTTGGCGTTCCAAATTGTTCGAAAATCATTTTTTAAAGGGTCCTTGTACTGCACAATATCATCAGGTGCGCTTCAAATCAATCCGAGGCAAATTATGTAACACCGTTTTCTAAATTCCTTATGGTTGATGGATAATTTGAAGATTTGATTCTTCTGGAAAATTATTTCTGACGTCGGTTCTTTGTTCTTATTTGTTTGTATTCCCAGGAATAATCCATTGGTTTTGAACAATAACTAGTTTCTACTCCCCCTCTAGATGGGTTAGGAGGTTCATAATGAGTGAATTGCCAACGTATGAAGAATATAGGATTGGAATTAATATCCACCAATAGGCAAATCAGAATTGTGATCACTTAGGACCTGATCTGATTTAATCAAAACAAGCTTATTCCACTTTAGAAGCGCTTGATGGGTATTATGTAAATATGCTGTGAACCTAATTTTTTAAAGATCACTAGACTTTTTTAGCTGAACATTATTTTGTTGAAAAATTCAACCAATCTAATGAAAAGTTCACTATATGTATATACAGTATGTCTTACGGTCAATGGTTTCTTTAGACGTCTACGGAAAACGGGACATTGAATTTTTCTAAAAATTTTGTTGATTCAATAATTACACGTGATTTAACGTTTGAAAATATTTTCAGCGAAGCAGTGTTGTCGCTTATATCAAAAGTAGCATCATCTTCTCACTATTTAGATATTTAGCCGTGAAATATCACTATTTTCTGGCGAGCCTGTATAATGCAGAACAAAACTCCTCCATAAAACATCTAATACACAGTACATACATACACAGAATTTCAAGTTTTTGTGAATCCTAATATGACAGTAATAAACATTAAAGCTATGTTTTGAACAAAAAATGGGGTAAATAATTATTAACTCCAAATTTGTTAGATATATAGGAATAGATAGGTATGAGACAATAAGATTCAGAATGTATTCAAACGAATCTAAAAACGAAATAATATACAGGGTGTCCCATTCGAAATGTCAAAGATGATGCTACTTTTTGGTATAAGCGGCAACGCTGCATCGCTGAAAATATTTTCATGCGTTAGATCAGCTGTGATTATTGAAGTAAACAAATTTTCAGGAAACACCAATGTCCCGTTTTCCGTATTCGTCTAGATACCATCAACTGTGAGATACCCTGTATATACTGTACTGTACTGTATACTATAACAAATATCTTGAAAAACCGTTAGAAATGTTTGTAATCCCAAAAAAGAAAATGTAGGACTGAAAGACTAATTATTATTCCTGCACTGTTGAATTCCAACAAAATATCATGTTTGCCTTTTGCTTTATGTACAATTAGGTATATTAGGTACCTATAATACCTTGTATTTTTTTTAATTGTGATAATGGTTTTTATAAAACCAACTGAGTATTTATGTATAAATATAAAGATAGTGAATTTGACAAGAACATTTTGATTTCTTATTACACAATAATATATCATCATATTTCCTGTTTTCAACCACTGAACTATACCCTGTAGGGTATAGTTCAGTGTTTTCAACACACTCAAATTTAGAGCTTCTTAAAAATATAATCCCTTTTTGCCTTATCCTTGTTACCCCACTGACACTGACATACATGTAATAAGTCATAGAAAATTACATGATGTTCCATGGTTGACTTTTCATTTAATTATGTTTGGTGTGCTGTGCTAATATTATATATATATAACCTAGAAAGTTGAAGAATATGAAATGTGTGCTAAGTCGATTCTATGCATTAGAAACTTGAGTTTGGAAGCAAAATCTACTAAATTCTTCACTACGCCCATTTATTATGTAAACGCAAGTAAGTTAGTAGATGCCATAGTTATCATTTCACATGCCGCATAACTCGCATAACCAAGGCCAAGGACTGTAAACTGGACAGAACCGTACTTAAAGATATTAAAACAAAATGCCAGTCAAAATGTAAATCCGTGTATGCCTGATGAACTTCAACAATAACGCATGGTTTTCAATACTATCCCTATTATAACGGTGGCAATAGTTCAGAAGGCATATTTTGCCCTTTCAGAGCTGCAATTATATTCTGAGCACATAATAATCCCATTTCATTCCTAGTTTCGATAGTAGCACTACCAATATGCGGTATGATTACACAATTCTTGAGCTTGAACAATGGATGGTCTAATGGTAAAGGTTCAGGTGTCATAACATCCAAACCTGCTCCCCAAATTGTTTTGTTTTCGAGTGCCCTAAACAAGGCATCTTGATCAACTAGTCCACCTCTACTTGTGTTGACAAACACAGCATTAGGTTTCATTTTTCTGAAGGCTTCTTCTCCAAACATTCTCTCCGTTTCTGGAGTTAGAGCTGCGCTGACACTGATGAAATCACTCTCTGCCAGGAGGCTGTCAAAGTCAACTCGATTTGCGCCAATTTCTCGAGCTGCCTTCGATTTTTCTGATCTGTTGTAGTAGATAATCCTCTTTGGATTGAAGGATTTCAGTTTTCTGGCGATTTCTTGTCCTATCCTGCCAAAACCTACGATTCCTACCGTAGAACCACGCAGACCAGGTCCGCACATCCAAAATGGTGACCATGCTTTCCACCCGCCTGTTCTAGCCTCTTCATTAGCCTCCAGTAGCCTTCTGCTGGTAGCCAACAATAGGGCTACCGCCAACTCGGCCGTTGCTTCTGTCAAGGTATCGGGAGTGTACGCCATTTTGATGCCTCTTTTAATTATTTCTTTGACGTCCAGGTGGTCGTAGCCTACCGACATGGTTGCTATAACTTTCAGAGTGTTGCCAGCTTTGTCAAGGATCGTGGAATCTATTTTGTCCGTCAACATGCAGAAAAGGGCGGCCTTGTTTTCGATATTTCGTAGAAGTTCATCTCTGGGGACTGGGCCCGGTCCTGCCCATGACGTCACCTCGCAGCTGAGAGACAGACAGATTGACAGAATGAATGAAAAGTTAGGTTATGTTTTGAAATTCTGTTTCATCTGATTATATAAATTTGGAAATTATTATTATTAACTCTACTTACTGTTGTCGAAGCAGGTCCAATGCTGCCTCATTCACTGTCCTCGTTATATAAACACTTGGTTTGGACATTTTTGTAGAAAATTTGAATACTCTTTCTGAAAAATTCAGTCTGACGAGAGCTTTACAGGTTGCGGAGCAACGATAGAATGTCAATGATGACTGGAAGGCCATTTCATAAAAATATGTGTGTACTTTCTACTCACACTCGTTAATTTATCAATCCTTATCAACACTTTCTATTGAGATGCATGAACTTCTTCAAAACTACAGGGTGATCAATATACGACTTTATAGAAGGTGATTTTGAAATACGTTTACAGGGACATAGTGGCTGGTATTCGAGCCTAATTATTGGCTGTTATTGGGATCTCCTAAACCGTGAAACTCGTGAAAGATATACAGGGTACATATGCTTCCAAAGATTTTTGTAGAAAACCGATTATTGGCGATTCCATTTTTATTTTTTTATGACTACCGCCTACCTATACCTATTTGAAAAAATGTAGGCAACAAAACATTACCTACACATCATCATATTTCTCATATCTACTTTTTCTGTTCTACCAGATGGTTATCAGATTCTCAAACGACCATTGTTTTTTGTTTTTTTTTCCCAAATACGGCTTTGGATTTTTCATTATAGATGTCATGAACTTTCAGACAATTATATCATGAAAATATATGGAATGTAATTTTAGGCACAATTAATATAATCATTAGGGACATATTAGACTATTTTAGACATTAGACATTACCGAAAATGAAAAAGCAATAGTTGAGGTTTGCCCATGGCGGAAATATAATATGGAGTGCTACTCAGAATTGGTACTACGTCATTGCCAAATGCCACTTTATAAATCCATCATGGGTTTGCCCAATCTATATGCTAATAAAAGAGGAAATATTTGTTTGTTTATTTGTTTGTATGTATTGAATAGGCTACGAAAGTGCTGAACCGATTTGAAAAATTCTTTCAGAAGCTGACTTTATCCCTGATATATAAAGTATGCTACTTTTTAACGCGGGAGAATGCTTCATTCATACGGGAAAACGGGGTTCCACAAGGCTCTGTACTAGGCCCTCTCCTATTCATTATCTATGTAAATGACCTATTTTCATATATGTGCCCTTATGGATGTATTGCATTTGCGGACGATACAACTCTCACCAGCTCCAGTGAAAATACAATTGGTTCGTTAGCAAATATAAATCTGGCTCAAGCTAAAGCGGAAACTTGGTTTAAAAGTAATAATCTTAAATTGAATAAAAGTAAAACACAACATATATTATTTTCTATGAACAACTCAACAGCATTTGGTGATACCGTCAAACTGTTAGGTGTTACACTGGACGACAGATTAAACTGGTCAGGTCACACAGAGCAGCTGTGTACAAATATTTCAAAATACTTATTTTTACTCCGTAAACTGAAGACTATCATTAGTTTGCAGGTTCTATTATCAGATTATTATGCTTTCTTCCATTCACGAATCTCATATGGTATATTACTGTGGGGAAATAGCGTGAAAGCTAACGAAGTTTTCTTGTTACAAAAAAAAGCAGTGAGGATAATCTGTGGGTCAGGGTTTACCGATTCCTGTAGACCACTTTTCCTGGAACTCAGTATCATGACATTACCATCCATATATATCTATCAATCTATTTTAGAAATACATAAAAACAAGAATAATCATGAAAAGAATGCTGATTTCCATACTTACAACACTAGAGGCTCTCAATTGATAAGACCATCTAAATTCAGATTACAAAAATCAAGTAGAAACTCCCTCAATGTAAATCTTTACAATATACTACCCACTTACGTCAAAGCTCTGAGTATCAAAAGTTTCAAAAAACACATGCACTCATATTTGACCTCCAATGTATTTTATACTACTGGAGAATATATAGCGGCCCTAACATCCACAACAAAATAAATAACCATGGGGTATATTATTCCTGGTGCATTATCTTTTATAAATTACTTTTTACACTACATTTTACTCAGTTTTTATCATTGATTATACATCATATTGTTCTCGTATGTTTGTATGCACACTTTTTTTTTAGTATTTAATTTTTAATTTTTAACTTCATCTGTAAATCTCTAGTCTTAGCCACTAGTTTTTGTAATATTCATAACTTATGTATATGTGACGTATCTTATTTGTATTCTTATGAATGCACCTAAAAGACAAATAAAATATCTATCTATCTATCTATCTATCTATCTATCTATCTATCTATCTATCTATCTATCTATCTATCTATCTATCTATCTATCTATCTATCTATCTAATAGGACAACGGTAGAAAGAATTCTCCTTCCGCCTACTTATCCTTTTCACATAACTTCTAAACGGCTGAACCGATATTGTGTTGACATGTTAAATGGGTGATAGCGCTGCTGCCGCCGGTACGTCAATTACTAAACGGCTCGACCAATTGGGTTTAAATTTTAAATATATACAGTGTGTTCGTCCCATTTCTAATGGAAACACCCCTGTATATCACGTAATCGTTGGGTACGGATCCTGAAATTTACTGGAGCAAGAGATATATACCTAAAATGCACTCTATGACTTAGTGGGGGTTTCTTCAGTGATTTACACTGCTCGCCAACAGCTATATATGGAACCACCCCAATTTCCGGAAACTGATATTAGGAGTCAAAATAGATTGAGAATCCCTTCGGATTCGGAATCAGGACGCCAAATTCACTGAACATCCATATTTTTCTTGAACATTTTTCAGTTATGAAAAATTCAGTTTTGTCTCCCTTTTCATGGAAAAAACCCCCGTATCTTACGTAATCGTTGGGTTAGAATCCTGGAATTTACGGGAGCGAGAGATACACCAAAAGTGTACTCTAAGACCAAGTGGGGTCACCTTCAGTGATATAAACTGCTCGCCAACAGCCGTGGAACTACACACGGGCTTGAAAAATAATATCAAGAGACATATAGGTTGAAAATCACTCCGTATTCGACAACAGGACGTCCAATTCACTAGCTCCCCATGTTTTGACGCATTATTATGGGTAACGATTTTCCTCATACTATCAACGAATTCATTCATTCATAATTCATTTCAATGACGCCTGTCATGATTTCTGATCCATTGGATCACTCCTGATAATTTATTCGATTGTACTAGTTCTGATTGTTATTTCATTATCCTTGATGAGCACTGATCGATTTCATGATTATCAATTAATGAGTCAATTTCAGAACAACCAATAATAATAAGGGAATTGTCAGTTTTAATGAATCTTTTCCTCCTGGAATGTCGGTGGTTCTGTGGCTGCTGGCGAGCAATGTGTATCATTGAAGATGATCCTACTTGGTCATTGGTATCTTTCTTGCTACTAAAAATTTTGAGACTCCAACTTCAATAATTACGTGATATACTGGGGTGCTTCCATGGAAAGTGAGACAGAATTTATTATTCCAGAAATTCTTCAGAAGGAATATGAGTACTTATTGAAATAGACGTTCTGTTTTTTGTGCTCGAATCCGCAGTGATTTCTAACCTATCTTGTCTGCTAATATAATTTTCCGGATATGTAGGGGGTTCCAGTGTATGGTAATTTCAATTGGTCATTGACTACATCTTTGGAATAATTCTTGTTCCTGGAAATTTAACAATCCTAACTCGATATTACCTAAGATAGGGGGTGGGGTGTCCATGGAAAAGGAGACAAAAATGAAATTTTCAGGACTGAAATTGTTTTCAAGAAAAATATGAATGAATAAGTTTGTGAATTGGGCGTCCTGATTCTGAATCCGAGGTAATTTTCAGCCTATTTTGCCTCCTAATATCATTTTCCGGAAATTGGGGTGGTTCGATCCATGGCTGTTGGCGAGAAGTGTATATCACTGAAGATGACCCCAGTTGGTCATAGAGTACATTTTTGATATATCTCTCGATCCAGCAAATTTTAGGATCCAAACCCAACGATTACGTAAGGGGTGGGGTGTCCATGAAAAAGGAGACAAGAATACAATATTCAGAACTGAAATTGTTTGAAAAAAATATGAATAAAGTTAGTGAATTATTGGCTGTCCTGATTCCGAATCCGAAATGATTGTCAACCTATTTTGCATCCTTATATCATTTTTCCGGAAATTTGGGTAGTTCCATGGCTGTTGGCGAGCAGTGTATATCACTAAAGATGACCCCACTTGGTCATATAGTACATTTTTGATATATCTCTCGCTCTAGCACATTTCAGTGTCCTACCCAACGATTACATAAGATACGGGGGTGTTTCCATGAAAAGTGAGACAAAAAGGAAATTGTCAGAACTGAAAATTTTCCAGAGAAATATGGATAGTTAGTGTATTAGGCGTCCTGATTCCGAATCCGAAGTGATTTTCAACCTATTTTGACTCCTCCGGAAATTGGGGTGGTTCCATGGCTGTTGGCGAGCAGTGCATATATCACTGCGATGAAGATGACCCCACTTGGTCATAGAGTACATTTTTAGTATATCTCTCGCTGCAGCAAATTTCAGGACCCTTACCCAACGAAATACTCAAGATACAGGGGTTTTTCAATTAGAAGTGAGACACACGACTGTTTATATATTTATTATACAGGGTGGGTCACGGTAGATGGCACCATTGGCACCTTAGACGTTTACGGAGAACGGGACATAAGATCATTCTGAAAATTTGGTTACTCAAGTAATTGCTCTTGATCTATCGATCTAAAATATTTTCAGCTCTGCGGCGTTGCCGCTTCTATCGAAAAGTAGCAACAACTTTGTTACTTTAAATGGAACACCCTTTATTTTATCGCATTTTCAGATTCTCGATTCATCGATGTATCACACTTGGGGTCTAGCGGAAATGATTACAGAGATATAGGTTGTGAAAAATCGACATTTTTTAACTAGGATTTTTTTTGTCGAAACTATTCATTATTGGTCAAAACGGCTTACATGTCCCTATCTCAACTTTTGATTAACTATCTACTGATATTTAATTGGGACATATACCGGGTGATCAAGATTCTGAATTCTGCATCACCCTGTAGTTGGGTGTTTCAAAATTCAGTATCAAGATTTTAGGGGCGTATTTTTCAGGTCAAAATAAGACGTTTTTGTCCATAAACATGTGTCCGCCCAACTTTCAAATAATGTCAAATGCTTCAAAACAAACCTAAACGTCAAAATGAAAATAGCAGTCAAAGCCCACTAATTCGCTTTTTCATTGTTCCGTTGAAAATTTCAATTAAATGTAGCGAATCACAAAAATTGATTTTACTTTTTTCTCGATAACGATCGCAGATGCGTGAAAATTACAAGAGACAAAAAAATTTATAAACAAAACAAAGAATTCATTTCGTATCTCAGAATTCACCAGCGGCGCACCACAAAAAAGTTTATGGGGTAAAAAAGGGCTTGACCCCTGAAAAAAATATCTCCCTGTAGATTCTCACAATCACTCGGCATGCTGGATGATGTAAGCCCTAGAACGTAACCTACATTCCAAATTTGATCTTAATATCTCAAAAATTGAAAGAGCTATGAAGAAAAAAATAAAAAAATCCTGAAACTTTAACGCTCTGTAGATCGGTAACGAAGCGTTTGCGGACACATGTTTATGGACAAAAACGTCTTATTTTGACCTGAAAAATACGCCCCTAAAATCTTGATACTGAATTTTGAAACACCCTGTATATAGTATATGAAAAAAAATACAAAAGATACTGAGAGAATGAAAATAGGCGTAAGTAAGTATATAATAGTAGCTATAGGTGAGCACAAACAATTTAAAAAAAATAACAAGAAAGTATGTACTGCAGAATACGCGCATTTCTCAGAAGGACTGCAATAACAAATCTATTTTTTTTCAAAAAATGTGTACACCAATAACCGTGCGATTAAGCCGGGTCGGACAAAAGTTGCCTATAAACCTACAATTTTTAGGGTCACTTCCTGATATATTTTCTTGTTTGTGTTGTGTTCGAAAAAATTGTCGATCTTTATTAGTAATAAAAAAGGAATAAACAGAGAATCAATGACAGAATATTGATATGGAGGCAACATGCAGGATTTAAAATTCTCACTGCCAGTAAAGGTAAGGCAGAAATCTCTACATGCCTTCAATTTTGTACTTTGTAGATCCGCACATCGGTCATTTATATAGCTCTCTGATAGCGGACGCATCCAAAAGATGGCAGCAGATATTCAAAAAAGACTCCTCTGTAAAGTTTTCCACTGGCTGTGACGAACACGGATTAAAAATTCAACAGGCTGCACAAAAAAATCAAACGTCTCCTCTTCATTACTGCGACAAGATTTCGAGCCGCTTCAAAGATTTGGCAGACGAATTCAGTATCGGATATACAGATTTCATCAGAACCAGCGACCAGAAGCATAAAAGTACAGTCGAACTGTTTTGGGTAAGATTTTTTACAGATATGATAACACCCTCGTGAAGACCATTCATAATATTTTTGAATCTTTGTTTTTTATTCAAAATATCATTTTAAAGTGTTTTTGAAGTACTCTGATCTGTCGAAAAATTGAACTATATATACCTACCTCTATATTTCTTTCTAAACTGCAGAACCGTATATTCAGTTTGTTGATGATAACTTATTTACTATGCCAGATAGAGACATCGCTCCCAGGCAAAAAAATCAAAACTTCAATCATTTTATACTCTTTATCACATTCAGTTATTCAACGATAAGAATTATTCCTACTAAATTATTTTACAAGATCTCCAAAATTGTATTGCGATAAAATCAACCTGTTTTTCTGTATTTCAGAAAAAATTGGAAGATAATAATCATATTTACCTATCAAACTATGAGGGCTGGTACTGCATTCAGGACGAAACTTTCCTGAAGGAATCTCAAATTGTGGAGAAAACAGGAGACGATGGAAAGAAGTTCCTTGTATCCATGGAGAGCGGACATCCTGTAGAGTGGACGACAGAGGAAAATTTCATGTTCAAATTGAGTAAATTCCGAAGCGATATCGAACATTGGATAACAAGAAATGGTAAATATACTTATTCGTTGTCAAATTATATGAAAATCAAAATGGAGAAATTTGAACTGAATGATTTTGTAGCCTCCCATCATAATGGTTCAGAAAAAACAGAAATGGGGGCTGGGATAGTTTATTAGTGCGTTACTTGATTTTCAAAACATCAAAATTAAGAGGAAGATGCAGATGTTTTTTCAATTATTGAAACTAGAGGAAGTATTTTCGCGAAGCTCATATTTTTTATTCTAATAGAAAATCCTTGAATAAATCTAGTCGCCATAACCATGAGAATACTGTTTCCATCAATTTCACTTAGTTTCAGCTTCTTACAATTCAGGATTCGATAATCTTCCGAATTGTTCAGTCCGAACCACCGAACAGCTTTATTTGGCAACCGCAACTCCACATCAGCCTCTAATCTAAACTCTTTGTGGTATTAGGTTAGGTACAAAGCGAATATTTTTGTTCAAATGAAAATCTACCATTCTTGTAGGAGTTGAAAAAAAAAATCCTAAATTTCATATAGTTTCAGTGTGAATTTTCCAAATCCAATCTATTTCTTTTTACTCCAGAATTATTAGTCTCACCTTTTCAACACTGACCGAGTTTCTCTTCATCTGATCTCCACTGGTCGATCAAGATTCGAGAATGATCTCTAGAGGTTCTGATCTCTTTTATTTGTTCGGAATCTTGTCTCTTATAAGAAAAGGTAGGAATGAATGCTCGAAGGCTCAAAAAATTAAACACGTTACCATGGCAACACAATTTCTTAAACACATTGCCATGGCAACAGAGTTTTTCAAACACACCTTCAGTCCTTCGAGTCCTGTCCGACCTGTCAATTGTTGGGACTGTCAGCTCTCATTTTCGAATTTAGTTGCAATCAGAATTATTCAAACAATTTTGTTTGTATCAGAATTCTTCTTTAAAAATCAGAGTGGAATCGAAGAGAATGTTTTAGGTAAGTACCTACATATTTCCAAGCACTCTGTGTAAAAATGAAGCTCTCATCTTTGTGGGCGATTCATATGAGTGTTGATCACAAGAAATCGATTGATTTTCGATAACGCGATGAAAAACCGTGATAAATAGGTTTCTTGACTTCATGCATAGATCTATGTCAGCTCAGGAATATCTCAAAACCATTGTAGCATCGTTATTGTATGAATTGGTCAGAAAAATCCAGAAGGGCCTCCTTGCGCCTCCTTCGATTGCCTTATCTGAAAAATCATGAAATCAATTGGAGATATTGAGCTGAGCGATCGATCCAAATTAAGCATTTGTGTTTAGCATAGCATATGGTTATGGCAGCAACAAAAATTGAACAGACGATTTCGATAAATTCTGAACATTCCTCCAAAAAAAATATTTTTTCTTCTGTTGAAGTTGTCGATGACTTCAACAATAAGTTGAATGTGGCTTACATAATTTTGAAATCGGAAATGATGCGATAAAAACCTAAATATGAAAAATGATCGATTTTGAACATCCTGTATGAGGAATATGGAAAATTACAAAACCGTCTCGAGATATTGGCTTGAACGTTCGAACAAAAAGGGTTCAAAGGAAAAATAAAAAAAAAATCCCTGGAATACGGAAGCGTTTGAATTCTCTCATTTTTGTAATACTTTTTTCGAACACTTGGTGTATAATGACAAAAAATCCCGACGAGCTTTGAACGGGGCTCTTGAACAGAAAAATCGCATGTTCCAAGCACTGCATTCCGATTGAAAATCCATTCCCTCCGCTACGCGTCGGGAGACAACACAACCTGGAGCTAAAATCTACTACTTCATCCTTTGCCAACCATGAGATGTATAAGTGATGTTTACGCCACATCACTTTGTGACATGCGATATCGCATTTGAAGTCACAAACATGTTACCGATACAACGTGGCGATGTGAAAATGTCCGACTCAAGCAACATCACTGTGACGTCGTTCAGACCTGAAATGCGACATTACATGAAAAATCACTATCAGGTCACATACAAGTGTATATTTCATATTACAAATACATCACACTGCGACATCGATGATGTAGTCGCCGTACCTGTGATATTCGTGGGATATATAATAATAATAATTATTCAACTTTACGAAGAAAATGTTTATTTCCCGAAAGTAAAAACAGATGATACAAAACTTATCATGACAATCACCCTAATTAGTAATCTTGAAGTAAAACATGACACATATATATATATAGCAATACAAATATACATTATTCATGAATGATACATATCAAATACACTCACATTATCTTGGGATCTTTCATCCACCTTGTTCTAGATTGCAATATTCCTATCTCAGAGATAATTACAATATTACCCATTGTGATTGAACTCACCGTCGTTCCTAAATGATTGTATACCTCCAATTTGAAGCTGCTATAATATGTGCTATAAATCATCTCAGATATTTCAACGGACTCACCGTCGTTCCTAAATGATTGTATACCTCCAATTTGAAGCTGCTATAATATGTGCTATAAATCATCTCAGATATTTCAACGGACTCACCGTCGTTCCTAAATGATTGTATACCTCCAATTTGAAGCTGCTATAATATGTGCTATAAATCATCTCAGATATTTCAACGGACTCACCGTCGTTCCTAAATGATTGTATACCTCCAATTTGAAGCTGCTATAATATGTGCTATAAATCATCTCAGATATTTCAACGGAGAATTTGGAAGGAAATAGTCTGTACGGAGTCGGACTCACTCACTGACTGACTGACATGGCCATGCACAGCTCAACATGGCGTCTGGCGTGTGCGTTCGTTTTGCGCATGTCTGCGTCACACTCACAGGTCACAAAGATATCTCATGAGGATATCAATGTGAATTATTTAGTTAACGTCGAAGAGATGTAGTTTGAAGAAGTCGCTGCCACATTACATAGTTTCCTGGTTGCGATGTCACCTTGCGACGTTGATATCGAATCTACGTTGATAAGATGTGTTAACAAGATATTGCATTTATGCAAGGTTGTTACATCACACAGATGTTGATGTCACACGATGGTTGGCTGGGTTCTAGGGCCAGTGGTGAGAGAAACACATCGAATTTGAACTAGCTTGTTTCTTTTTAGAGCACACCGTCCGCCCGAAAAAGTTCCAGAAAATCCTGCTGGACTTCCTGGAGCAGGAGGAGGACTTGTCGGTGTCGCGGCCCTCCTCGCGAGTGCGGTGGGGCATCCCCGTGCCCGGCCGCCCCTCTCACACCGTCTACGTATGGCTGGACGCTCTCGTCAATTATCTGACGGCGGTGGGGTACGGGAAAGAGGGAGAGGTATTTGACAGATGTTGGCCGCCCCATTTGCACGTCATCGGGAAGGATATACTCAAGTACGTATTATCGGTTGCATAATTATAAAGAGTGTGTTCAGTTTGACAGTTGAAATAATATGACCGCGAGGCGGGAGGATTATTCTGTTGAACTGACACGATTTGTAATTATGCAGGACGTTTGAGATGTATAACGAACGAAGATTTGAAAGCTCTTCTTACTGCTTCATTGGACCATAAGTTGAAGATCAATTCTAATAAATCTACTGCTATGCTATTTGGAAATAATAAAGTAATAACAAATATTAAGCAACAATTGTTACTACATTTAGGAAACAACGTCCTTTCTTTCACTAATCATTGCAAAAATTTGTGCTTGACGCTTGATTCGAACTTGAGATTCAAGAATCACATTACTAACAAATTGCGCCTGGCTTACGGCTCTCTGAAACTCATTTTCAATCATCGTGAATATTTGAACGTGACTATAAAAAAAATGCTATGTGATTCTCTCGTGTTGTCCCATTTCAACCATTGCGATATAATCTACTCTTCCTGTTTGGATGCTTACGATGCCCGAAGAATTCAGAAGGTGCAGAACTCATGTCTTCGTCTTATATATGGTGTAAAGAGAAGACAAAGGATCTCTGCTTGTAAGTTGAAGGATGCAGGCTGGCTAAACATGTTCAATAGACGAAAATTACATACCATTTGTTTCTATTATAAATTATTGAAGACCAAAATCCCACAATATCTTTATAACAGAATTACTTTTAGGTCGGATATACATAATTTAAGCTTGAGACGAAAAAATAATATTAGAATACCTTTCCATAACAAGCAAATTTTCAAACTTTCTTTTTCCTATCAAATTTCTGAATATGGACATATTTTGGATATTCCTCATCATGCATCGTCGGTGAATATCTTTAAATACAAACTCAAAAAACAATTACTTGAGCAACAATGATTGATAATTATGATTTCTTTCATTCTTTGTTTTTTTTTGTTCATCTCTTTCTTTTTATTGTTGTGTAGGAAGGCAGGCACATTGGTTTTCTAAGATGATACAAACAGTAGTCAGTTTGACATATTTCATATTGTATCACTATTAATTTCTCTAGAGGTCTTTGCGGCTTATTTATTTATCTCACTTTATTTCTTTTAGTTTATCGGGCAGTGTGGAAGAATCGGCCTTTGGCCTAACATTGCACCATTTATTTACCATATCATTATTATTGTATTAGTGTTTAGACCTGAACACATAGGAATTTAATTTGTTTGTTAATGGTAAATAATAAATGATTATTATTATTATTATTATTATTATTATTATTATTATTATTATTATTATTATTATTATTATTATTATTATTATTATTATTATTATTATTATTATTATTATAATCATGAACGAACATTTTACGACACGCTTTGTTTGTATGTAACAATATGAATTGGTTACTATGGAAATAATTTCAAATTTATTATTGGTGAAGTTACTCTATGTATATTCACGTATATTCGAAATTATACAAGGTAGCTTAACTCAATTGGACGTTATTCTGATTGGTTTAAAATCATACGAATTAAATAATCGGAGGTAATACCACACGAGTTTTTTTAATTTACTATGAAAACTGTTTTATTTGGCAAAAATATAAAAACAATGATGAATGATGAATGATTTTGCCTCAAATAAGAAAGTATGGGTTATGAAAATGAAAAATTAACGGATAAAATTTGAGGGACGAGTTGTATTTGGGAAGATTATATTTTAACAATTTGAAAAAATACACATTTCACGAGTCAAAATGATTCTCCATATTTCCATAATTGTGTCAATTTAAAATGAATTTTGAAACACTTCGCCCACGTCCGTAAATTTTCTGTAGACTTGGCTCGCTGAGATTATTTGTTGCGTCCTGTCAATAGATGCCAGTATCTGGTGTCAACACTGAACTATAACTTGAGAATGTGATTACTTATGTTTATGAAAGGGATAGTTTTTGACCAGCCCAGTATTGAAAATCATCATCATTGATTCAATCATCACACGTATGAGAATAAAAAGATACTTAATTAATGCAAACTTGTTTTGAACCATGAAGCTAGGACTAGGAATATTATTGTTCATGAAGGAAATTGTTTTTATTCAGTCCAGTGATAATTATTATTGATTCCATCATCACACACCTCTATAAGAATAAGAGAACTAACGATGTTGAGTCTTTACTCTTTATTTATAGTTTCGTTTTGACAGTTTAATGTAAATTATTGGGGACCATGCAGTTTTATCAGTATAATTCCGAATGATTGGCTGAATTTTAGAATAACGGATTGCTATTGGTTGAAACAGCGAAAACGTCACATTTTGACATGTGAAAAAATAATCAACTTCATCCGTTTCAACATTTGAAATCTAGTTCAATATTTACAAGCTTTTATTTAGTTTCACCTGTCCCGGTGTCTGTCGGTCTGTGTGTCAAATCTTGCAAGCTAAAAATGACACACTTCTAATCGTCCCATTGATTTGAAAGTAGGCAGGTGTACATAATTTTGGTTACAATGCATCATGAAATTTTTGTTGAAGAAAAAAAAAAATGGTTGCTCCAAAATGGCGGATGAGTTTCGTAATTATGATCCGGTTCTATTCAAAATTGGTATCTAGGGGTTTTTGGGGTCGTCAATTATTATTCTTCTGTTAAAATTTCCTGGGTCGGAAATTATGCATTTGATATTTTTACCATTGGCGTCCATATACAGGGTGTTTCAAAAAAACATAACCCCCTTGCTAGGGTATGTAGAACACTGCAAAATAAGTTGGGTTTGCTTAGTGAAAAAATATCGTAACGGCATCCGTTTTCATGATACAAGGTGTTGAAAAAAATATTTTTTTACACATTTTTCACGATTATTCCGAAACTACTGGCAACATTGTGATGAAATTTCGTATGGATGTTTCTTTAAATCTGACACATCGCATTAATTTGTTTTAATATCTGACTCTCATAGAGGGCGCTAGTTACACGGTTCGTACCGAGTAGTTTTGAACATAACTTTTTTGAGGTTAGATTTTCCAATCCGAATATGATATGAACTTGAACATCATTCAATTTCACACCAAAAAGGTACTCTTGGTAAAATTCGTTACTGTGTTCCGTTTCCGGAATATTTCGATTTGAAAATAATGGAGTAGTAATGATGTGGTGTAAAATTTATTTTATTGAGTTCAATTATTTATTTATTTAGGTTCAAAAACAATAAAATTATTTTTGTGCTGAAGTTATTGATGGAACAAAGAATCATAAGTAGAAAAATAAGAGATATTTGACTAGATACATGAAATATTGAATCAGTTAGAGTAAGTGTTCAAAATGTCCTACGTTTCGAGGAATACACGATTCTATATTCTTTTTTTGAGAATGAATTATTCTTCTGAACAGTTGAGGATCAGCTGTTAGGTCATTTAAGTGATGTTCAATTATGTCTCACAACTCTTGACGTGAATTTACCTATGTAGCACAGACTTTCTGCTCAAGATAACAAAACTGTGTAATCCATGTTCTTAGTCAAATCTGTTTCGATGTTATTCTTGTGATTCATTGTTTTGCATCAGAAATGTATTGTTGTTTTCGGTTTTCAATAAATAGGTGATAATTTTTCATAATACTCACTCTAATACATAGCTTTATACCAGCAACAGTTACCACTTCATCATGTTCGAATCGAAATATTCCGAAAACGGAACACAGTAACGAGTTTTACCAAGAGTACCTTTTTGGTGTGAAATTGAATGATGTTCAAGTTCATATCAAATTTGGATTGAAAAATCTAACCTCAAAAAAGGTATGTTCAAAACTACTCGGTACGAAACGTGTAACTAGCGCCCTCTATGAGAGTCAGATATAAAAACAAATGCATGCGATCTGTCAGATTCCAAGAAACATCCATACAAAATTTCATCACAATGTTGCCAGTTGTTTCAACATAATAGTAAAAAATGTGTAAAAAAATATTGTTTCAACACCTTGTATCTTGGAATTGGATGGCGTTACGACATTTTTTTACTGAGCAAACCCAACTCATTTCGCAATGTTCTACCTACCCTAGCAAGGGGGTTAGGATTTTTTGAAACACCCTGTATATGGGATGTAAACTGGAGATTATTTTACAAAAATATGGTACGCCCTTGCCTTTTCAGAAAATAAAAATCATTTTCAAAATCCTCATTTATTTTGCAATAATTTGACCTCTTGATTTATTTCCGTCCAACGCACCGGTTTTCCGTTGAAAAATTTAAACGGCTAAATCAATTATAAATTGACTTTACTTGAAATAATTTTGACAAAAACACATATAAACTACCAAATGGTGCTTAGTAGGTGCATGTGTCTAATTTCATGAAAATATCTAGATCAGTATTGAAGTTATGATAAAGAACGAATTTTGTCTTAAACTTTTAACACCTATAATAGATCGAAATTTGAGAGTCTAAGAGGTTCTGATTTTGAAATGAGCTAATGAACCCTATCCTATATTTTTAGCCATTAATTGAATTACACCCTGTATATATTACAGAACCATACAAATAAACAACAAGCGTAATTGATAAATCCATTCCATGTCAATGAACAAAAAATATAATTCGTCACCACCTAACTCTATATTTTTGCAAAGTTATTAGAGACACTTTCACAAACTCCAATTCCAATATAATATAATTCCTTGTATTACACTGATACATTCGTTTTCGTCCAAGTTGTCTGAAATATTCAAATCCTCTGACCTAACAATATCTTGGAATTAATAAGATGGAAAAGAAACTTCAATCTGTTTTTAATAGATTGAACTTTTCTTCTTCTCTTACCAATTACTGTTTGCGGAATAAAATTACCTAGCTCATTTCTGCGGCTGTGATCTTGTTTACAAAATGAAATTATAAAAAAAATAAATCTGAAGTTTTCAGTTCATTTCTATATTTTATTAATTTAATTAGGTATATCAGATTATGAGTATCATTCAATCTGTGGTAGCCAGATAAGGTATACAAAACTGTTATAATTGGATTGGACTAGGATCCCTTGATGCAAACTGACGTATTTGTCATCTAACAGGGTATGGACAGATCATATAGCTCCTTTCTCTTTTTATCATCTAGTGACTTTGTTTTCGTGTATTGGCGTCCCTGACATGACATTGCTCTCACGTCACATTCATAGGCGTTAAAACAGATCTTGAAAAATTTAAATTTCATACTTGATTTTAATACGACATTATTCAATTCTGTTTTGAAAGGATGGTGAAATGTTTTTCTTGCGCTTAGAGTGGACACAGTAAAAGCGAGTAATAGCAGGCTGAAACTGGTAGTTTTGTTTGAAACTTTGAGCAGAAAAGATGTCGTCGTCATCATCATCCGATGATATGATTGCTCTAGATTCTGTAGCTATGGAATGGTCAAGAAAAAAGTCGGTATATCCATCCCCTAAATCACGTTAGGTCAGAGTTCGGAGAATATCATCACTTATTTAAAAAAATGAATTTCGGTTGCTATGTATCTTATGTCTTTTATCCTATATAGGGGTTCTTTTGAATACTGCAGCAATTAAAACTACAATATCCATTTTCTTCTCTTTTCAAAACACAACCAGCGTCTACAACCAGCTAGAAAGAACTGTATTTTGATTATGACAAGCTTCAACCTGCCTGCACTGTGTTACCGCCTATTTGAAAATATATATTAGTTTCTAAGGGTACACACACAAAGAAAGCAGGTTTCCTGCTTACTGGCAGTCGGCGCCTATAAGCGCCAATAATCTATTTAACTTTTAAATGATCGTGGACATAGACAAAGCGTGTCGGAACTTGTTACAAGCGTAAATCAGCGCCGACTATTTTACCGGAATGAATTTGCAATTCTTGGTCGCTTGTTGTCGGAAGCGGACGTGCATGTCAATACATATATTATGTAATATTATTGATATTTAATTGGAAAATGGATGTGGACAGTCTAATCTCTGCTATGTTTACGAGGCCTGCGCTGTGGGACAAACGGCTTAAATCTCACAGCAATAGAAACGTAACACAAACATTGTGTTTTTGTTAGACGTTGTTCAATTTGTCCCAAAATATAACAAAATGTATTTAATGTCATTCTCATGTACTGAAAAAACCGTTCTGCATGTTCTTTTAAAGTTATAAATAGGTGATGATATTCTCCATAAACCAAGCGCTCTTGATTTAGTGGATGTATTCCTTGTCTTGGTCTCTGCTTCACAAAAGCATTTTCCAATAGCAGAAATTCTTCATCAGAGGATGCACTCGACATCTTGCCTCAACAAAATCTGCTTTTTTACTGACATCTGACTGAAGACCCAGCGTTCTTTATGTACGTACTAGCGATAAAACCGGCACTGGTATTCTGCGCCGAAAATAGGCGCTGGATAACCTGTTTTCTTTGTGTGTTTACACTAAAGCTTACCAGCATTGATATGTGCCGGCCACCGGAAAGCAGATAACCTGCTTCCACTGTTTTTCTACACTTGGGCTGTATCAACCAGTTGGATGGCAAATTTGAATTCGTCAGCTTTCCATCAAATGCAAATGAACTTAGAACATGGAAAGTGAAGTGACCGAATGGGGAAAATTGCTAAATACATCAGCAAACGCATTCTAGTAGAAACAGTTTTGATTGAAACGGACTATTGAAAGAATAGGCATATGCCCTACCATTCAAAAAATTATACCTACATTAAGGAAATATTAAGTGTCCGTGAAAAACTGCAAAAATGATTCCCAACATGAATATATACAGCACACATATCATATGAGCACATTAGTTCAAACACCTACATACAATTTTTCACCATTTCTCAACCATAAGGTTTATACTGAAATCAGAATTCATTTACTGATATAGGTACTGCCTAAGAACAGTCCCATTTGGTAAAACGTTTTAAACTTTCAGAAAAATTTGCTCACTGCCTCACAAAGATTATGCTGGAGTTGAAAAATCAGAAACCCGAAAATTATCATCATCATTTGAATATAATATGTAAAGTTGAATGAGAAATTACATGTGGAAATTACATATGATACGCCAATGTCCTCAATATAACCTAAAAAAAAACAAATGTCAGAAATCTAGTGTTTATCCCCAGAAATGAATAAAAATAGAACTATATAACTGTTTCACAATCACTTTAGAGTGAGAGGAGACGAGGATCTGTCCGTACCCTGTTAAGATGACAAATACGTCAATTTAGATCAAGGGACCCTAGAATGAACCACAGAACTCAAAGACCAAGGACCACCAATCAACATTTTATATTATATTGCTTACTTTCGAAAATCTTCTCAGGTGGATGATTTTTTCCAGATTCCATGGTATTTATTGGCCAGCGTTTCTCATGGCTGCCAACTTGGATCCGCCAAAATCGATCTTGTGTCATTCACATTGGACCGTGGACGGCGAAAAAATGTCCAAGTCCAAGGGAAACGTCGTTTGTCCTTTTGACAGAGCACAAACCTACACCACCGATGGACTACGGTATTTCTTGTTGAGAGAAGGAGTTTCTCACAGCGATGGAAGTAGGTGTTCATACAGGGTGTGTTTTTGATATGATAGTTGATGATGATTTGTTTTTTGTTTTCAGATTATAGTGATACGAAAGTTTTGAGGATTCTGAATTCGGAATTGGCCGATACGTTGGGTAACTTGCTGAGTAGATGTTGTGGAACAGTCCTGAATCCTGATCAGAAATTTCCAAAAATTGATTCGCAAGCCTTTGATCGTATTAGTTCTCTCGATTGCACCAAAAATTTGTTGGAACATGTGGCAAAATTACCCGGTAAGTTCATTTTGATATAACTGATCGCTTTTCTACAAACCACGACACTATTGTGCTTGTAGTTTTTCTAGTTTTAATTCCTAATGGTTAGCGTGTTCTATTTCGATTGGGCCCCAGAATATTCGAATACAGATTTATTTTCCAAAAATTTAACTCCGCCATTTAGCTAAAAACAATAAATTTCTCCAAATGTAGAACAAACTTCGAGAATCTGACGAGTATTTTTCAGGTGAATCACTACATTTATGAATCCATTTATAAAACAACTGAAGAGTTGCCTGAAATTTACTGTGAGAAAATTGGAAAAGACGATAAAATTCCTTCCTTTCCTTATCTATTTTAATTTTCTCGCGACCTGCGGAACATATATTTTTCTGTGGCGGGAAAATAGTTCGAAGTTTCATCTCTGTTGACAGGTTATAAAATGTCACTTTTCATAAATCAATTTTTTCCACGGAAAAAAGTGAGTACTTCTTTCCCGGATATATATCACATATACAGGGTGTTAACAAATAAGTGTCACAACGGAAAACTGTAGATTCCTCATAAAAAAATTTTTCTTCTTCACGAAATTTTTCTCCGGGCTCCCGTTTTCAATATACAGGGCGTCAAAAAAAATTAAAAAAATCAGTCTTTTATTGCTCTTATCACAGAAACCGTTTGAGCTACGGAGCTGAGCCTTTGTACACGCACTTCATCATTAATAATGACTACTTCTAAGGCTCTTGATCAATATCCTTGGACATGTCAGTGGCGGAGAGTTCAACGCCTCGTTATAAGGGTTTAACCCCCAAAACTTTCATGCCACTGCAGAAATTGTAATTTTCAAAGCACATTCTGAAACGCCAATATCTTTCACACGAAAAAGGTCCATTTGCTTCAATGCTCTGAAGTAAACAGTTTTCTAGAAAAATGGCGATTTATGAATGAAAACATACAAAATCCAAATTTTTCATGTTTTTTAGACGATTTTCAGAGATACGAGGATTTTGTATGTTTTTATTCATCAATCACCAGTTTTCCCGAAAACTGTTCACTTCAGAGCATTGAAACAAGAGGACCATTTTTGTGTGGAAGATATTGGCGCTTCAGAATGTGCTTTGAAAATTACAATTCCTCCATTGGTATGAAAGTTTGGGAGATTAAACCCTTACGAGGCGTTGAACTCTCCGCCACTGACATAAGCGAGGAAATTGATCAAGAGCCTTAGAAGTAGTCATTATTTATGATGACATGTGCAAAAAGGCTCGCAGCTCCGTAGCCCAAACGGTTCCTGAGATAGGAGCAAAAAACTGTTTTTTTACGCCCTGTATATTGAAAACGGAAGCCCGGAGAAAAATTTCGTCAAAGAAAAAAAATCTCTTTTTTATGAGGAGTCTATAGTTTTCCGTTGTGACACTTATCTGTTAACACCTTGTATATACACTGTTGATGGCTTTTGTTGCGAAATAGTTCCGAAAAATAAGTCAATAACTGGAAGTCCTTTTATCTTCCATTAGACTTCGCGCTTAAGTGAATTACTATACAACCACTAAATTCGCAATTTTTCATAATCAAATCACAGAATTACACTGATATTTGACTACTTGAAAAGAATGATCTAGATGCCTGCAACGAAGGTGTCGTAATTCCTGTTAAAAACTTCAAATTCCACGTCCATGATTTCCTGATTTTGATTTGTCCTTAGTGTTGTTATACAGGGGAAAATTATTAAATTCAAGCTAAAATCGACTACTTTTTTGCCTTGCATAATAAATAACAATTTTCTTTATAGAAAAGTTCATCGGCTGTATTATACAGGGTGATTCATTGGGAAATGCGCATAGAGTAAGGGTAGACGGAGGACAACGAGGTGTTCTTAAATAACATATATTTCATGGGTCTATCATTCTTCGTAGCTGAGATACAGGGTGATTTATCAATTTTCTAATTTTTTTCAATTAATCAACTAGATTTGACTCAAGTTAATAGGTATAAAAGTTATATGCGGAAACACAAAATACATTCAGCCTGACTAATTTTTTTCTGCTCCTATCAAATTTGTGAATGAAAGTCCAAAATATTGATATACAAGGTGTTGTTTCGACTCGAAACCTACTTATTAATTTTTTTAAGGCCGGATCTGGAATGAGACTCCATCTTATTATGTCAATCGTCACATCTGTGGACAAAGAACATGTCCACCAAATATCACAAAAATGTATAGGGTGATTCATAAGTTATGATTAATTGAAAAAAAATTGAAAATTAATAAATCACCCTGTATCTCAGCTACGCAGAATGATAGACCCATGAAATATATATTATTTAGAAGCACCTCGGTGTCCTCCGTCTACCCTTACTCTATGCGCATTTCCCAATGAATCACCCTGTATTATGATATAATAGGAAATATCGGGGAGTTTTTATTTTCTTCTTCAAGGCTGAAACGATATACGGTATATGAGCCATTTTGTTACAATTCAATTCAACAAAAACAAGAACTTACTTGTTTTTGTTGAATTGAATTGTAACAAAATGTTTCATAAACCATATATTGCTTCAGCCTTGAAGTAGAAAATGAAATTTCGAAAGCTTGGCATAGCAATAAAGTAGTTTGCTTGTAGTCCGATTGACTGAACTGCCCGATATTTCTTTTTATATTTTCTTTATAATTATAAATCGAAAATCTTTCGATTACTGTTTTTTTTTTCAGGTTTTTCTACATTATTTTTCTTTCATTCCTAATGCGTTTTGATGAAAAACGTCTTTGGTGACCTCATTATAATTTTATAGAATAGAGACGACTATATACTTTATGGCGGAAACGCCAGTATTTTCCCTTTGTTATTGAAATAACCTCTTTGTTATTGGGAAACCGCTTTCTGCAAGGGAAATCTCAGCTTAATTTCCATTATTTCCGCCGATAATATAATGGAATGTCGCGAGAGCGACATTTCAATATTTTCTTCTCTGAAGTTCGTGACGCAGAAATTTAATCAACAACATGTCTGTCGTCTGGCAGGTCAGGTACGGCGCATTTTCTCAATTATTTCGGGTGTCAAATTCAATTTGTCCGCACATTTAAGTAGGTCATTCTTCAGTTAATGTTGTTAGTTAGGTCGAGAGAGTCGTAATCCGCTAGACGATATTGTTCGTGACAGGGCCGCGAATGGTTTTATCGTCTGCATACTCATTATGGAATTATTAAGTATGCCGTTAATGAAAGGAAGACTTCAAGTATGGATAGAGTAGAGTACGGCAGCTCAATTCCGGGAGAGAATATTGTAGCATTTTGTTTTCTACAGAGGTGTCGGTATAACGTTTTACCTACGGCTACTATACAGTGTGGTCATTTAAGTGTGCAACATATGGAAATCTTTTAAATGAATGACTGCCTCACCGGAAAAATATGAAGGGGTGTCTTTCCATTCATTGAAATCCCTCCCCACACCATAACGGACCCACCATTAAAACTTTCGCATTCTGTTATTATGTTATTAAATTTTGATTAAACTGTTCACCAGTTCTTCTTCACACTCTTTTTCTTCCATCCACCATGTTGAGGCAAAACCTTGACTCATCCGTAAAGAAGACATTCGACCATTCTGAAATATTCCACTGTCCATAATTTTCAACAAAATTTCTTCTAGCAGCACGATGTTCGGGCAATAATTTGGGACCTTTTGAAGGTCTCCTAGTTTTTAAATTAAATTCTTTTAGACGTCTACATACCGTCTGCTTACTTACTGCAACATCACGAATTTGGCGAAGATATTGCTGAAAATTTACGCTATTGTAAATTCACAGTACCGCAGTATTTGATCGATTCCGTAAAATCCGCAATCTCAAGAAGCGATCATCTCTTGGAGAAGTTTTTCGGGGGCGACCAGAACCGACCCTCCGAGCTTCCTGTTTGTTCGTACTTGCGGATTGTTCTACGAGCAGTTGCTTCATGAACTCCCACTGCACGAACGGCGTAACGTTTACTACGCCCATCGTTTACTAACGCAACTTATCTTGCTACTTGATCAGGATTTATTTGAGGCATTCTATGTAATTTTAGTCAATAAAACAAGACACTTAATTAATGACACAACGACAAATGGTCAAATATGGAGGCATACAACAAACTAGTTGCTATGGCAACGGCATTTGTTTTTTTTAAAGACGATGAGATCCTACTAGAGTACAACCCAATCAATTTTGAGTACTCTGATCCTTCAATAAATTCAATTTGTTGGATAAGCGTAAGGTATCAGCAAAAAAGCTGTAATTCGGAAAATTTTAGAGATGAATCAATGAATAAAAAAAAAATGCTCGCAAAAGAAGCCTCTTTCGTATAGGGTGCAAGCACTTTCTATACCATTACTCAATTAACACACAGGATGAGTCAAAAATTAAGAATAAATCATGGTTCGAGTTATTCCACCACCATCAAGGAGGCTTTGAAAAAAATTTCACCTCTTTATTTTTTTTTTAAGACAAATGCATTACCTACCAACAAATTGAAAAAAAAATGAAAATCGGCCTACTATTTTTTTTTAAGAAGATAGGGCAAATATCAAGCGCGTCACTTTTTTTGGAACTGAGTGTATATTATATAATTCGAAAAATCATGGGTATACATATATATTCTTATCACGCCGTTGATCAAAATTTCCTGAAATTCTCAACATTTTCAAATGACATTGGGTGCATATATACAAAATTCGATCACGAAAATTTTCACATAGAAATCATCTCAGGTTCCTAGTATCTGTGGTTGAAATCTTTCTAAATAATTTCGGGACACCCTGTATATGAAGTGACGTTTTGGAGACTGTAGTTACCAATTACTGTGGAAAGCTATTGTAAATTCACAACTTCAAATAGCTTGACTCTATAATGACTGTTATGATAGATGGTTTCAATCCTCTTTTGGATACGCCGTTTACACTATGTTGCAGAATTCTGCCTCCAAAGGCCCGAAACAATTCTACCCAATTATTTTCGGTGCTTTGGGGCTTTTAATTAAAACTTTTCGGTGATCGTAAAGTAAAAAACTCCAGAAAGTCACCTATAAACCGGCAGAGGGCCGTACCTAACCCGTCTCTCTAATTACCGAAAGAATTTCATCGGCATTGTTAGCAACTTCTAAAAGTGGAATAAGAGAAATTACATACGTCTACAGCAGGGTCGGACTACATACCTCGATCTATTTCATTTTACTTTCGTCATTTCAAGTTCAAGTCCAAGTTTATTTAATCCACAGAGCAGTGATGCTATCGGATATGTCAAGTGTTACAAATATTTGGGTATATGAAATACAATAAAACATACAGTCTTAGTAAACAAACAAACAGGCATTAAAATAATTCGTTCGAACTATAGGGGTATAGGTCGAGGAAAAGCATTTTCATTTCAATTTTGGGAGTATGCAGTTCATTGATTAATTCTAATTCTTCGGGAAGAGAATTGTATAGCCCCAATATGTCCGAAGACTTCTGGGATATCGTCAAACGTACGTTGGGCATATAGAAATTATTCTTTGTTCGCGTTTGATAACTGTGTATTATTGCATCATGTTTCATTAAACTTTCCCGTTTTTCATGTATATTAGTTGAAATTTCAACGATATAGAACTCACATAGGGGAAGTAACTTGTATTCTTTGAATAATTCCCTACATACAATTCTTTTTTGCACTATGAAGACTTCATGAGCGGCAGATGAGTTACCCCAAATGGTGATTCCATATGTCATTCGAGATTGAATTTCTCCGTGTTAAAAGAGTAGGAGCCCTCGCATGTCTACAATGGGCGTGTACACCTCAGTAGAACTTTCAACTCAAACCATGTTTATAATGATCCTTTTATACATAAATAATGATTGACGACATAATTCGATCGAAAAATCAACTGGAATGTTTTATTTTGGGACATAAATAATAGTACCTTCTGAAAACGGACCCTCTTATGACGTAGAAACCTCATCTCACCATAGTAAAAAAAAAATACCAAACGCCCAACTAAGACTGAGGCAACTGATATATTAATTCTTTCAACTGTAATCTCGCGCTAATTCACTCTGTCAGAAATCATGTTTCATTCATCTCTGTCTGGAATAGTCTTGTTTCAGTATCAGGGTTTTGACGTCACATGATTGCCTCGTTTTCAGAGGTCCGTAAAATCGGGGATTTCAATAATTGTTTATAAAACGTAGGGAGCTCACAGCAAGAAACGGTTTGCGGTGGTGAGCTAGTTTGGGTGAGTTCTATCGAATTATGAAATAAAATTTGTTTGTGATATAAGCCCATTGTTTTGAGAGCTCTCAATTGAAAGCATTCAGTACTCAAAGTATTTGCTAAGGATTCACAATGTGATTTAAATGATAACTGATGATCGAGTTTGACCCCTAATACACTACTGCATTCAACCCTCTCTATAGTTCGATCATCAATATTTATTTCTACAACAGGAACTTTTTTATTCTATCTGCTATGAAGAGTTAAGTAATTTGATTTTGAAGCATTCAAATACAGGGATTTATCATATGACCATCTACTAAGTGACTGGCTGAATAATATTATCGATTTTGTTTCGAATTTGAGTCTCAGTTTTGCCTGTGAACAATAACGTAGAATCATCTGCATATGAGCAGGTGAATGCATTCAATTACGTACAGTGTGAACAGAATGAACCCCAGTACTGATCCCTGAGGGACCCCAATTCCAACTGGAAGTTCACTAGAAATGACGATCGTTTTCTTATTATTCTCCATATGATTTATTTTGATTTTCTGAGAACGTTCAATTTCAATAATTAAGGAGTTTTGAAAAAATATACTATAAACTTTTTTGGAGAGGATAACGACTCAAGAAATAAGAACTCCCACAAAAAACAATTCTCCGTTATTTCGATACAAGAAAATCCTTCCCTATTCTTTCCAAATAGATACATATAGTTTCCTATTCCCGTTATTACTTTTCGATTTCGAGGGCTGTGCAAGGAAAATTTAATATAACCGGCAGTAGAAGCGACTTTTCAGGGGACCTATGCTGGCAGTATTGTAAAATAAAGCCGCAGGCCGCAATAAATGTTCACAAGTGTCATTCCCGTTGCCGAGAATAATAACTCTAGTGATTTCCCTCAGGTGTTTTGCCATAGAGCTTCTTTAGTCGAGCTTCACCAACATACAAGATGAAATTAATAATACAAATGATAATGTACCAAGTGTCTCCCTATATTTTGACCCCTACCTACAGCTTCATACGAGGTGGAACGAAGTTCAAATATGAAAGTTGTAGGTTTCATCTGTACTATCTTTTGGCGCTCCTTAAATTGAAAAATGCGAATCGCAAAATAGAAAAAAGTGTCCGAATCAGTTTATTTTTTAAATTGGAACTATAGCGAAAGATATTTTTCTCCTGTTCACAAACTTGCTTGATTTGTATTTCATTCGTTATTCTCGGGATGGATAACTTGTTTTTGAATAATCACGGCCAGCAATAGTTTTTTGTCTCACACAACCATATTGTTTAACTTCATTTGATTACCGAGATAAACACTGTGGAGTATGGAGAGAAATGAATAATCGCTATTATTATTCTTAATATGCTCACTAATATACAAGTTTGATGATGTTTCCCCAAGCCATTTTCAACAACAAAAACAGGCATTCTTTAACACCTGTGTTGGATTTTCAATAAAAAAGGAGTTATTCCGTAGAGGAAAAATACGAGATAGTAAGATTATATTATGAAAATATTGCGAACATTTCAGTAGTGCATACAGCAAGAATTTAGTCGAAACTGGATTAAGGGGACATTAGCAAACTATATATATATTTGTGAAAAGAAGAGAAAGATTTTTCACAAAAGTTGAGCTCATACCATTTGACAAAACTGATTTGGACTCATTTTTTTCTATTTTGCGATTCGCATTTGTTTATTTAAGAAGTGCCAAGATAGTACAGATGAAACCCTACAAATTTCATATTTGAAGTTTCTTTCCACCTCGTATAGTTGAAGCTGTAGGAAGGGGTCAAAATATAAGGAGACAGCCTGTATGTACATACGTCAATTAACTCAATATAAACACCGCGTAGATGATATTAATTATTATTATTTTAAAGTCTTGTATTTTCAATGCCATTTCGTCTACTCGTGAACAAATAAACTGATGCTCAATGATTCACAACGTGCGACTTCTTCAACTACAGATTATTGAAAAAGAGTTTTTATTATACAAGGGAAAAAGCGGTAGATTTTAGCTCTAGGTTGTGTTGTCTCCCGAAGCGTACCGGAGGGAGACGAACCATTTTTTTCTGTGACAGGAAAAAGGACGAATTAATACTGAGAAGATATTACATTATATTAAAACCAGTAAATTATCGACATGAAATTCGAAGTTTTCAACAGGAATGACACCTGCATTGCAGGTATATCTTTATCATTCTCTTGAAGTAATCAAATATCTGTCAGTCTAATTTTGTGATTCGATTTTGAAAAATTGCGAATTTAGTGATTGTTTACTTATTTACGTAACCGCGAAGTCGAATGGAATATAGGACTTGCAGTTCTTTTTCGGAACTATAGCACAACAAAACCCATCAACAGTGATTATATATATATGTGATATATATCCGGGAAAAGGGTATAGTCACTGTTTTCCGTGAGAAAAAAGTAATTTATGGAAAGTGACATTTTGAAACCTGCCAACAGAGATGAAATTTCAAACTTTTTTCCCTTCATAGAAAAAAAAATAGATTTTGTTTGCATAAGGAGTTTCACGCTTCTATCAATATCAAAACGGCATTATTACTGCCAACTTCAAACTTCTGATGGGTATTGTGTCACTTGAAATTGTTAAAGAAATGAGTGATGTATTTGTTTAGCATTCATCCTCTACACTGATACAAAAAGATAGAAATGGAAATAATTCATAAACAGGGTGGCCCACCGCAAACTTCACACCACGACTTATTTAGGGCTTCAAAATGAAAATCCGAAAAAACGCTCGGACCGGTCGATTTCTGATTCAAGGGGGTACGACTTGTCTGCTTTCTTGATCCACGTAACTTCAACACATTCCCCGGATTTTGAATAGGGAGGAGGGGTGTTGCAATACCTCATTTTAAAGATTTCATCGAGTACTATACGGCCCTCGTCCGTTCTGCTACGCTCGTGCTTAAAATAATCGTTACTAAAATGACGCTTATAACACTTGTTACATAATATACTATTATAAGCGGATACTTTTCGAATCCTACTATAATAAGAATAATATTTTCGAGTTGGATTCGACATGGCCACTGCCACAATAATTTTATCTCTCATTCCGTTATCGATGGAAATTTTGACGCGAAATTATAGGGTCGGATAGTACTCAAATGAAATCTACAAAATGAGGTATCTCAACACCTCTCTTCCTTATTCAGAATCTGGGGGTGCTTTCCCCTGGTATAGGGGGTTGGAGTTACGGATATGAAGAAAGCAATCAAATCGTTTCCCTTCGAATCAGATATCGACGGGTCCGAGCGTTGTTCCAGATTTTCCTCTGAAAGCCCTAAAATCGGGGTGTAAACTTTCTGTTGTACCACCCTGTATATGTATGCACATAACAATCCCGATAGCCACCTCAAAACTCGAAATATATGTTTTTTAGGCATTTGTCGAGATCATTATGAAAGTTTGAACTTCTACAAAGTGGCGGACGCAGTGATGACGACCTTGCATGTTGCCAACTTGTTTTTCGAAACTTTGAAGCCGTGGGAACTCAAAAAGAACTCTGAAAGTCGGGAGGAGCTGAAGGTCGTTCTCCACGTGACCTTGGAGACTCTTCGAGTCAGCGCCATCTTGTTGCAACCGATGATCCCACGTTTGTCCGAAACATTGTTGGACAAATTGGCTGTCGGGAAAGGAGAGAGGTTTTTTGACGATTTGGATCGGTTTTCTTGGGCACAGAAGGAATTCGAAGAGAGGCATTTAGGAATGGACAAAGTTGTGTTGTTCAGGAGGATTTCACTTGGAGATGACTTAAAAGGCAGCAATAGGAGGAAATGAGAAGCAAAATGAATGTCAGTAGGCGTAATTCGATTTGGACTTTTATTTAGAAGTGGACAGCATTTTCAACAATTACAAGGATAGGTATAAAACATTCAATTTGTGTCACATCCAAGTTTATATCATTCTTTTAACCGAGTTGAGTTCGACCTAGAAAGAAATAATCTGCCATTGAGGAGAATAACGTGAACATCAATTATGACGATGTAGGTTTTGGGGAGTGGTATATTTTTTTCTGATCGAACAAATCTGCCAACATACGAATTATAGGCTAAGCATATTAGGATTTTCAGAGGAAAGTTTTGCTATAGTTTTGATTTTCTCACCCTCTATGTTTTTTAGGTCGCTGATCATGAATTTGAAGTTTGCTGGCAAAATTTTGGCCCGGAACTTTGTTCTTTTGGCAGTTTTTGCACAAATTTTGGCACTTTTTTCAGTTTTTGGCCTATATCTCAGAGAGAAACCGTTTTTTCGAAAAGCGTATTATATTCAAAGTTAGAGTTGACAGAATTTCCTAAATGTTTTGTGAAATTCTTCTTTTTGTAAAACTAACCATTCGACCGCTAGAGCGCGCCAAAAAAGACATATTCCCGGACCTAGACCTACATGTAATTGAAATAATGGGACAAACGAATGAAATGCAGTCATTACTTACTAAAGAAGTTATCTACAGTGTACTGTCGAACGTATTATAACATGTACTCTTATCATTAAAATTATGAATATCGCTGCTGTCTTAAATTAGACTGCCATAATCATCTGGAACAAACGGATATATTATTTCTTGGATTTTTTGATAGACGGGGTGAGTATTATTTTGCACGTTTACTTTCGAGAATACTGTTGTACTCCAGTCTATTCATCTATTCTCCATATGTTTCCAGGTGGTGGAGGTCTGCAATGAACAGAATATATGGTTGCATTCATCTTAGTACATATATATTATGCTCCAAGAGTGTGATTGTCGTTTTTAGGGCAGGAAATGCTAAATACCTTCATCCTCTTTGTCCATACTCTTTTTGATGGTCTCAACTACCGGGAAGAAGGTGAAGCCCAGTTCGTCCTGTACTTCAACGTCGAATGGCCCGTCATCAAGGGGATTAGTGAGATCTGCCTCGATTGTCACATTGTTGCAGGACCCTTACAGTTGATGCACAAATTTGTGCAATCGAGGCCTGCTTTCTTGCAACTACATTTTTTTGCGCACCTCTTGATGCATCTACATGACACCAGACACAGTAGTTCGAGAGGAGCAGGGGCTTGTAGAGAAGTGATCGGTTCCAGGCCATTTGTTGCTCATTTTCAACCCCAATCTTCGGCATTCTTCTCAACTCCCAGCCATTGCTGCACCTGGAGATATACCTACCCTAAAACTGTGCTGTGTGGCTGCAGCAGCTGATGGTGGTCGTGCAGCTATTCTTGATGAAGTCTTGAAAGCTGCCTTCTTATAATCAATATACCTCAGACGGTTTATCGACGGTTCAGTCCTTCCTGTGTAGCCGTACACGTTGATCAAGAATCTCTCACCTGCTGCTCCATTGCTTTCTGGAGTTGCCTCAGGGTTTTTGAACACACTCACAACATCGGCAATGTTGGGGTTTTTGGTGAGAGTTTTCACGAACTTTAACTTTCCTTGGTTGTATGGTTCTGAAGTTGTATCACAACCACTCATTGCATGAAGACACATGATGTGTTCTCTTATGGTTTTGTTTGTCAGAGCATGCATGGGAGAGTAGGTGGTTGGAGGAACATTTTGCTGTCCTAGTTTCAGGAAAAATACGTTATCTCGTAGACAAAGACCAGTAAGGATGACGAACAGGTCGATGTCCTCTCCAACAACCAACAGTATCAGTGAATTTCACTAGATATGGGAATACGGCCTTTTTTGCGCTCTCTAGCGGCAGAACAATTAGTCTTACTAAAAAATGTTATGCATGAAAAAATTAGGAAATTTTATCTGCTTTTATCTTATACAGAATGATCTTGTCGAAAAAATGCTTCCTTTCTGAGATATAGGCCAAAAACTGAAAAAAGTGTCAAAATTTTGACAGAAAGTACCAAAAAAACAATGTTCCGGTCCAAAATGTTGCCAGCAAACTTCAAATTCATGATCAGCAACCCAAAAAACATGGGTCTAGAGAAAATTAAAACTATAGCAAAACTTTCCTCTGAACCCCCTTTATTTTCCTAATATGCTTAGCCTATTAATGTGACACACTCTATTAATTCGAGAAAATAGTGAACTACCGACTGTCTTATAAAATATCATGACTCATAACATTCAATAAGATTTATACAGATATGTTTTTGTTTCTTACTTTAATAAAACGTTTTTACATGCTCTTTTGATTCATGGAAACCCTGTTTATAAACGTCCATTTATATTATAGAGATCGATAGGTGGTAAATGAAAAGTTGCAGATTGTTTTGCGTTCATAGGCCGTCATATGAAGAAACAAAGTACGCTGATCAACAAAATTAACGCACCAACTGAAATTTACTATGAGTTTGAAATTATCTTGAATTCGATTTTGATGATCCTTTCTTTGCTATGAATCTTGGATTTTAACAAAAAATCTGGATTCTGAATTCTGGTACTTTAGATTCGACCGTCGCCAAGGCCAGATCTCAATCCGATTGAATGAAATCGATCGATACCAAAGTAATAGTTCAATGTCAAATTCGATGAAGATTTGAGTTTGAGTTTAGTTATTTATGCAACAAGTGCAATAAACAATTTTTGCACGAGTTGCATACAACATTTTTTCTACGTTCATGCAAAAAGCAAAAAATGATTTATTGAGGAGCGGCACTAGGTACAATTCTGTTAATTGTCAGAATTAATTTTTGACTGACGTTTCTATAACCACAGTTGCAATATAAAAAATGTTTGTCATGATGACAGCACGTTGAAGTAGAATGACAGATGAGTTGCACTAAGTGCAATAAAGAACTTCTTTTTCCACTAAATATAGTTCAATAAAGTTCTGCTTTTTGCATGAATGTAGAAAAACGAAATTGTTTGATTGATTGATTGTCTTTATTACCCCAAGAAACATTATTGTTCATAATAGGGATATATGCAACAAAACATACATATAACATAATGAATCGAAACAATAATTATTGCACAATTATTGTTTTTCATAAAAAAATTACAAAAAAATATAAAATGAAAATATTGTAATCCATTACAAGTATTCAAATTGTGAATGATTAGTAGATATGGAATTGAAGTTCACTGAGCAGATATTTATTTAATTTGATTTTAAATTCTTCTGCTTCTACATTTTTTAACTCATTAGGTAAGGAGTTGAATAAAGTTATTCATTCATGGAGTATCGATTGTTTACCAAAATTTGACTTATAATTATTAGCTATCAATAAATTAAATTGTCGTCTTTCATGGGCGTGAATCGTATTAACTTCATTAAAATTCAAATTTGATATTTTCAATTTCTTCCTGACAAAATGAATTAAACAACAAATTTTGAGTTTATATAATAAAACTAGATCCAGCAAGTCTTTAGGTTTGTATAGATTTACAGTTGATTCTAAAAAAGGTAAATTGCAAATGCACTTTATTGTTTTATTTTGTAATTTCATGAGTGGCTTCAAACGTGGAATATTTGAACTTCCTCAAATAGATATTTGATATTGTAAATTTGAATAAAGAAGACAGAAATACATACTCTTTTGGCATCTAACAGGAATAAAATTTCGAATTTTATATCTAATACCAGAAATAGGATTCACTTTTTTCCTCAAATGATCTATATATAGAGTCCACGATAATTGTTCATCAATATAAAGAACTATACATTTTGTTACATTGGTATATTGTATATTCATTGGATTTTTTATTGAAACATATTGGGGTATTATTCAATATATCCGTTGTTCTTCTTGAGATGTACATATACGTAGATTTACTACAATGAAGAGTCAACTTTTTGGTCGTTAGTCAAGATGATATTTGTTTCAAATCATTTTTAATATCATTATTGATATCGTTAAAATATTCTGAAGTATAGATTATTGTTGTAACATCTGCAAGTAATTTTAGTTTTTTTTTCAATTTCAAAGTAGATATTGAGTTGATATAAATTAAAAATAAAATTGGCCCCAAAACTGACCCGTGCGGTACACCACATGTAATATTCATCAAGGAACTACAAGTATTATTCACATCAAAATACTAATTTCTATTCTTCAAATGATTTTGAAACCAGTCATGAATTTTTCCTCTGACACCTATTGATGATAATTTAGTCAATACAATATTATGATTCACAGTGTCAAACACCTAACAAAACTATCAATAAAATAGTTGCTATGAATTGAATTGCATATCTACTGTGATAACAGAGGTAGTCAAGTGAAACGAGAAGTAAAATGTTGAGTGAAGATTTCATTTTTTATTCGGCTGTTGTTACTAGTAAACGCAATTGGGTCCTTTGAATTTCTTAAAAAAAACTGATTCATTTAAACACCCAGTAATGAAAGAAAATTAGTATTATGGCAACGTTCTTCAATCGTAAGCCCATATTGACAGACAATATAATCAAAGTAATATTTGAAGTTGAAGGAAAAATAAAAATATATTTCCGGTGGTGCGCATATTTTGCTTTCAGTGTAGGTATCTATTTTGTGATGAAAGTGATATGACTAAATTTGGCTCTAAACGGTATTTGTTCATTAGTAGTTAGTTTATATACAAATGTTTATAGAGGATAAACATTCCAATCAGAATGTTGACTAGATGAAAGTTTTTTCTAAAATTATTTCTTAAGTTTAAATATATTCTAGAAATGATCATTCTGTATATGAGAATACTTAACGTGAGTGAAGATATGAGTAGATGAAAATCAGTCTTTTTTCGTGAGAATGATATTTTTCTGCAACTTCCAGAACAAAATTGATAGAATTATTCACAACCTGGAAAAATATTGCCAAATATACAAATCGGACTATAAAAAAAAAACCGTTATCCTAATGACATGACTAGTTGTTATTCACAAAATGTACAATTCGGAGAACGTGAAATTGTGGGTTCACATTCTCGGTTATCTTCTATTCTATTTCCAACTTTGAGAGTTTTCTCAATACCAGTTCAAGAATGGCATTGTAAAGAAATTCGAATGTTCAAATAGTCCCGAGGGAATAAAGTAAAGTGTCAAATCAAAGTCAGTCGCGTCGTTATACGCGCTTGAAAGTTCCAAAGCGAGAAGAAGCGAGAAAACATACTATTAATATATGTTGAATTTGTATTTTATGTTGATAGGAGGGAAGCTAGCTGGGAAAATGCTTGTGATGCCTGAATTCCCTCGAGTATTCCACATGAAATGGATGAGTTTCCTATACAAATGTATATTTCCTTCAATTTATGGAGAACGTTTAGATAAGTGGAAGCTTGATATGATATGCGAAATTCGCCGGATATTTATTTCTAATACATCTCGGATCTCAGATATGAAAGGCCCTTTGGGACAGCACACAGCCTTTCAGATATTATTAAACAGTCTGACTAGTGAAATTATCTTTGGAATAGTTCGGTTCGGTGAACATACAAATTCTATTTGTTAAGAACCACAAGGAAGTTCATTTCCATTTGGAATACATTCAGGTCTCATTTTGGAAATGACTACTTTAATTATTACCAACGTAACTTTTCATCGTATTTCAATGACTAGGTTGTTGCTCTCTTTATAATTAGACACACTAAAAAACTGAATAATTCAACTGGTTTCTGAGCTGAAACTAAAAATGTAATTTCTGATGGAGCTCGTTTTGTAATGGCGAAATCTAGTTTCCTATTCCGAAAAGAAACATTTAGTTTCGAGACATTGGAAAATCCGTTTCATATTTTTATAGGCTAAAACCTATAATCGACCTTATTTATTTTACTTATGTCATCTTTCAATTTTTTTGTAATAAAGGAATTCAGGTAATTAAAATAATAGTTAACTCTGATTTCCTCTGCCTTTCCTTAAAATATCGCAGTTATTTTAGTAACATACACTAAAAGTTATCATTTGACCTCAATATTCTATTTACACTAATTGAGCTACATTGTAGATAGTTTTTTATTATTAGAAAATAATAGTAATCACGCTCCTTAAAATGAAAGTTTGTGATATATCTGATGACAAACCGATAACGTTTGAAAAATAAATAGTTTCACCTATATGACCAAAAAGAAAATCCCTACATTCATTTTAGGGATTGAAGTATCACAGTTTACAAGATGACTAGATAGATAATTGAAAAAAAATCAAATCACAGGTAAATAAATATTCAGTTCATGGTTATTCTTTGGCATTATGAACATTTTTTGCACATTAGTTCCAAATCCGATAATTTTCTGAAAGATTTGAAAATAAAGATATCATTTTTTGGTCACTTGAACCTCAAGTTGGTCTCTAGCTCATAGCTGAGGGAACAATTTTCAGGGGACAGCGACAACTAATAAAATGGCGTTCAACTTCTTACACCATAGTATCCTGGAAGTAGTCAGTATCCTGTCAAATGGCACTAATGTCTTCTAGAACGTCCCTCTCTGAGTTGACCCTTGTTTGCCTCACAGACTCGCAGCTCAAGTGTTCGCTGGAAAATTCGCCAAAAGAGCCGTTTCTTCTGGCATTGACCACCAAGGTTTTGGTGCCGTAATCGGTGACGAATTTGTCGTTGTTCAAGGACACGGACTCGTAACCGCATGCGCAACAAGCCGGGTAGTGCGCCGTTAGAATTCTAAAATAATAAGAAGACAATCAACAGATGAGATCATAGCTATCAAGAGAGGTTCTTAGCCTATACTCTATCTATACCAATCACCGAGAAGACGGGGAATAGAGGTGGATACGAAACACCGCACAAAGAGGAAATGAAGATTAGAGCTGAATACGGAACACCGCACAAAGAGGAGAAGGCGAACATGTGCGAACACGAAACACCGCACAAAAAGGAGACCGAGAATATTGGCGAATACGAAACACCGCACAAAGAGGAGAAGGAGAACATGCGCGAATACGAAGCACCACACAAAAAGGAGACCAAGAAAAATGTCGAACACGAAACACCCCACAAGGAGGAATACGAAATTTTTTACAAACAGGAGACCAAGAATAGCGTAGGATACGAAACAACGCAAAAAGAGGAGGAGGAGAACATGCGCGAATACGAAACACCGCACAAAGGAGAACGAGAATAGTGCTGTATACGAAACATCGCACAAAGAGGAGAAAGAGAACATGCGCGAATACGAAAAACCGCACAAAGGAGAACGAGAATAGCGCTGAATACGAAACATCGCACAAAGAGGAGAAGGAGAACATGCGCGAATACGAAATACCGCATTAAGCGAAGACGGAGAACATGCGCGAATACGAAACACCGCACAAAGAGGAGAAGGGTTACATGCGCGAATACGAAATACCGCACTAAGAGGAGGAGAACATGCGCGTATACTAAACACCGCACAAAGAGGAGAAGGAGAACATGCGCAAATACGAAATACCACACTAAGAGGAGAGGGATTGTGATGTAGGTTTATAGGTATTGTTATTATTTAAGAATTTATATGTATACACATTTCATTATTGATTGGAATAATTATGTAGGTCTTCAAACAGAATATTGTTGACTAAGCATTACATGCTGTTTCATGGTTAGGTAGGTACATCAAAATAAACATGGATTGATTGATTTCATGAGATGTAGAACAGGACATTTTTGAAGTAAATATGAGAGGTTGAAGATCGAATACTTGAGTTATTTCCAACGTCCAACACCATCATCAAGAGATGACTCCACGATTATCATAGGAGAACATGCGCGAATACTAAACACCGCACAAAGGTAAGACCGAGAATAGTGGCGAATACGAAACACCGCACAGAGAGGAAAAGGAGAAAATGCGTGAATGAGAAACACCGCACGAAGAGGAGAAGGCCAGCCTAGCCTCGTGGTTAAAGCGTCAATGTTCTATCCGCGTTAGATTGCCTGTAGGTGGGTTCGATTCCCATCACGACCGCAGACATTTTTCTGATGGCCTAAGTAAGTGTTTGGGATCACACGTTAAAAGGTAAGACCCCCGTTATTTCTTGCTCGCACAAGTCTGTTGAAAACTTTCGAGGGTTGCTCGTAAGGAGGCAATCAAATGATGAATAAGAACAATTTAAGAAAAATTTTAAAACAATTTTAGAACATGTGCGAATACGAGACATCGCACAAAGAGAAAAACATGCGCGAATACGAAACACCACACAAAGGGGAGACCGAGAATACTGGCGAATACGAAATATCGCACAAAGAGGAGAAGGAAAACATGCGCAAATAAGAAAATTTGCACAAAGAGGAGACCGAGACTAGGGCAGAATACGAAACACCGTAATAAAGGAAACCGAGAATAGTGGCGAATACGAAAAAAAGGCTCAAAGAGGACACCCCTAGCTTTGCGAGTTTACCTTTTGAATGCTTCCCGAAACTCCGTGTTGAATATGGAGTAGATAATGGGATTGAAGGCGGAGTTGGAGTAACCGAGCCACGTGAGGATCTTGAAGGTGATGTCGGGGATGCATGTCTTGCAGAATGCCGCGACGATGTTGATGCAGAAGAATGGCACCCAGCATATCAGGAATACACCCATAATAATACCTTGAAATACAAAAGAAATGAACATTTACTTACCTATCGTGTGGAATAGTTTGGGTGGATTGTTTTTTTCTCACCTACTGTGACCGCTGCCTTGTGATCGCTCACGTGATACGGGCTACTGTGATTGTTATGCAGATGAATGTGGAGGGCTTTGTTCTTGTGCTTTGTGCTCTTTCTGAACCTTTTCGTCACATGATCGGTGGCAGCTTCTGGCATATCGATCGGTCTCGTTATCGCTCTGATATTTTTCACGTGCTTCTGAGCGTAACAGTATAGTCTGCAGTAAATTCCTGGAAAATTCATGTATAGTTGCTTGAGGGACGAGTACTTTTGTTCATTTAGAACAGGACACCTAGTACATTATTTCGTATTTGCTTAAAGATACTTATAGTATACCTATCCCCAGCATATGTTCTGATCTATCACCGCAGATTATTGCAATTGAAATCTTCGGAAAAAAATCTTGACGAACTATTTGAAACGTTTTCTCATTAATTTGTCTACATTTTGCGATAGTTCTTTCTTTTTCCTCCCGAGGATGAAGTTTTAGTAATAATTCGAGGAAGGAAAATGCACTTTTCCCCCATGTTATACATGTGATTTTTCCACCTTCCTTAAATAAATAGTAGATTGTTTTATTAGGATCAAAAGTGACACTTCGCTAAATGCTCCGCCTCGCAAATACAAAATTTGCGAGTCAAACAAAGTCACTTTTGATCCGAATGAAACATGCTATTTTTTCTGCAACCGAAACAATTAACTCAAATAAACATGTGAAGTAACCACCAATGCCGTGCCATATGTTATGCAATGCAACAAATATTGACAAATAATCCATGTGGTGAGAATATTCTACCTGCATTAACAGCAGGTTAGGTTTTCTAAGATGTTCAAATTGTAGTTTCAATATAAATACAACCACAGAGTGACATATTTGTGTATGGACCAGGTGCTCTAACGGCAAATACCGCGCCAGTGCCAGCTATAGGAACAAGACGTGGAAAATGTTACGTTAGTGAGCATATCAACAATGAAAATAGTGATTATTTATTCCTCTTCATACTTCACTGTGTTTGACTTGATAATCGAATGGAGCTAAACAATATCGTTCTTTGAGACAAAAAACTATTGCTTGCCGTGATTATTCAAAAACAAGTTATCCATCCCGAGAATAACGAATGAAATACAGATCAAGCAAGTATTTGAATCTTGAAGGCTTCCCTGATCAAAACAAAAATACTTAACTCGGATGTTTATAATTCCAATACTGAACTATAATAAGGTGTATTTATATCTCCAGCATGGGTATGAAATGCCAAATCTGTTGAAATCGAAAACAAATCAGGTATGCGTCTCAACCCAAATAACCAACCGTCACAATGTTGTTTATTCTTGATGAGGTCCAGTACATCCTTTTTAGTTCCTAGGAGCTAAAGTTCAACTTTAGCTCCTAGGAACTAAAATTCAACTTCAACTCCTAGGAACTAAATATGTTGCCTAGCAACATACCTATTTTTGTGTCAGTAATAGAAACGTCAATTTAAGAGCTAATTTTGGTATCAAAATGGACGACTTTTGTGTCGGTTGCAGAAAAAAGTAATTCTTAAATACTTCATTTATGAAAGTAACAAATAAAATTTATTAAAGAACAACTAAGAACTTCATCAAAAAACAACTAAGAACTTTATTATAGGACAACTAAGACCTAGGTGCAGTAAAACTTATATTCACGATATTTTCATTCTTGCCTCCTAAATATTTTTAATTTGTGGAAGGGTAATTGGAACAGACACATGGTGATCAGAATTCTGGATCTTGAATCACCCTGTATCTGTTCTAATTAAATGTCAGTAGATAGTTAATCAAAATTCAATATAGGGACATGTAAGCCGTTTTGACCAATAATGAATGAATTCGGCACAAAAAAATCCTGAATTTGAAAATTTGATTATGAACACCTCTGTAAACATTTCTGCTAGACCCCAAGTGTGAACATTGATGGAATCAGCTCTTCAGGGAGAATTCAAAAATGCAATGATATACAGGGTATTCCATTTGCGAAAATAGCAACTTTGAAACATTTCGTGTTTTTAGCACACCCTGTACAACATGTAAATATCTAGCGCTGTAGGGTCCTATTCACCAAAAAAAAAAACTCAAAAATCCAAATGCTTTAGCCACATTGCTTCGTGTCGAATAACGTGAATAACCCTGTATAATAGAATGTAGTTTAGGTCGTCAATGCCAAATGAGTTATTTCATTGATGACGTACTATGACGTCACGTTTACTTTTCCTCTCTAGGAAGGAAAAGTACGAATTTTTTCACTTTCCCCTCGACATCTTAATCGACCTATTTTTCTTGAAAATTGTTATCACATCAGATCAGAAGACAAGGGTGATGAAATATTCGAATGAAAGCTCTGTATGTACTTCTTTCAGTTGGTTGAACAAAGAGGATGAAATGATCATTTAATCATTGTATTCTCCTAGTAGATTTTATCCGCAACCAAACAGCATGAAATAAGAGGTGTCCCATTTGAGAATTGGAAAGTTGATTTGAGTTCCAGACTACTGGGTTTTTATAAAATTAGGTAATTGGTTGCGAGTTGAACCGAGTCAAACACTTCTCTCCGATTTTCCATTGTGTCCTAAAATTCATAAACCCAACTATGTTTGAGAGTTTGTGACTTGAATTTTGCGAGGCGTGCTTCATCACCGTTCTTGAGAATGGGAAGTCATAAACATAAATACTTTATCCTTCACAGATGCGAAGGAAATTGCGTTATTTACCCCATTTTACTCGAAGGAATTGTCCGTAATTATAATATATCTTCCACGTCCCAAAATTGCTACAACAAACTGAAATTGTAAGATTCAATGCCGCTATAAATATATTCTAGACAAATATTATTTGAAGGCAATTTCAAGCTTCATTAATACCTAATTGAATATTCCAAAGGACATCATGACGGTTGCCGGAAATATGATCGAAATCAATAGATCGAACTTCATTTGATCGAACATCATTTAATCGAAAATCAATTTATCGAAAAATCAAATGATCGAAAATCAATTGATTGAAATATCATTTGATCAAAATATCAAATGATCGAACTACATTTTGATCGAATATAATCATTTTTTTACCCTAGAATTGTCTTGTTCCTTATCCCAAAACATGGGATATTGGGTTTTAAGATTACCTGATGAACTGATTACATTTTCATAATATTTCCTTACCTTCATACATGTCGCCTAAATACTTAGTATGATCATCTACTATGCAGCATTGGAATACGTTGAATATATTTTGATTTCCGAGATATTCATTATGGATATAGAACAATAATCGTAACTTTCGTAAATGTTACAAAAAATAGTGGGTATTGCACATCTGGTTAGTGAAGAATTGTCCTAAATCCATTGATTTCTGCGATATTTGTTGTCGTATACATAGTCTCGACCATGCAACATACACAAAAATAATTATGAAGAGAATAAAACAATCAAGAAAATAAGGAAATATAATATTATACATGAAATCATGGAGATCTTATCAGATTTGCATATTTCGAATCAGCTCATTTTTTGATTTCTTCAGTCCAGTCTTCTTCTCCCGTGAAAGTGCTCTCTTCTTTGGTGCGGTACTTGCGGCTTTGCATGGTGGTACTCAAAGTCTGGGTTTGTATTCTGTTTATCGCAAGTATTGTGTCATAAAATAATTTTTCTGTATCATTGGGAATCAAAGGTTTCATTTCTGTAAGGTGTTTTCTCTTCATATCGGAAATTGCAATCTTTTGTTCGGCAAGAGGCACACCTCATTGCAGAAGTTGTATTGATTTTTTTTTTCAAGGCGACATTTTGTCTGTTTCTTGTTTCTATATATTTTTACCATTTTTTGCATTTTTACATCTTCAAAATCACTGTCGAATTGTTCTTTGAACCTGCTTATTATGTGTTTCAATCTGGGATATGGAATAAACAATGAAGGAACAAGATAACTCCGAGTCGGCATCATACATTTCAAATATTTACTGAAAACTTCTTAACACTGGTCTACGAATGGATAAAGAACAAATGATTTTTTCAAATTTCTCCATGTATTCAGTTCAAGAAAGTAGGTACCGAAATGTGATATAGAACAAGATAATTCTATGGTGACGATTCGTATAGATTGCAGATATTCATTGATATGAAGGATTTCAGTGTGAGGAGCTGTGAGAAGTATAACCTCAAGTAAAAGTAGTAAAACTATAGTGATCAACATAATATGTCAGAAATTATGTCACAATCGGTTACAGAGACAAGACATCGTTTATACAAGGTTGCGGTTTTTGAAAAATTTTGGTAATAAATTGTCAATGTGGAAAAGAAAAGTTGATATGAGATGGATATTTTTATGTGTTACACCGCTTGCCTAATAGTTAAGGTATTCCCTGTAATTACGGATTGAAAGTTCATTGAAGCCGAGTCAGGTTAGATTGTTTAGAAACAGTGTCTTTTTTGTTCTCCCAAGTGATTTTCCTAAAAATATACTCAAGAAGCAGGTTCATTTAGGCCGAGTTAGGTTAGATTGCTTAGGAAAATTAGTCTTTTTTTTATGCCTATGCTGAAAGGATATTTTTCTTCCTCAACTAGTCGGAAAACAGTGTAACTGCTGAAAACGCTATTACGCTGCTTGCCTGCAGTACGTGAAATGACTAGGCATTTCAGGGAATGACGGATTTCATCAAATATGTTTCTTTCATGTTATAAGTTTGATCAAAATGTTATTCGATAAAATTATATTTCGATCGAATGATATTTCGATCAATTGATTTTCGATCAAATGATATTCGATCAAATGATTTCGATCAAATAGTTTTCGATCATATTTCCGGCAACCGGAGTATTTTTTTATGCAAATCGAGTCACTATCAAAATGTTACTCTATTTCATTGTGGGAGATTAATGAAGATGTCACGTTCCTTGATGCATTTCAGCGAAGTATACTATTTCAATGTCTAACTGTTCATTAGGAAAGACTTATTAAAAACGTCACTTTATATACTAGCGTTATAAACATCTCACTAGCGTTATTACCAGGGTTTTCGCCATCAGAAATGCATGTCGTTGTAAGACTGGATATACACTGAATGAAGAAAACGCCAAACGTGACGGGAGACAGTAATAGTGAAATTAAATATTCCGTAAATTTTCATTTGGAAATACACTCACCGGCCAGGAAGGAAGTCCTGAATTTTAATTACTTGTCTATAAAAGTTGATGGCTTGATCATCTCATTTTCAAGAGAAAATATACAAGTGTTAAAAAAAAATGTTTTTATTTTTTTATTTTTATTGACAATTGACTCAGAATCTATAGAAGAATCATTGGGATGAGCTCGAGAGGCATATTCGTCTTTGTACGGCTTTGCCTTGCCCTTCAAAAAGATTTTGACGCATGTTTGAGGCATTTTCTCAAGAACGCTTGAGAAATTTGATCAAATCGATTCCACTGCGGTAGCATGCTGTAATTCAAGCACGAGGAAGGCGAGCATACTCGCTGTATTGTTTATGTTTATCTAGGAAGTCTGCTTTTTGTTTGTGTTTTGTAATCACAAAGGCTTTTATTTGAGTGACGTGGTGGGAATAAGCAATAATGATTTCCAGAAGTTTTTTTCCAGTTGTTAATCGATGAGTTCATGCAGGTTCTGAATTATTGTTTATACATTTCAAAAAATCCATACTTCCTTAAAACACTTGCATCTATCTTCTCTTCAAGAAAAAATATTGACGTGAATCAAAAACCATTATGTTGAGAACGGATAACACACTACACACTTTTACCACTATTCAAACCGATTTTTATGTTAGCATCTTCAGGAGAAACAAGAAATAACACTTCAATCCAAAACATAACGAAGCTAAGTTTAACCACTCACACAGGGCGTTAAGAAATTAAGGGTGATATAGAGTTGGTAACTCGGATTTTCTCTGTATAATGATGAGGCCATCAGCTTTTCTTAGAAATCAAAATTCAGGATAACATTCCGAAACATAAATCTACGATTTGGTAGAAGCTCTACCAAAATTGGACAGGAATTGAAAAGTGTATATTTTGAAAGTTCGAAGAAAATAATTCAATTTGGAATCGAAGTACTTTTTGTTATCACTTTTACTCCATACATAATAATTAATATTCTATCAATGTAAGACAATTCACAGTATCTCATAACTTTGTGAAGTTGCGGGTACTTCCTTTGTTCGTGTCGCACAATCCTATAATAGTGTGTGGTTTAACGAGCATTCCGTGCCGTACTCTTCTCTTCTCTTATGTAATGCTCATCTATTAGACAGAGCTGTCATTGCTTGAAATCATTCATTTTCCATGGGAGATGAGATTTTGTGAAGTAATAACAAAATGAAGTCATTGTGATATCAGATACGGAGATAAAATTGATGACATATAAACAGGTACCTCATTAATTTAGCGAACACATGGTAAACAAGAGCAATTTTGTGTTATAGTTATTGAAAAAATAAAATTATTTTCGTCGGCCTCTACAGAAAATCACATTTTACATTCTAATTTAATTCTTGCTTTTCATGCCAATGAAATTCAATGAAATCATATTATGCTATAAAATTGTGTTTCTGGACCCAGCGAGCACAAAAACATCTCAGAGATGTTAAAAGTACGAGATTTCGAGACATTGAACCTCCACTGCGATGTTCTGTTCACACATGAATAGAACTATTATAGAACAGCCAATGTCCGCCGCAGGCGGCAATTATCGAGATGTCCTTGATATGTCACAAAACTACCTTCTCCCTAGTTCTTTTCAAAGCCTTTTCATGGACACAACAAAACATTTTCAACGCGTCTTGCGCACATTAAATCGCTGTAAAAAACCATTTTCGAGGTACTTTTCTGAAGCCTTTTGTCAAAATGAACTTCTGCATTAGGATTCCATTTCCCTTGAATGAAAAAATGCATTAAAAATATATTGAACATAAAAATATTTTCTTGATATGAAATTACCTTCTTAATCGGTTTCTGAGTAGTACTCACTACACACAGACATATAATTGGAAATAGGTTTGCCAATTTTTGAAATGTTCTCCACAATGCATAATTTTGCAACTGCGGAGAAGCTGTGTATTGATAAATTCGTACTTTTATATATTGATTACACTGAGGCACCGAACAACACATCTTGCATCTGATGGTCATTATTACAAACTAAATAAGTCTTCTAACACAATAAACTTCACCAAATTCCTTTCTGTTTGTTAGCAGCGTGATGTAAGCGTGACACGCTGCAAACGCGAATGCCAATTGCGAGCAAGAAGAACAAAATCGAAAACAAATCAGAATTCATCGTATTGTGACGTAAGCATGAGACGTTGTGGTGGGGCAAACAAAGAAAGGGCACAAAAGAACAAAAACAATACTTTCAATATCCTTCTAAGACCTCTTCGGGAAGTGCATATTACGCCTCAAAAAAACATCCTCATGCCTACATTTCTAAAACATCCCAAAACATCCCAGGAATACCTCTCAGTAGGCAAACAAAGAAATGCCACAGAAGAACAAAAACAATACTTCAATATCCTTCAAAGACCTCTTTGGTCAGTGCATATTACGTCTCAAAATAACATCTTCATGCCAACATTATCAAAACATCCCAAAACATCCCAGGGATGTTTGTGCTCGCTGGGGAGGAATAGGAAAGACTCGCTACTGACCCTTGTGTTCAACTTGTGACTTAGCTAATAAAAAGGTGTTGAAAACAGGAACGAATAGTGAAAATTAATAACAAAAAAAAATATTCTGGTACATGAAATTTTCAATGAAAACAATAGTAGGCGCAGGGCACGGGGATCTTCATTTATTGAGAACCCGTTTTTTCATTTACATTCGAATTCTTGGCTATGGGCATTGACAATAATTGAAGAAACAGTAGCATCAAAACAATATTTTTTTTCAACTCCACACCTTTCAATTGGCTGAAGATGGTATTTTATAAGACTGAAACATGTCCCTCATGATTATGTAACAACATCATTAACAGGTTAAGTGCCGCAATGGTAAAAAATTTAACGTCCCCTTTGGCCAGAATCTTTTTTTCATCAAATTGCCTTTCTATTTTTTTTCCTTAACTCTTCATCAATGTTTTTCATCTCAATGTACGATTTTTAGTACCAAAAATGTGAGTCCAGGTTGGAGTTTCACGGCCACCAGCAAAACTTTTATCACGGGATGCTAATTTGAGTCCAGTTGGACTCTCAGGAGCACAGGCAAAGTATGGTTTCTAGACCATCTGGCCGAGCAGAAAACGCTCCCGTGTATTTTAAATAGATGCGAGAAGGCAATGTGGCACTTAACCTGTTAACATTTGTGGAGATGAATTCGAGCATTCCTTACTTCCTGTGGAATTTGATTTAAATCACGATTGAAATTGAAAAAATCAGTTGATTCAAATCACGATTCAAATCATTTGATTTGAATCGTCGCAACCCTGGAGTGAGATATGGCAACGCTGTACTCACCTATCATGACGATGCAGGGCACGTAGAAGGAGATGCAGCTGGAGACGACCGCATAGGTGGGGGTGAGATCCAGGGCGCAGGTGGGGTAGTTTTGGCCGCCCGCGTTGTAGACCAGCGGCTGGGGCGGCCTGTGCAGCCCCATGGAGATGGGCACGAAGGAAATCAGGGCGGCCAACAGCCAGATGGTGCCTATCGTGCCGAGGGCCACTCGTCGCGTCACCCAACGGCCGTATCTACGAACGAAAATCGAAATCTCATCAATGAAAAACGAATATACAGGGTGTTTCTTAGGTACGTGTAGAAAATTCAGGATTCAAAATAAGAAAAAAAGTTCGTATATATACAGGGTGTTTCACAGGTAAAGGGAAATATTTCAATGGTAGATAGGGGTCACCAAGGTGGTTCTGAAAATACCATATTTGATAGGTCTTAGAGTTTTCATAACGGAGATACAGGGCGATTTATCGATTTCGAATAATTATTCATTCGTCTATACTTTATCACCAAGCCTGTACATGAAACCTATTTTTCGCGCAATTTTCTTTATAATGTATTCACAATGACTGTTAAAATTCAGTTGATTATCAATGATCACTCCCAAATACTTGAACATTTTCACTTCTTCAATGATTTCTCCGTTTATCAGAATATTGAATTTCATTTTATTCTCCTGGATCATTTCTGAATTTGCTTTCGAAGATATAATCATGAATTTCGTCTTTGTAACATTAATTTTTAGTCCATTGTCACAGATCCAGGTGAATATATTCTCAAGATCTTCATTCAAGAATTTCTCCACATCCTCTTTCTTGCCAGAGAAGTAAAGCAAGGTATCATCCGCAAATAGTTTCAGCTTACAATTCTGGACGTGATGTATAATGTCATTTATGAATAAAATAAATAATATGGGTCTCTCAGCCTTCATTTTAACATATCTATCTAAGAGAGACAGAAATCAGTCAACTCTGAGAGTTTTGTGTTTCAATAGTTTGTAATCAGTGGCATATAATATGTCGTATGTGAAATGGAATAAAAGATGGCAACCAGTAATGCCATTGGTAGTGCCTGCAAAGCACATTCAGAGAATGTCCCAGAATAATATTTTCGACGAGCGCCAAAGTTTCCTTCATATTTCAGTCTCTTCGGTGGAATTTGTCATCAACAGTCTATGCTCTCTGATGTACGTTTTAATTGTGGAAGTTTCGATTGCGAAACAATAAAAGCAAAATGATTGCGCTGCTGCACAATAATTGTATCGGGAGCAGAACGCTCGTAAACTCTTCATATTATTATTAATTGTGTTCCACTTTTAATCATTGTTATCGAAAGTTTCACAATGAAATGACTTCGATAGATTTGGGCATTTGCAATATATTCCAAATCCTCAAAGGAATTCTCATCATTGTTATCGAAAGTTTCACAATGAAATGACTTCGATAGATTTCAGATGTTGCAATATATTCCAAATCCTCAAAGGAATTCTCACTTATAATGCCACGAGAGCCTCAATTTTTGGTTTTGAATTAAAGGTAGAGTAGTACACGACGTTAAGAAAATTTCGGAATAAGATTACGCTATTGAATTAGGTCACACAAAATAATGAAGAATGAGATTTCACTAAAGTTGGTAGAAATATATTGTCTCATATGAAACTTGAAGTACTGTTTAGTATCAATGAAATTTGCTCACGTAATATTATCAGGTTAAATGATATCCTTCTCTCTGAAACATAACTTCATTTTATGACGTAACGGTAACTTCATCATGTTACGATGTCACGGTTTATTAGTGAAGCTTGACAGATGTCAGTTTGCCAGTTGTTTTCATTTATTTATTAATAATTTCCTTTTCGTACGCTCCAAGCGATAAAAAAAATAGCAATTTTGTGTTCGATTTACAATGAGGTACTTTGTTTGTCAACAATTTTATTTCCGTATCTGATATCACACTATTGACTCCATTGTGTTATTATTTCAGAAAAATCTCATCGCCCAGGGAATGTCAAATTTCATGCAATGACAGCTCTGTCTAATAGATAAGCATCACTTGACAGTGAATCAGATGGCTTCAAGACGAAGAAATCGAAAATGCCGTTTTTATCTATTATAGCCGTAGAAAAATTATAGTGTATAGCTTGCACGGAATGCTATAATTTCCTACTCGAATGATTGCAGCATTCTCCTAGTGTGAATACTCAAAGATCGAAGGTACCACCTAACACAAATAATACCAAAAGTAGTTACCTATTCTCGAGAAGATATTTTTCATTTTCGGAACGATTTCTTTACTTTCGGAACGATTCTTCTCACTTTCGGGACGATTTTGGGTATCTACTTGTATGTAGGCGGTTTCGACAATAAAATGAACTTTGTATTTTAACATCACAGTTCTTGTTATGTAATAATGGTCTGTGTCTTTTCGCTTCTTAAATTAAAACAATGGCGTCAGAAATGATATTGTACGTAAAACTACCCAAAACTAATCTTTCGTGACTCGCAGGATTCCAGGAAAGTTTTACTCATCCCGTAATATATCACTTTCGGAACTTGTTAGGTGAATTACTGTTTGTATCTACTATACCCGATTTAATAGGGATTTGATAGTCATTCGCCCGTTGAGCTTTATACTTGAATGGGAAAGGGATACGTTTGGACGTCGACCATGTTTGGTATTGGGGTATTGGATAACTCTGTGAACGGTGCAGGTCATCGGGATAGATAACTATGTCAATATATCTCGTTAAAGGTGATATCCAAAATTAACTGCAGAAAACACACAAATGATCAGTCCTTTGTCCAGTGTAACCTATACGCCACAAATTACCGTATCTATCCTCATTCCAAATTTATCAGGTCTACCGGGATAGCGATAAATTTGCCATCCACTTTTACCTTATCGATTTCCTCCGAATATTTGATATACCTCCGTTCGAAAAAACCTAATTTCAGGGAGATGATATAAAAATATAAAATGTAGACTAAATGTATTTGCTCATTCGCCAAATCCTACAATTCAATAATGGCGAATGCGCCCCAAAAATATTATCTTGACATGAACACATAACGACATGAACACATAACGTACAGGATACTCTGAAATTATTTTCAAATCCATACACTTCATTCAACTCCACATATGTCTGTTTCTGTATTTATACAGGATATCATCGAAGTTGTAGGTATCTCACAAAAGTTCACCTACATGAATCGGGAAAGTTTCAAAAACGAACCAAAATTCACCAATGAGTACCTATGATAGGGGTACTAAGCTCTTAAGGCGGATCCACTATAGAGTCGATTTCAGAAAATGAGCTACAGCGGGTGTCCAAGAGCTTTAATTTCAAAAAATTTCGGAATATATGGAGCCAAAGGTCTCCAAGAAAATGAAATCGAATCATCCTCGTGCCATACAATCCACTAGAAACCACCCCTGACTTTGATGGTTTTTCAAATTGCATCCCCATGTTTTTTTCGAATTATCTTATAGAACTTTTTATTCTCATTTCAGTGGTATATAGATGTTTCCTAGAATTATTGTTTGAAATGACTGTTATCACTTGCTTTACCATATAACGCCTATTCAGGCTTCGTGTGTAGCTCTGGGTTTTCAAGGAATAACTGGGTGTAACAGTATAACAAGCCTGTAAAATTACTTATTTACTCACTGAATCGGAAGTAGGCGAATGCTTCCTCATTCAATGTCACAAAGCTGTCTATTTACATCCACGGGAGGAAAAGAAACATTACCTCCCGAGGGATGTAAAATAAATTGGCTTCAGCATGCTTGGCAGAGATGTACCTATCTATGAGATTCGCGTTATCCAAGTAATCAATGTCATCACTATTATGAAACAATTAACTATTTCCATTTTGAATTCCAATAATGATCTCATATACTTCCTCATATTCCAAACTCACTTAATCAATACTTTCAAATGTAATTACACAATAAATAAATTCATCATGAAAGAAGTTTCAAATTGCTTCACGTTCTAATACCGTCAATTTTCCATGGCACAATAAACTTCCTTGGTGACGCATACTGATTTGGATCGAGAGATAGACCGCATAATTTTAAGGATGATGCTTTCGAATATATGCGTTCGTGGATAAAATCATATACAGGCTGATTCACGGTGGAAGGCACATTAGACGTAATTTGGGTTTTCTCTGAAAATTTGGTGCCTTGGATAATTAGTTGTGCTCTCTCGACCTAAAATATTCTCAGCGCTGCGACGTTGCCGCTTATATTGAAAAGTTGCAACAATTTTGATTTTTTGAATAGGACACCCCGTATATTATTCCATTTTCAGATTCTCCCTAAAGATCTGATTCTATTGACCTATAACACTTGGGGTCTAGCAGTGACAATTACAGAGATATAGGGTGTGAAAAATTGTTATTTTTCGAAACCATTCATAATTGGTCAAAACAATTCCCATGTTCGTATCTCAACTCCTCATTCACTATCAATTAATATTGAATTGAAATAGGTACAGGGTGGTTCAGAATTAAGATCTCCAACCACCCTGTATCTATTTCAATTGAATATCAAATAAAACCGTTTTGACTAATCATGAATAGTTTCGACACAAGAAATTTTTGAAGTTGAAAAATCTCGATTTTTCACACCCTATATCTTTGTTATCTTTTCCGCTAGACCCCAAGTGTGATAGATCGATGGAATCAGCTCTTTAGGAAGAATCTGTGAATGGAATAATATATAGGGTGTCCCATTCAAAAAATCAAAGTTGTTGCTACATTTTAATATGAGCGGCAACGTCGCAGTGTTGAGAATATTTTGGTCGATAGAATCGATAGATCGAACTAATTATCCAAGAAACCAACTTTTCAGTATAATCTTACGTTGCGTTTTCCAGAAACACCTAATGTGCCATTCACCGTGTATACAGTGTCATTCATTAAGTCGGCATGATGTGGGAAAAACTTTTATTAATGACTTATTTTGAAATTCGAGTTGGACGTCAAGTTTTGCTTCAAAAAAAAATGAAAATGGCCTACTCAATCGGGGTCACGTGACTTTCGCTACATGTCAAAAGTGACATTTTTACAAATTAATCGCTGAAAGTAGGCTTATTTGTTCGAATATCGAAAAAGTTTACTTGAATAAGTTGTTTCTATTTGAATTTTACATATGTGACTCGGATTTTATCTTTCTATTACATTTTTTAGATTCCGATATTTTTAATTTTTTTTTAAATTTCTGTAATATT